TCCAGTCGTCCTAGCCAGCAAGACAATAACCAAATTTAGAGCATGTCTCAATTAGAACAATTAATAGACATATCCAGACATATAATTAAAAGACAAAAAGAAAAAAAAAGAAAATAACAAAAAAAAAAAAAAAAATGAAACGCTTAATCTTCGATGTAAATTTCCATTTCCAATGTAAACGGGGAAATGGTCATTTTGACATACTGCTACTCACGCAGATATGAACAATTCAATTTTCTCCTTTAAACAGAGTGAATAAATGCATGCTTTAATTCTTTTTCAGTTTGTTACTTTTCTGTCACGATACTCAGAAGACTTGTCAAGCTCCTGGACGAACGCCCAAAAGGAACCCAAGTATTCTCGTTTTCCATTCGACCCGTGACCCATTTTAGGCTCTATGGATTAGCTTCATATAGAATTCCCATAAACAAACCAACCTCTCTACAAACATACTGTCGCGATATATGTTCTTTGTTAAGATAATAAGTATTATAGTATGCTTTGATATATTAGGACATTCCATAATATTACCAGCTACCATAAGCCTAAAGGATAATGTATTACAGATGATAAACAAACAACTAAAAACGAAATACAGAAACCAAGGTACGAATGATGTGAAAATAAAGACGCGTATACAATTGATGATTGTACAGAATTCTCCTAACTGATTTGGAACATTCGACTGGCAAGGCTAAATAAGATTGCCTTCATACCTTCAATTTAATTAAACAGATCCCTTGATATTACAAGCATCTACATACATAGTACAACTTTCGTTGTTCATTCCACTCGATATTTGTTCTAATAACCCGTGATAGTTACAGTTACAGTCGTGGCACATACATACATAATAAGATTTTTAGTATAGTATTATATAAGTATATAAATAAGCTCAATATTATACGAGCCGTAAAATTATATTAGTATATACATCTATATTATTCTTAAATTCTGTGTAAGCTTCTGTAGCATCATTTTGTCTATTACGATCGGTTCCCCGCACATTGTAATCACTCATTATGCTGCTATATAAAGGGCATAGGTAGCCTGCCTCTATAAGCGATTTTTTATGCCAGAATTCAAATAAAGAAAGAGAAAACGCGTAAAGCTCAAAAATAGAAGTTGTAAAAACTTTTTATTTTTTCTGTCTTTCTTTTTCTGTTTATTTATTCCTTCATTTCTCGTTTTTTTGTTTTGTCTTTTTGTAATTCTTGTTTTTCTATTAAAGTCACTTTCTTCTATTATAATTAATTCAATTTCAACTGTTCATTATGTTGCTTCATTTTGGTTTGAGTGCCCTGCTGTTTACAGGAACGACTCTTGCTTCTATGCCATACAATAACACAGGCAATAGTAATTCTGATCCCGACAACAATAAACCAATTTTTCAGTACTGGGAAGAGGAATTGAGTTTATTTCCTACTGGTGACCCTAATGTTCAAGCGTTCGCCCATTGCGATTTACTGGTTCCTTTTTACGACAATATATCTGGGATGACTGTTGCTAATGCGAGATTGCAACAAAAGGAATGTTCAAACGGAACCGCCCATATCCTTCTTGTTGGACATGAAGATTTATTCCAAGCGTATAAGCACGCCATAGATGGTAATGAGGATTATAGATATTTTAAGAATTTCACTTCAAAACCTGATGAAGATTTATTTGATTTTCATTTCAATTTTACGGACGGCATAAATTCAGCATACTACATGAGGAGTGTAAACAAACCGGGCACATACTGCTTTCTTGGATTACAAGAGGTTGAACCAACTGAAAATGGAGGAATGCCTGAACCTATAATGTATCCCCGTTACCAGTCTGCTTTATACAAAGATAGAAAACCAGAGCATCGTATTTTTTTCTTTTTGTCAGTGTTTTCTAGTCTTATAAGTTTGGTTTGGTTAATTAGGTGGCTTCGTAACTATAAAAAGAACACTTTTACCCAGATTCTTTTATTTGTTTGGTACGCTGCATTTTTATTGAACCATCCTATAAAACGAACCTTCTTCTCCAACGGGAACATTGGTGTTCCAGGAAAACTATTTTCCTTTATATTTCCCGCATTCTCTTATTTGTTTGGTGACGGCGTCGAACGCCCTTTATTTAATTCATTAATATTGGCTCTTTCACTCGGTTTGGGTTATTATCGACGTAGTTCCAAAAAGCTGGTGTTTTTGATCATTCTACTAGGTTTTGTTCAATCGCTCTTTATTGTAATAGCACCTATGATTTTTCCTATTTTACTTTTGACCGAGTCTCCTAAAGCGAAGCCTTTACAATTGACATGGATGCTATTTAATTATGGCTATCTTCCCTCAATTTTAGTAATCAGAGTCTTTCACGTTTGCAGAATGCGCCTCAAATTAGGACACGATTTTGATGATAAATACATCAAATCTAAGAAATTCCTTCCTCTTCTTTTGCTCGCAATCCTTGTGAGTGTGATACTCCACGTACAAAGCGCACCAACTTTTAATGTAAAATCCGAAGTCATAAAAACTTGTGTTGGTGTTATGTACTTCTATCTTTTTGCCTTTACCTTAAATGCATATAATAGCAGAGTGTTGAAAGATGATAAAGCAGAAATCTCAGAAAAATTGCAAAAGCCTTTGCCATTGTACAAAGACGATTCTGAGATGGAGTTGCCTGCTGACGAGAAGCTTCAAAGGTTTCCAACTGCTTAGACTAAGTATGTATAGCTTATACTAATTCCTTTTTTTTTTAAAAAAAAAAAAAAATAAGTGTTCATGCTATTATAACATTTATTTCTCTCAAAAATCTTAAAAGCCATTCCCTTAAATTTTATTAAATAATGTACACATTTTCAGCCCTCGCTTATTAAGTAAACAAAGTTTGTATATTTCCCAAAGACTGAACCTATTGTTCCTCCTTGGACATTCCAAGTGTCTGCATAAACTTTCAGCATTCTTCTTTCCTCTTATCTATCTCGTATGATAAAACGATTTACTATAACCTGTTCTTCTTGACCTAGACGATAAACACGATCAATAGCCTGAGAATTTACTGACCAGCTCCACGCCAAGGTTCCATCATTAGCGTATATTTGGCACAGGTTAAGTTCAAGCCAAGCTAACAGCTTTGATGGATATGTTGAGACTAGTATTTGTCGGATCATTCCGATATTGTTCTAACGACATAGGTCTTTGTTCATGAGACATCCTGCCATCAAAGAGAATACTTGATTCTTAGAGTTTCAAAAACTTCTATGTAATCGAGAAAACCAGTAAACTGAGAAAAGTTATCGGGCGAAGGATTATTTAGAACTTCCTGAATATATTCTGAAAATACTAATACTTTGACACAGATATCGGTCCCAATAATTCCATTGTAAGCTTTTATTTTCATTGTTAAACTGTTGACCTAACTTCTCGAGGCTCATAAACATCGTCCAGTTCATAAGGCTGACGACAAGTATAACAAAGTGGAGGATAAATTTCTCTTCTTTTGATAACCTTTTGTGACCTTTCAGGCATTCCCGAAAGCAAACGTGTTTGCATTTTAACACAGAATTTTCAGTTGGTTTCGAACAGCACATTCTGAAACAAGAGCATCTAGTGCATCTTTGTCTGATATTTCTGTAATATAGCCGGGATTGGTTTTTCTGCGACGAAAACCTCCAAATTAAGCTATGAAGTTCATTAGAATTAATTTCCAGTTCCATTTTTTTTTTCATTGTTTTGGACAGAAGTAAAGGAACACAAGCTTGTCAAAGCTGTAAAAGTAAGCCTAAAATTGCAGTAAAATATTTTAATAAAGCTCCTGCAGCGATACTTTCATGCACTCGACTTTTTGCTTTAACGTATAAGGAATCACATATTCGTCGTTCTGCTTCCGAAATTTGTTCTTCTTAAACCGAGTGGTTCGAAAAAAAAACTGCACAACGTTTCAAGCTTTCAAAATTACATTTGCCTCATAGGGTACAGTAGCGAATGTATGCCATGTAATTGTATTTGCACCAATGTTCTATTTGTAAAAGTTTTTGTCAAACTGTACAAATCAACGATTGGCGTTCCTGTAATTATCCATCAATTCTGAGTTGATATTACATCACAGGCCTTAGGGGCTTTACTGCTGCGATTCTTTATAGAGCAACCTTCGTTCAGAGTCACTTGATAGCAGTGAACAGAAAATAATTCAAAAGTTTCGGCACTATCTTAAGCAGGCTCTGGGTGTATAACGCCGTAGCTAGTTATAACCAAACCAGGAAACATGTTAGTATCAGTAAGGAATCGTAAATTTACAGCGGTCTCTAACCATCGAACCATTGTACACTAGGGGTTTAAAGTGATTTGAACCTGAAGCTTTCAATGCTTCGGATTGCCATTGATCCAATAAAGACACAGGTACTACTACCAGAATTGTCTGTAGTTATAGTAAGACTATCAGAGTACGGAAATGTTTCGGTCGATCTTTCAAGATTATAGGAATCCCTAGCATTTCAACAGTTGTTCCCAATCCCATCTCATCTGCTACAATTCCTCCTCAATAAAAGGTGCCATTGAGAGGTAAATTAACCTTTTCATCACCAGTGTACTTACGAAATCAATGAGATTCATCATCTCTAACAAAGTGACACCTTCGGGAAATAGTCCAGGATCCGTATGAAACAAACATTGACTCCGTAATGGGCGCAAATTTGAAGATGCTTCTGAGAAAGCATCACCTCATCTTTAACACATCCAATAAAGTATATGTTTTCGATACTCCGTAAATTTAAAGTAAATCCTTCAGGAATCGAACAAAAAGGGAGATTTGGTTCGTTCGTTTGACCATGTTAGGTCACACATTGTAGTTAACTGTTCACTTACGACGTCGTCATCTTCAGAAAAGCTCTTTTAGGATTCATCGTAAAAGATTATTAATTTGCACATTGGATCTTACCTAAAAGTCCTTAGAATAAGGCTCCAAGCAATCCAGCTGAATAAACGGAGCAACTGAACTCTTTTGTATTAGGATCTACAAAAGCAGCGGGATCATCTTCAATAAAAGCAGTTTTGGCAGAAAACGAAGATTGGTTAAAAGATGGATGGGAAACATCCATTTTATTAATGTTTACATATCATCATAACATAGATTATTTACCAGAAATAATCTTTTTTTTCTTTTTGACTTTTATTCCGAAATTAACGCTTACCATTCATCACTCGTGCCTTCTCGTTCCAAAAATCCAATCATATACTCATCAATGTGCCCGAGAGTATCATCGATAGTTTCTTGTTCCAGTTCTTCTTCATTTTCCAATCCTGTTTCGTCAAAATTGGATTGCTGTTCTTCTTCCTCCTCTATTTCTTTATCGTAAATAGGTGTCATACTTGAAGGAGAGGAAGTACTTTCTCTCGCAGAAGAAACTTGCGGTGTAGGAATATCGCTAAACTCATTTCTTTCAAGTGCCGATTCTTTCCGAGCAACTTGAGCCGCTTTCACATCTTCCTCATCTTCAGCAGCTGCCAAAGCATCCTCCCAATTTTCTTCATCCGCTTTATTCGGTGCTTCAGCTTCAGCCTCTTCCAGATACCTTTCATCTAAATCAAACAAATCTAAAACATCCGCTTTTCGGAACCATTCAGTGGTAAACTCACCTCCTTGAATGACAATTTTATCCAGCATCCGTTTCTGATTCGCTCTTCGTAGCATGTTAGATTCGACTGTATATTCACTAATAAGACGATAAATATGAACATCTCTTGTTTGTCCGATCCTGTGAGATCGGTCCTGAGCCTGAGCATCCAATTGCGGATTCCAATCTGAATCGTAAAAAATGACCGTATCAGCACCAGTCAGATTTATACCCAATCCACCACTTCTTGTAGACAAAATAAATACTGGAATCTTATCATCATTGTTGAATCTTTCAGTTAATATCTGCCTTTGTTCAATCTTTGTAGCACCATCTAAGCGCAAATACCTATGTCCATGTATATTTAGAAATTGTTCCAAAATGTCCAACACCTTGGTCATTTGCGTAAAGATTAGTGCACGATGGCCATTCGAGATTAATCCTCTCAACAATTTGTCAAGGACTTGTAGCTTGCCACAATCATACTGCAATAACCGACGATCAGGAAATGCAATAGCTAGTCTCGTTGCAGCTTGATGCCAAGGCCAATTGTCTTGCATCATTTTAGGCGTCACGTTGTATTTAATAGGACCAGTAAACAGCTCAGGTAAATCTACGACAACCGCTTGAGGAGTGATGCAAGCAAAATTCTGAAGGACCTCCTTCATACTATCAGCGCGCTCTTCTACGCTTAAAACAGAATCACGTAACGCTGAAGTTGTGTTCAGGTTGTACATAGAATCCATTTGCGAAGTAAGAGTATAATCGATAGCACGACAATTCCTCGGCAACTCTCTCACCATTCGTATGAGGTTACTCCCGAAAATTGGTTTACGAGCGCATTTCTGCTCATTAAGATATTTTTGATGGCGCATTTTCTCAAGTTCGCGTTCATACTTTTTGTTCTGGAAATATAATCCAAATCCCGCCTTATTAATGTGATTGGGAGACAGTTGCTGATCTATTTCCATTTCCAATAATGTACACCTTTTGTCGAATCCGTCAGACGCGCACAGCGCCTCTAACTCATTCGACGTAACAGCATCAAAAGATTCGGAATCTGTACAGACAAGTCGCAATGTCGAAAGATCCAGCTTTCTCATTGGCTCGTCTTCTAACAGTCTTTTACGAATTAATAAATCTTTGGTTTCCATATCAGCAATCGCAGACCGACGCTGAGCAAATGAAGTAACAATTGGACGTTCTTCGTGCAAATTAGGATGGTTGCATACTTTACGAAGTTGCATCAAACAGTTAATAATGCTCATGAAATTTCCAGATGCTAGAATCTCTCGTGTACGTGCACGGTTAATAAAGTCATCATACAGAAATCTTTGTCTTTTTGAGAGCTGACAATAGACAACGTGTTCATACTTTCCTGGCATCTGCTTTTCCACCTCCGTTTTCAGACGACGAAGAAGGTATGGTCGCAAAACTCTATGCAACTTTGCAACGGTAGTCATGGCTTCCTCATCCATTTCACTTCCCTCCTCAATAAGTCGGTCCATGGGTTTTGAGAACCAGTCTTGGAAATCTTTGAGATTAGCAAACCCAGAGTTAGCATCCGTAACACCAGCAGGCATTAAAAAGTACAAAAGGGACCATAATTCAACCAAATTATTCTGTAAGGGAGTACCTGTCAAGAGCAAGCGATGCTCTGCATTAAAGTTCAGTAATGACTGCCAACGTTGTGATCGAAAATTTTTAATGTTATGGGCTTCATCTAGGATCATATACTGCCATTTCTTTCGTCTGAAAGGCTGATGATCTTGCAGAACAAGTTGGTAAGAGGTAATGCAAACGTGCCATGTATCTGGTTTGTACCATCCTGTACGTTTTTCTTTTCTCTCTTGAGGATTACCATAATACGTTAGTATTTTAAATCCAGGAAGAAATTTTTTAAATTCCATTTCCCAATTCAACATAACGCTAGTAGGTACAACAATTAGATGTGGACCCCAATTTTCTTTTTCACAGGCCAAGTGGGCAAGCAGAGCAATTGTTTGAATTGTTTTACCTAATCCCATTTCGTCAGCCAATATACCATTTGTATTGCTGTCATGAAGTGCAGTCAACCATTCCAATCCAAATTGTTGGTATTCACGTAGGTAACCGCGAAAAAGAAACGGAACATCAACTTTATTCGCTGTAATAGTAGAGACTTTATTCTTGTCAAAGTCCTCGACTACTTCATTTTCAACTTGTTGCCGTTTCCTAGAGGTTTGTTCTTCGACTTCATGAGAACGCTTTTTTGACTGAACGGAATCATCAAATAAAGAAGATAAAGTGTACTCGTTCTCAGATTCTTCTTCCTCGTTTTTAACAAGTGATTTTCCATTATAGGAAATACCCCGTTCTTGTGAGTAACGAGATAAATTATCATTATGTTCACCATTAAGTTCTTCCTTTGTGCCATTTTGTGAAGCCAACTTTCTAGCTGAAGAACGAGTAATTCTGCTAGTTTTAGTCGGCTGCTTCTCAATGCTTTCAATAGGTTCTGATAAAGTCTTTGGCTTCTCTTTGGTTTCCTCATCTTCAGAGGCTTCTTCAGGTAATTCGTTTTCGGAATCTAGCTGACCCTCATCAGATTCTTCAATATCAGCATTTTCACCGAGAGTATTAATGACCTCAAGATTACTATACTTAAGCTTCAGCTCTTCCACAGACAACGAGTCATCTGGAGTATCTCTTAAATAGTTCAAATCATTTTTCGGAGGTTTCTCCTTTAACTTTTCCTGCTTGGTAGGGGGAGGACCGGTTTGTCGTTCAATCCTAGCTTCTAGCAAGTCCGTAGAATGCTTTAAAATATTAGCTAGATGTTCTTTTCCAGCTAAACGATGCGCTTCTTCAGCACGCTCTGTTCGTCTTCGCCGAACTTCTCTTTCTATTACTTTCCATTTTTTACGTATCTCCCAAGCAGTTCTCTTAGCCAAAAGACGAATCCTCTTGTCTTCTTCTTTGGCTTTTCTTTCATCCGCTCCAGAAAGACGCTTAAAATGCCCTAAAATCATACCGGACACCTTACGAGCCCGAGACGCTCGTACTTTTCTCTCATTATGCATATAACGGGCTAAGCCATGAATATGAGATAAAAAATTATCCCTGTATGATACAGGAGGTTTCATGGAACCTGGTCCCTTTTTTAATTCTACAGGAGCCTCAGCACTGAAGTATCCCTTTCTTCGGAATTCCTCAATTCGACGTCGAAGATCCACTTCACCTTTTATTTTTTCTTCAGCAGATTGAATATCATAATCACCATCTTCTAATGATACATATGACTTCAAAAAATCTTCTAATTTTTCGTATTTCGGTTCTTCCACGACATGCCCAGCATGGGTGACTATAAGCTCGGGTTCACGTAGATGAACGCGTAATTTGAAATTCGAAGAATCTTCCTTTTTAATACAGGAACCAGGTCCATCTACATTCTTCTCCGACTCTTCGTAAGTCATAGAATTGATCTAGTCATTTGACTTCGTGGTAGTGGTAGAAGGATGAAATCAAAGATGCCACCGACTGACTACAAAATTTCTTGGTAGATGTAAAAAATAGCGAAACCTTGCTCTTTCCAGATAAAATCCTTTTATTTAATTATATTTACTCAAAGCAATCTTATAGTTAAGATTTTAAATTGTTACCATTCATACCCGTATTTCTAGCCCTTATTAATGTTACAAGAGTTGTATTACATTTAAAGCCTTCAGAAAAAAGGCTACTAGTAAAAAAATTGGAGTAAATTTTACTTACTTATTAAAATACAATAAAAAATAATGTGCTATAATGACAAGACGATAAGAACATAAGGAGCTTAATGACCAACCCATGTACTTCAGGATTCTAAACTAAGTAAAGTAGTACTACTATCCACATTTACTTCTCAATTAATTCAGAGTAATAAGATCATATTAAAGTATTCCATTAATATCTATCAACATGAATATACCAAACTAACTATTATTAAAACTTCAATGAGTTATTAAGCGTTTTTTAGATGTCCAAGTGGCATCACATATCCGTTTCTCATAGCGTCTGCCATTTTTAGCTTGTCCTTTCTCTGGAAATGTTTTAATAAAAATCGTTTTGAATTCGAACGCATCCGTAAAATCCGTAGGATGATGCGTTCATTCCTTTCTAGTTCACCTTCAGTGGTCTGTTGGACCTGCGGGACATATTTCTTTATCGTCCCTGATCTATAAATTTCCTTATTGCTTAATTTTGCTAATGAAGAAATTTCAGGATTGTTTCCGGGCGATTTGTTTATTAGTCGAGAAGAATGGTATAAATGCGAAGTAATCTTTTCGCACTCTTCCAATAGCTCATCCGTGGGTTTGTCATAATATTCTCGTATCTTTAAAAGTTCTAGGTAATGTTCTGTTTCTAGTACTGAAAGCTTAACACCTTCACCATTAGCGTGTAGATAGTCTTTGAGGAATTGTAACCAACTATATACTATATTTACCTGATTTTCGGAAAGCGGTTTTCTATCAATTGGCTTCGCAGAGACAGGTGGCAGTAATAAATCTTCGATCGTACACATAACTTCGTCCCATACGTAAGACATAACAGTAATGAAAACATCTTTTGATAAATGCCGAGCAATAACTGAAAAATTAACGTCAAAAAAATCAAGTAAATCATTGATTGCGGATTCAATCTCAACGTCAGTTAACTCGTGGTCTTCCTTCTTTTGGTCTTCTTTCTTTGAAAAAGAAGTCAACGTAGCTCGATTAAATAAACTAGTTACGGAAGTCATAGTTTTATCGAAATCCATCCAAGAGCCCGACAACAGTCTCCTCAACGTTGACATTGATAAATTTTGACTAATAACAGGCTCCATTTTGTTGACGATGAATCGGATCATTTCACTCTGAGATCTTTCCAAATCATGATAAGTTCGTCCTACGTAAAAACCGATATGCTCTTTTTCGCCTTCCATTTCGATCCTTAGTAATAATTCACCATTTGGACTTAGGTTTAGCCAGTCTTCTCTCGCTATGTAATCACCATAAACTTTAGGAGTTAAAGGAAACGAGCATCTTCCAAATATTTCATGGTCACCAAACTTTCCTTTGGACCATAAATTGGCAGTAATGATTAAAGAATCTTTTGCTTTTATTTCAAAAGAATCTTCCCAACGGGGGTTCATGGAATGAATTGGTCTCGTTTTTCCAATTCGTTTTCCTCTGTTGTCAGTTAGGACGACATAAGAGGTTCGAATCTTTCCAGCATTATCGGGCTGTAGATTTTCTCCGCGAATAACCCTTACAGTATACAAATAATTAGTGGTAGAAAGCTTTTGTACTTTTGTAGATTCAGCCTGGTCCAGAGCTTGAACTAACTCTTGAAGATCTATTTTGCTTTCAAGCTCTTCATAAGCCTGAATAGCGTAATGTACATTGTTCAACAAAATACACATGAAAGTAGAAAAATGAAAAGGAAGCACCTCGACAGCACCAGATAGCATTGTTCGAGCTTTTGATAACCATGAGCTTGAGCTTGAGCTTTCACTTTCATTTCGCAGCTCCATGCTTTCATGTTTTTTATTCGCTTCGTCAAAAAAGGTTTTCAATGCCCAACTAGTATATTTCGATAAAACGATATACACAATCCTAAAGAATTTCGTAAAAAATCTAGCATTACAAAGGGTATCTTCCCATTCAAAATTCAAAAGCGTACGGAAAGATTGATGAAAAGCATGGAAAAGGTCAATAATAGAACTACTACAGGCGGCTTCCTTGTTCAGAGTATCAAAATTGTCTTTCCGTAACGCTCCTTGAAGCCAATGGTTCGCATTGACTTCTACGTTATTTAACCAGGAATCCACAAAAGGTTGAAAAAACCCTTCGAAATTGCCAAGTTCGTATTCGTCTTTATGGTAAAAACGGAGTAGATTAATCATTTTTTTTAAGTCACTGTAAGCGTCAATCATGTCATTCGTAAGAGCATCAAGATCGCCCTGAGCATTGCTTTGAAGATGAGCTTTGGTCACTTCCATTGCAGATGCTATATAACTAGGTAAAGCTACACTGGTAAATAGGCTTGGTAAGGATATTATGCCGTAGATAGTGTCAGGACACGTTTTCTGAATAAATTCAACCCTGTCATTCAGAGCACGACTGTGGAGCAAAATCTCGTCTATTCCATTAGAAGAGGACTCCCGTGATGATACATTAAATTCTTTTGAAAAAATTTCGTGACACACTTCCTGTAAACTCAATGCAATCGAAATAAGTTCTGCTTTCGGATTTAAGTCCTCGCTAACAAATTTACCATTCTCAACGCAAATTTCCAGTAAAGCCAAGGGATTATGATAATTAGATTTCTTGTTATTCAAAATGTTTAAGAGAGAAGCTTTAATCTTTTGTAGAAGTGTATTTCGGATTCCAATCAAAGCGGCTTTGAGCATTGATACCTAACGACAATTAGCAACCTATATAAAAAATAAAAAATTAAAAAAAAAAGGAAAGAAATCTTGAACTTACATCTACCTTTGGCCAGTAAATATTTTCGTATTCCTTCGTCACTTTAGATAACTCTTCGAAATAGATTACAACATCCATCATTGAAATCATATCCTTTTGAAAATATTCACGAGCAAGTTCCATACTCAGTGCTAACCGACTTGAAGGCAAAATCCTCCAATAAATCGAACATTCACGAATGAATGTACTAACGTTTTTCTCCTCGGAAGGATCAGTAATGGTGGAACGGTATTGAAGACAAAGTGCTAGCAGCTGTCGAAAGTACGGGCGTGTAATGGGAGGGATGCAAGTTAGAGTTGGTTCCAGGGTTTTATTAGAGTTGATTCCATGATTGCTGTTGTATATTTCTGACAACAGAGGATTGAGTCTAAGCATGATTTTCCGATGTTGCTCTAATATTTGCAACTCACGGGTTTTATATGTAGAGTAGGCTTTATAGTTGGAAAAATCTAAAACGGAATGAGAATATTTACAAGCGTCATTTTGGAGATCGTCAATTAGTATCGTAATATCTTTAAATATAGCCGATTCGTCAATAGTAGGAAACACATTTTCGGCATCCAACAAAACTTTTGGATATGCTACCTTAAAAACCGAAGCAAAGATTTTTAAGAGCGGAAAAGAAGAAAAATCAAACTTTTCAGATCCTTTGCTAACACGTTTCGCAGTTAAAATATCTGTACGACTTCGTATTTTTGATTTATACATATCAAGGTGAGCAATGAATTCAGATGAAGGAGAGAGCAGTTGCCGAGCAATTAAAATAGATTTACACAAATCTATAAATGAAACAGAAATTTCATCAGATAAATTACTTTCGAAAGAACCTAAGCGTTTTGTGAGTTCGGACGAAACTGAACTGGTGAAAATCAGGAATAAATCTTCAATTCTTCGAGATTCTTTCATCTGCTTCATTATATAAGGTTTGCTAATAGTATTATAGAAAGCAGCAAATGTACCACGAAATAATTGTTCTTGATAATCCGGGTTACGACCCATACTGATGTTTTCAAGTTCGGTTGTCAAGTATTTAATAAACTCTTTGGGGTATTTGAGAGCTCCTCGCTTCTCCTTCGCGTTAATAGCATTGTTATTATTACTAATTGCAGCAACTTTCTTGTCAGCAATCAAATGGCTTGTCGATACAGACTGTAATGTGGAGGGAGCTAATGCGCGATATTGAACCAAAAAAAGAACTAAAACATTCTTTAAAGACCAGCTTGAAATTGTTAACTTGACTTAGAATCCTTGACAATAGTCTTACTTGTATAGTTCTTCTTTAGGGATAGCTTCAGCAAGCTGAACTTCTTTCGTATGGAGAGGAAGAGGTTTCCGTCTGCAATTCATTCCATTTAGCGTTGAATATGTATGCAGATAATAGATTATTTATGCAAATTCTGTAGTATGGTATAAATATCAGGCCTAAGCAAATAAATAAGAATGCAAGTGGTGTAGGCTAAGGATAGGTATAAAGCCAATGGTTCATCCAGCAATCTACCAAATCGATGTAGAGAGTTTTTCGATTCTTTAGTTTATATAATAGGAGGGAAGATCAATCAAGTTAATAAAAAAATCAGTTCTGTTTATTGTTTAATGTTCACTTTTCGCTACTATGATTTATAAGAGAATTCTGAAAGTTCCGAGCGTAAATAATAAAATAAAGAACGTAAGCTTGGATAAATGTAAACTTATTATTCATCGAAGAAGATTCTGAATGTTTTGATGACAAGCTGGATGAAGTTACGTGTGGAACTACCTTTGAGATTCTACGAATCAACAAGTCAGTCATGAATCCTCAGTTTACTAGAAATCCAGAAAATGGTAATAAAAGTTTATTTGCATATAAAACTCTAACATGAATTAGTGCCAGGGTTGCAGCAACGATCGTTGAAAGCTGGTCGGAAAACGTTCAAGCAACGCAGAGACTCTCATGAGCAAGTTGATTCTCTTCAAGAAATAAAAGAAAACGCTGCATCTAAGAGGCTTTCAAGATCTGATGGGGAAAAGAACGATAATGAGTCAAGGATAGAGCCACTGAGTATACCACGTATTGATGAAAGCAATCTTCCTAAGGAACGGCGGCATGAATACAATGAGTTATCGAAATTATTAAGCAAAATAAATGCTTTGCAGGAAAAATCTTTTCGATTGGCTACTGAAGAGATTGTTCAGACTTCAGAAACACAAACTAAAGGTATGACCAGAAGTACTACGAGCATTTTCCTTAAACTAACGCAAACAAGAATTACATGATACCATAGATGAATTAAAAAAAGAGCTGGAAAGTGAACGAAGAAATAACGAAGATTTGCGTCAAGAACTTGCCGAAAGCAAACAGTATAATCAGCAAGTCCATGAGGAGAAATTGTTAGTCAAGGAACTTTTTGGTCTTGAAGTTCTTTCTTCCAGAGCTGTAGAAGAAGGAATTCGCTATACGTGTAGAAACACGGGAAGACGTGGACGTATGTATTGGCTTTGTTAAAATTTCGATTTTTAGAACTAACCTTTTTTGATTTTAGAGTTGGAATACCAGTTACTTTTAGACAACTTCAATTTCACGTTTACACCTTGTTTAAATCCTCAGCACGATGGCGAATTGATGGACTATTTACCGGAATACCTTACAGAGGAAATCATATTTACAAAGGAGCAAGGAAAGCTATTTTCGGCTCGAATTATGAAGGCTCTTCAGGATTAAATGTCTTTCCATTAATATCAATATTTATGCTATGCTGCGATGAGGACTAGCCGCATTATTTGAGCGTCAAGTATCTACTTCCTCATGTCTAAAGAAAATATGTATCGAGAGAGATTTTTAAGCTGTATTTCAAACGGTTTTTTCTGTTATATATCGTAAAAGTAAAGTCGTATTCAATCTAAAGTTACAGAGCATACTTTTGGGTCCATTCGCGAGCGTTTGAAATGGCTTGCTGCTCATTTTCCTTCCAGATTTTAGCAACATCATTATCCAAAGGGTCATCTGGATTCGGTGCCCCCATTAAGGCTTGAATAGACAACAAAACTGTACGAATTTGAAGAGCAGGACTCCAATCCTCTGTTTACCGTTAGTAAAAATTCCTCGTATTACGTTACGATGTTTTTTTTAAAAAAAAAAAATCGTATTCTCAATTTCCGTACTTTTCAAAGTTGAAAGGCAGATTCTACCGAGTTTATCAACGTTGGGATGATAGATTTTAGTCAAGAAACGAACGCTAGGAGGCATCTAAAAAGTCAGTCAGCACTTTCTGTTTCTACAATATCCATCCTGCAACCATATATAAACCCTGCACAAGAAAATACTTGTTGCACCTAAGTCTCAGCAGAATGGGACCGTATTCTTCCGCATGATTCCAACATACCATGGGGTATTCTTCTGGTAAAAACAGCTCCAAGTGGAATTTTCCGCCATCATATGCAGACTGATGGGGTCCTTCAATTGTAATTTGGAAGTAGCGAAGATTATCCTCCATAGGAGATGCCTCAATTCCTGGTGGAGGGTCTCTCGTTAGAGTGTCGATTTCCTAATTTTCGTTAGTTCAACCTCCTTTGTAAATATTGCTAATACTTTACCTTAATAATGCGTTTAGGAAGAGCCATAATAGTCAATAGGACACGTACTGAATAGTTGCAGTCTGAAAGTAATTACTTTGTGTACTTGCAATGGAAATAACAAGCGTTCTCTGTATATCTTTAAAATGCGTTAGTGATGTCTAAGAATGGTCTAAAAGCTTACACCATGTAAACAAACGCATGGGAGGAGCTTCAGAAACTTACCTTTTGCCATGATTCTTCCATCTCGGATTTTTGCGTGTTTATGAACATTTATGAATAAAGAAGGATTTGAAACTGTTCATGTGAATAAGGTTTTTGCTTGGCATAAAGAATAATGGAGTCCTCATCTCTCAACATGAGTGACGAACACTCAATGTCTTCAGACGCATCTTCTACATTCCATTCCGCTTCATCTTCTTCAGTCGATCAGAAAAAGGACAGGGGCAGCACAGACAACGGTCGAAGCAGCCCAGGTGCCACCACGTCTTCCCAGACGAACTCCGGTTCAAAAGGCGCTATGTTTTTTTCTAGTGTTAATGATTTAAATTACGTGAATGATCCTCGAAATCGTGATGAGCTTCTAAAAGATGAAGGTGTCGTTCCTCAAGATTCCACAGCCGATTCAAGTACGTTACCTGCTAACGATTTTCCATTCTATGCACAGTATGATGAAAGAATGAGTGACTCTGAAAATCGGTCGATGAAATCAAAAAAAATATCAGCAGCTTCCGTTGCTAGTTTATCTGGCAGCGATCGGTCAGAAACGATTCTAGCACCCACTCCTACTCTAACTTCTGTTTATTCGTCCCCTGTTGAACAATATAACTACAAATCAAACCCGTTTTCGTTTCCATCAAGGAGATCACCTAGTGATCTCCATAATAAAAATCCCAATTCCACGTTGGTGGTACCACAAACAGAAGAAAACTCGCCTTTCATGTTGGATCAGCTACAAGATAAGGACTCTAAGTTAGGTCTATATGGAAGCAGTACATTTAATCGGCAACTTTCCATCCAGGTGAATCAACCCGTTGGTGCAATGTCTTTATCTCCGTGTGGTAGGGATGTTGCCTTGGCTTCTCGTAACGGTCTTTTAGTGATTGATTTGGATAACCCTTACAACCCACCTCGAATGTTGCGACATTCCACGCCCTGGGAAGTTGCTGACGCCCAATGGAATGTTCATGCTGCTAGAGACCAATGGATTGTATCGACGTCAAATCAAAAAACTATCGTATGGAACCTTGCACTTCCTAATGCAAATGCTATTGAATTTATGCTTCATGGACATACCCGTGCTGTTACTGATATGAACTGGCACAGGCAGAATCCGGATGTGTTGGCTACTAGTTCCATTGACTCTTCAGTTCATTGTTGGGATTTACGAACTCCCAAGGTTCCTGTCAATTCCTTTTACGACTGGCATAATGGAGCGACTCAAGTAAAATGGAATTATCGTAATCCTCATGTCTTAGCATCTAGTCATGGTCGTTTCGTGCGTATCTGGGATGACCGTTATGGCTCTGGACCATTGCATACAATTCAGACTTCTGGAAGTATCACGAAAATAAATGGTTTAGAATTTAATAGAGTCAGTGAAACTCGTTTATTAACTTGTGCTATGGATCGTACTGTTAAATTTTGGGATTATTCAAAGTCTACTATTGAATCCGAGCATTTGATTACTACTGATGCCCCGGTTTGGAAAGCGAGATTTACGCCCTTTGGTGAAGGTGTCATGTTAATGCCCCAACGAGGTGATAACTCCGTTCATTTATATGATGTCCGCAATCTCAACGAGCGTGGACCACGACCCGTTCATACCTTTTCCGGTCATACTGATTTAGTAAAGGAATTTCTTTGGAGATGTCGTGGTGAAGATATTTTCGATAAGGATAACCGTGACTTCCAATTGATTACCTGGTCTAAAGATCGATATGTACGATTATGGCCAATTTCAAAGGATGTGTTGCAATCAACTGGTCATGATCCTTCCAAACCAGTTGCTTTTCACCTCGCTAGATATGGTGCAAAATATCGAACGTATTCTCGTGAACCAATTAAAGAATGCGTAACATTGAATGAAAAGGAATCTAATAATTTGGAAGTCATCAATAAGGAAAGACCGACTGAATTCAGTACTGAGACTGGTAACGGGTTTGTTGGTGAGTCGTCTAAAGGTTTTGCCCCAAACATAAGTCGAAAACGTCAAAAAACCCCAAGTGGCCCATCAAATGCTGGATTCATGACGCGCTCGACGAAGTTACAGGATAACTTAACTCCTCTGGATTGGCTTCGCGGAATTTCAATGGGGCGTCAAGGAAACGCTGATTGGGAGGTTCCTCAAAACCTTGGTGAGGAACTATCTTGGATAGGTCAAAAATATGGAAACGTTAATTTTGAAGAAATTGATGTAGCTCAAAGAAAATGCAGAATTTCTCTGAATGCCCCCTTATTGCCCGATGGAGCTTTTACTTTTATTCGCTTACGCATACAGTTTCCTTTAGGTTATCCGCTTTCAGCTAGCCCCATATTCCACTTAGAAAAATCCAGCGCATTTAGCGATGAACAGTTTAATCACATACTGTCAACGCTGAATTTAATTTCGAGTCATTGTATCACGTCCAAAAAGCCATGCATGGACGGATGCATCTCTTTTCTTTCAGGGGAGTCTACAGCCGACGATGTTTGGAAATTGAGAGAAAGTGAGGATGATTCGGACACTTCGTCTGAATCTTCAGATGTTTTCGATGAAAACTTTCCAAGCATCTCGGATTTCCGAGGCGGTGATCGTGGTCTCTCCCATATTAAGCAAAATATTCCTTTACCTAAAACTTGTGCTGCCATTTTCTGTAATGATACTCTGGTTTGTTTTTTCACTACGCAACGTGAGGATGCTTCTGGTCATGCTTCAATTAATCGTGAAAACCATGGTCGGCAAAAATTATTCGAATCATTCGGTGTTTTGAATGCGAATAATACCATTGCAGAATCCGAATCCGCCAACTTTGATGAAGATTCATCGTTTGCTCACGTTGGTTCATCTGATTCAGATGAGGATTTTATATGGGACGTGGATGAAGCCAGTAGAAGCAACCTTGTTTTTCCAAAGTATCGAAGTAGCTTCGGGATCAACAATGTTAATTCTAATAATTCATTGTTCGGCTCACAGCTGGCTCCCCGAGACATGTTTACGATGAATCGTTTTTCATCAAGAGGATCCACAAAACGTTCGATAGGCACGAATAAGACGACTGTTGAAACAAGGCATATCGTGAAATTATTTGATTTGAGTGAGGCAATTCCTACAAAGAAACATCTGGCTGCGGAGTATATGATCTGTGGAGACAAGGTCGAAATTTGTAAAAGGAATGCCAAAGTTGCAAAAGCTTTTGGATATCATCACCTTACGAATTCGTGGCTTTTTATTGGTAGGATGATGAAGTTATTGGAAGTGAAAAACAAGTCAAAGGGTATTGGAACAAGAACTTATTGGTTTGAAAATGGGTTTTTTTTAAAAACAGTTCAGTCATTTTTAGACCACTACACTGCTCAGGAAAACTTACAAATGTTAGCAATGCTTTCATGTGTGTTAGATGAGCCGGAACTTTACTCAGAGAATAAGCGATTGATGAATAAAACTAAGAATCCTGTTTCCGCCAAGTCGGATTCGAAGTTGATGAACAAAACTTCGGGAAAACTTGCTCCTAAAGCGGAAAGGGGTGAAAAAATGTCAAGTCAGTCATTAGCACGCATTCTTGCTAAGCCTGAAAAGAAATCTGGTGAGAGTAGTTCTGTGTATTCTCTAGGAAAGGATAATATCCATTTGAAGAAGACATTAGTGGTTCATGTTAGGCTGGAGATAGATGGAAGGAATGAAAAAGTGAATACAAAAGAGGAAGAAATGCTTTGGCGATTGCACGTCTGTTTTTCCTTTTGGAGATCAGCTTATGCAGGACTTTTAGACCAATGGGGATTTAACATTCCGAAACTAGAATTATTAAAATTGAATGCTATATGCGAGAAGGATCAAATGATCCATAATGATCATCAGGTGTCTAATGCATTGAGCACGAATCATCTTCAGGTATCTATTGCTCTAACGAAAATCAGAAGAAAAGAATTTAAAGACAACGTTGATGAACGGTGTGCTTTTTGCAATCTTTCGATTCGAGGGTTATCGAAGGTGTGCAATTTCTGTTTTCATGCGATTCATGAAGAATGTTTTTATGAATGGTTTTCTGTTGAAGATACGGTAACCCAATATTGTCCATCAAGCTGTGGATGTCATTGTCAATACTTACAACTAGAATGATTTTGTGATGATGATGACTTTTTTTTTTTGCTTAATTTATTCTGATCTATATCGTTTAATGCTGTACTCACAAGAATTTAATAATGATAACTAAATACTTTGTCGGTTTAATATTGGTTATTACAATTCCAAGTTCTTGGTGGTTTAATATATTTTTGTTCAAATGTTTATGGTTTTCTTTTTATTGTTTATTATCTTCTGGAACTTGCTATGCTGCATTGGAGGAGACAGTAATCTAGTATAAGCTATTATTGCTTAGCATTCTATTTATCCATTGCAACAAACAAGTCAACTAATATAAAACAAAAAATACAGAACTCATAGATCCATCGACTTTGTAAATTGATCTACATGAACTAGGTAACATCGTTGGTCGTAGTCACATTTCTTTGTTTTTAAAAAGTAAAGAAGCAGATAAAGCCACCAGCATAAAGTGCCTTTTCGAATCAACAAAATTGTGTGAAAAATGGACCAAAATAGGTCACTGCAAGAAGACGCTGAAGGCGAAGAAAGCAGCAAATACGAACCTGGAGTCCAATACATTCAGGATCCTTTTAAGCGACAAACAAGTTTTAAGAAAAGAAAAGCAGGTTTATTTAAAAAGGTAACGAGGATTGTTCCATAGGAGAAACTTCCAGATTTTCTACTTATTTGTTGGGTTGAGCAGGAATGCTAACAGGTGTGCGCTATAAACAGGCGAATGAACTATTTATGCTCACGGGATCAGAGGTCATGGTAATTGTTGTCTCTGAGACAGGATTAGTCCATACATTTTCGACGCCTAAGTTAGAAGATGTTGTCAAATCTCCAGAAGGGCAGAAAGTGATCTCCCACAGTCTGAAGGGAATTAATACAGATGAAAATGGTAAGAATTGCTAGAAAAAACAAGATAAAGGAATTTGAATGGCAAGTTTCTTTCAGAAAATCGCGGTTTTCTTTTGATGGATGTCTTGACGCGCTCATCTTTTCGGGTACAATTTAATCTAAAGATTAGCGATTTGGTGACGTCATTGACCATCGGCAAGTTGTTGAATTTGTCAAAATCTTTACAAAATGAAAAAACAGAAATCAGAATGAATTTGATTTTTTTAATTTCTTTATGCTAACTTTAGAATAGAGGAAAAAAGAGTTGGTGATAAAAATGATCAAGAATCTACTCCAGTCATTCATTCAGAGACAGAGTCACCAAAGGATAAGAATTCCAATTTGGATTATGGTCTGGATAGAAATGCAGGAAATTCATCTGGATATCCAACAGAAAGTACTACTGATCAATTTTTCATGTCATTTTCACCTCCTAATGAACAGCAAGTCGGTAAAGAACCCACTATGGTATCCCCAAAAGCTCTCCCATATAATTCAAAGACGTATAATTTTTCTGCAGAAACAAAAGGTCCATCAAAAAGTCAAGAAGGATATTCCATGCCAGGTGAAGAAACTGATGATTCGATGGGATTTTCCCCCGGCGATTTGCAAGAATTTTCAAATCAATTATCCGGTTTGTTCCATGAAGACGAACAACATGGAAATAGTCAATATTCTTTGCAACGTTCGGATGCTTTTCCGGTCCCAGTTGCTCCTGGTCCGTCGTCAACACAGAAGAAGCGTCGTCGAAAATCTGAAACAAAACCGAGGTCGAGCTCAAAAAGCATGCCTATGACACCAGAGAAGGCCGATTTAGAGTCATCATCACATAAACAAGATGAAAGATTACATCGTGAACGACCCCCTCTAATTCCTCTTAGTCGGTTGCCTAGTCTTGCTCCTCTTTTCACTGAAACTCACCGTGCAGATGAAATGAGGTTTATGAATCAGAATTATGTGCCTCCCCCAATGATGCCTTATCCAAGACATCCTTATGCTCAAGAAACTCCTGCTCCATCATACTATCAAGTGCCATATGATTATTCTTTTCCAGTAGAGCCTTACGACGATGGGTATCAACGGCCAGAACCCCATGACTTCAGTTATATGCCCATTTAGCAAAGGGGAAAATATTGGAGACACAGTTAGTAAATGATGAGTTTTTTGGTTATGTGTACGAATCTTTTTATGTTAATAATTTTAGGCAGTTTTTTAATCTATTCCAACAATATTAATAAATTTTGTTTTTGTTTGATACTTTTCTTCAATGAGTTCTTCAAGATGTTTTGCTCTTTCAAGGTCCTTAGCTAAAAAGTAAGTTGAACGATTCTGTAGGTATTTAAAAATTCAGCATCATTCTCTTTACATACTTTATTAAAACATAAATTGTTTTTTTTTTATGTTTCTGGGAAGGAACTGATCTTTCATTGAATAAAGACTAAGAATATATGAAACATAAACCTTTTTTCTGAGTGTTTTTCTTGCCTCAATTTACTAAGACACTAAATCAAAATAAAAGCTTCTTACTCAAGTTACGAGGCGTAGTTTACCTTATGCATAAATCGCAATTCTTCACCCTGGAAAAAGTAAAAATGTAAACAAATACTAAAAGTGACAATAAACAATGGAAATCTAATGAAGTAACACTATCGATGAACATTAGTAAATATCTTATTAACCGACTATAGCATGCTACATTATGTCACGGAATATCAAATATCAACGCTCAAATTCCTTCGGTAAACGAGATTTCTCAAGATGTTGGCATAAGAACGAACGAACGATCCTTTAACCAGCATCAAGGAGATTGCTATTGTAAACGAATTAAAAATGTCATTGTCAGATGAGCAGGTACAAGCAGAAATGCGCAAGATGATTAGCTTTATCAAGCAAGAAGCGCTCGAAAAAGCCAAGGAAATCCACACGCTCAGTGAAGAAGACTTTCAAGTAGAAAAGGCCAAGATTGTTCGTGAAGAATGCGAAACAATTGACAGAAACTATGAAGGAAAATTGAAGCGAGTTTCGATGGCTCAAAAGATTGCCAAGTCGAACGTAATGAACAGAAGCCGTTTAGACCTATTAAACAGTAGACAAGAAGTCATTGACGGAATTTTCTCCAAGGTAGAAAAGAAACTAGAAGGAATTGAACAAAAGAAGGATGCTTACGTCAAATTTTTGTGTGACTTAATTGTGCAATCGATGGAAATGTTGAGTGAACCAGTCGGCATCATCTATGCTCGTCAACGTGATCTTGATTTGGTATCCCTAGCCATCTCTAAGGCTATAGAAAGTTTGAAAGAACAAGAAACCTTTAAGAGTGTTGAAATTGACATCGATCATGATGAATACTTGGATGATTCTTGTCTCGGCGGTATTAAAGTGGTCGGTTTAGGAGGAAAAATTAAAATTGACAATACAATGAAGGCTCGTCTCGAATTAATTAAAAAGGAAGCTCTTCCTCAAATCCGTCACATGTTGTTTGGCGCTAATCCTAACCGTAAGCACCTCAATTAGCTTGCTTTTCGATAATTACTTTTCTTCGTTACGGTTATTTAATTTATTTTATCGCAATCTTGAAACATTTTTTACTTAAGATATATTTGTTTTCTGTAATAGCCTTGGAAGTTTTTGCTTTCTTTTTTCAAGTCATTTTACTGAAAGCTTTTTTTCTCAAGTTATCACGTTCCTCACTAATATCAACCTGGAAAAAATGCTTTTACCACTAATAAAAGGAATCCTTTTATGTATGATCATTTACGGTTTGATAATTGTGTCCTCGGTATCTTGAATTGAAATCCTGCGAAATCTTTTATGAAAAAAAAAGTTTTCGGAATTAACATATATATCCTTAAGTTTTACTTTAATAAGACTTCGTTCATTGATATGTCTGCTACGTGATACTAATAAAATCGGTTTTAGAAACTTTAACCCTGACTTTTATTCCTTCTCCGTTTCTTTTTACCTCCTTTTCTATTCGTTGAGGATTTTTTGGGTGTATTCCTTGCAGTATTTCCTTTGGGCGGTTCGTTTTGTTTTCTTACTGAACCCTGATCTTTTTCAATCGTCCGTTCTAATTCCGAATAAACATCTGAATTTTCATAATATATTACCATATATAGACGATGAATATAATCCTTTACCTCACATCTCGATAACAATAGATGCTCGGTCGTACCGGGAATGGCTAGATTAAGTTTTCGCAATTTTTCCAAGATCAAAGACAAGTTTTCACTCCTTTTTAAATCGAGTCCAGCTACTGTATAGCTAAAGGTCATAGTTAAGAATAATAGATCAGTGTAATCCTCATTCCTGCATCGATCCAGTAATGTATCAAGTTGCTCACAGATAGAAGAAAGTATGAATGCGGGTTCAGGTAGGGTCCCCAGAAACCAATGAATAGCTAAATTTGTGCGAAAATGAACAACTCTAGGGGAATTGGAAGGTAAGGATGATAAAATGCTTACCCATACAGGAGGCTGATCAGAAAGACGAACCAAGTCGTAAAAAAAATGTGGCTTTTCCGATGTAATAGTCAACTCCATGAATTTCATAAAAGACAATCGGCAGCTATGTCCGACTTTGATATCTAACAAGCAGCGAAAAACATCTTGTACTATAATAGATTGAAGTTTCTGAGGACAAATGGGATACATAAGTTGACAACATTGAACGAAAAAATTAACGTCAGATGAATCATTCAGGACTATAGAGCATACTTCTTTTGGACTAATAGTTTCTGAACGGACGGATTGGTAACGCTTTTGGGTATTAAAACCTACCTTTTGGCAAACTTGCCTATAGAAGAAATTTACATCCAATCCAGAATCGCGCTTGGATTGAATGTTCGAATGTAGATATGTTTTTAAGCATTCCAGCCATGTAGATCTTGGAGGGGAATAGAACGAATTGAAAAAGCGATAAACCAGGACACAGGATATGATTGAAGGAGGTATTAAATTGGAACATGCAACAACCTCAAAAATATAAACAGGACAATTAAGTAACTGATGTTTCAATTCCTCTGATATGGAAAGTTTTGGTAAATTTATATAAGCTTCTGGTTCAGCCAAAGACGGATTATAGTAATGGTATTGTAAGGTGCCGGATCTGACAGAATTCGTTCGTAACAAATTTAAGACTTCCGATCCGAGATTCTCATTGACTAGATTACTTATGCCAATTTCTTCCTGGTTTTCAAGCTGTCCCTTGTCATAGTAAAGAAGTCTTTCGACTGCGAACTTTCGTCGCTTTCGGTTCATATCATCCAGAGTAGCAGTACTCGAAAGACGATCTATGCTCCATTTATATGAAGAGAAGTCCGAAGTATCATTCTTTAAGTACAGGTTTCGAGAACGACTGTTAGTCTCTCCCTTTGACAATGGGATTTCTGGTAATGTGTCAAAATCATCTGAATCACTATTAAGAATACTAGTATCTAAGTTATCAAAGTCATCGTTTTTCTTCGAGAAGCTTTTTGACTCGGTATTTTCCATTGACGGAGAAATCAAGGATCCAACATGGAATATGGATGAGATGTGAACTCCATAGTCGATTTCACAAAGAACTCGCTCTCAAAGTATCATGAAAGAACTCGAAACCATTCTTTTTATGTTTTAACGATAAAAAATGTGATAATTTGTATACACATCCATGACCAAGGAACTGATGATCCAGCAGCTATAGGGGAAGCTAAAAAGATTCTGAAGGAAGGTACGCATCATAAAAGTATTTGAATTCTAGTTTCTATTTCTACTTTATAAAAAATTGCTTCATATCGACTCAACCATACTCAAACTTGTGAATGAAGCAATAGACTCGCCATTTGCTTGCAATATGAAGTCTACTTTTTGAGCATTTACCATGGATTTCCGTTTGAGAATTCACTTCTCAAGAGCAAGTTCATTCCCCTTTCACCATGCATTCTCTCTTGAAAATGAATTCGAATTCGGCGGAGATTCTTCTATGCACACAAGACGCCAATGTAAAAGCAGTAATGTTTTTCCTTTAGACTTGAAGAGATGACATTTTTAAGTATCATTTATACATACCTTTGTTGCCAGACGTTTTGCAATTTCATCTTTAGGAATAATCTACCTTAGCTTCCAAGGATTAATGGTTTTCAAATGAACATCTAAAAGAACCATTTCTATACATATCCAGTAATTGAAGTGGATACTCTTAAGATGTAACTACGTCAATTATTGCTACAAGCTGATGAGAAAACGGAATCTTGAAATTTTCTTCATAAGAAGATCCTACAGGATTTCTCATATCCACAGTTCCCTGTTGGCTTCAAAATGAACATTTTCGATCATTCTTCGGCCCAATTCAGCTTTCAATGAGAATGGCAAAGGTAATGAACATGACGAAGAACGCTGTTTTCCCTGTTTTAGAAGAGATTCAAATAGGTCAAAGCCTTAAACCATTCTGAAAATTGGAACTCTCAAGTCTCTATATATCCCATTGTCATTTTCGTTCCTGTTTTCTGCTTCTACTTCAAAGCACAAACAATTAAAAAGCAAGGTAAAATCTTTCAAGTTCTACTCATTTAAGCGTCTTTTAATATTTTTCCACGGACATCTCTTGTCTAAATAAAAGAAAACCCCTAAACAAATCTTACTCATTTGCTTTTTCGATTTTCCTCCACCTCCATTCTCATACACCCTTTCATAAACTTGTAAATTCTTCACCATCAAATCAAAGAATTAGGTAAAAAAGTAAAAAAAATCTCCATTATTTCTTCGAAATATTTTCCAATATGGGCACCATGAAAAACATACCAACTGCTTTATTAAATATCAATGAGCGTGCTGATTCTATTTTGGAACAATTGAACAAGGAAGAAGCGCTTCAGATTTATAAGCGAATGCCTGAATTCAATAGAGAATCTTCACTCCGAAATAGGTACAGCAATATCTTTCCTTACAAGGATAATTATGTACACCTAAGTCCCAAATGGGGATATACTTGCGACTATATGAATGCTTCTAATGTTATTCTTCCTTGCAGACAATCGTTTATTGCAACACAGGTAATTGAATATGCATTTATCTGTGCTAACTACTTTTCACCTTTAGGGTCCTACACTAAAGACAATTCCTCATTTTTGGAAGATGGTATGGCAATCCGTTAATGATCATGGAATCATCGTCATGCTTACCAAGTTGCAAGAGGGCCTTCGTACTAAGTGCGATTTATATTGGCCCTCAGAAACCGAGAAATCGCTACAAGTAGACGGATTAAAAGTGACTTATAGTGGAAAATATAAAGTGGAGTCCGTCGATGATTGTACAGTACGAAAGTTCGTGTTAGAAAAAGGCTTGAAGAAAAAGACAGTGTATCATTTTTATTATACTGAATGGTCTGACTTCAAGAGCCCAAAAGCAACCTCTATTTTTTCTTTATTACTGTGCGTTAAATCACTAGCTCATACAGTCAAATTCCACAAGTCTCCTATTGTTGTCCATTGTTCAGCTGGTTGTGGCAGAACAGGGACATTTATGGCACTCTTAGAGCTCGTGAACAGAATTGAGTTTGAGTATTCGAGAAATTACTTGCTGGAATCCATACCTGAAATCGTGTACTGCCTTCGTATGCAAAGAATGCAATCTGTGCAGTCCGCTGAACAACTCATTTTCTTGTACACCATTTGCTATGAACTCCTTCAAATGCCTTTCCCCAAGGTTCCAAAATTAGTGCCTCTGGATTCGACTTATTCTTCATAAAGCAAACATTGACATTAGTTTGGTCTTCTCATGGCAACGCAATCATTCCATTACATGATTATTGGATATTTTCTTAAATTTATCTATCCTTTTTTTTGTCCTTCATGAGAATGCGATTATGTCTGATCTAACGTTTTAGTAGGAGGGACCTCTGTCTAAATTTTTGAAATAGAGCTCAATTCCATGCCTTCAGAATGGTCAGAAGAGGTATAAACGAAACATAATCTTACAAACGAGGCTAAGCCCGAACAATCTTTCACCCTTGAATCCTTCGAAGTACACTGCTGAAATATTTTCTTGCTAGGACGATCCATATTTCATGATTTTTCTTTGTCGTTTATTTATAAAGTTTAATAGAAAATAAAGCATAACATAGATATGAGATTTGGTTTTCATTTAATCCATCTTTCCCAAGCCATATGTGTGCCTTCCCTATACGCACCCAAGCCCAGTTCTTTGACATTGAATCAAAATCTACTTCAACACTCTAGATCTTGTAAATTTATTAACCCTGTACTTTATAATTTTGCTTATTACCTTTATTCCACCCCAAATTATCATTGATCGCAAAATATGATGCTCCCATCTTATTTACAGTTTGCAATTCGAAAGCGCGTCTTGGCCGTCTTTATAGTGTAAGAAGATTCAAGTTTATGAAGCTATTCTGTTTAAGTTTAGCATTTCTTTTGCTTACGTTAAATACAGACACTAACGCGACTAGGTTACTAATTATTGCTACGTATCTGTAAGTCGTGAACTAAGAGAGCTCTAAAAACACGGAATATAAATGGACAATCACCATGGCTCAATTAGACTTAAACAGTGGATGGACAGTACACTAAACAATCTTTCTATAGGGGATTTGCACCTGCTTTGCCCATTCCGGTGAATGACAAAGCCTGCCATTTCGTTGTGTTCTTCTTTCTCACTTTGGTTTTCTACTGGGTTTTCGATTTATCCCGTCGTCGCGCTACTCAACTCACTTTAGTTGTTTGTGGGCTTGTTGGTAGTGTTGGTTCAGAATTTGTCCAAGCGTTTCTTACTGTAAGTTCTCATTAAAAGATTATAAAAGTCCTCCATTCCCTTTTGTCAAAAAAACGAACGGGTGTTAAATTGCTTTATTAGAACTGTTTCTAACATATGGCTTTTCACGCTATAAATAGTTACGAACCTTTGATGTCTTTGATATTTTGGTAAGTACTCTTTCCTATGCCAGTATTATAAAAAAGTTAACTTTGCTGATTGTATAGGCCAATCTGCTAGGTTGCTTCCTCTCTCTTATGATTAATATCATGTATCATAAGCGACGCCTTGAAAAAATTCATTTCCAACGTTACGGTCATTTGAACTCTGCTGAAGATGATTTGGAATTGCAAGCTCAAGAATCCGAAGACACAGATATGGAGGACGATCCTAATCGTGCAACATAAGCCTAAAAGTGATGTTTCCTTTCTTTATTATCCTTTCTCTTCGTTTGGAACTTCCTTATTTGCTTATAATTATGTTCATCTTTTTTGTAGCTTGATTTATGTCTTAAGTTTTTCTCATGAAAAATTCAAAGCTTTTATACTTCATGATTCCTTCACGCAATATTAGGCAATGTTATTATATACATGTCTGTCAATCATTGTAATGAAAGTCAAAAATTTTTATTAAAGAGTTTGATGGAATGAGAAGCTTGATTAGTATACCTATGTGATAAATTCTCAGTATTAAATATTAGCAACCGCCAGATAATTAGGATATGAATGAGCGGTTTGCATTCTCTAATCTTAAAATTCTGATTATTTCATGAAACGTTTTTCTAATGCAAGCAATCCGGCTTTATTCAATAACTTGTCCAATTAAGTTCACATTTTTAGTGTCCGTTCCACGGAAATGAAAGCTTTTAAGTTAAAGGCAAATGGGGGACCAAATGATCCAGAGTTTTGTATGAATTCTCAAAAGAATCAACCACTTAATCGTTGCAAGGCTAATCTTCAGCGAGTTTTCTATACTTTTTAAGTACAGAAATATAGACCTTGACTTTGAAAATGGTTGATTTTAGATATAAAGAGCGAGCCTTCCAGTTCTCGACTCCACGACGGAACGTATTTTTATTTTGTGAGGACAAAATAACCAACATCTCTAAATGAATAGCTTCATGCTTTTTTGAGGCCTCAGACAAAACTTTCGAAAACCCTTTGAATGAATTTAGTTGTTTGATAAGGGATAACTGACTGGGTATTCCACTGATAGGCTCAGGCTCCCAAACCTTTAAAGATAATTTAGGGTATTTTCTTTCTCCATGGCTGGAAGATTTTATGTCTTTATCATTCATTTGTTGTTTCCCAGTGCATAGTGACCATCCATAATCAACATTTGATACACTTCCGAGCAAAGGAATTCGAGAGGTACGAGCTGCCCAATAGTTTAGTGCTTCTATCCAAGCTTGGGCCTCTCCTAGCCTTGTAGCGGCAAATTGTAAACGTTTTCCTGAATGCGTTTCCAAATAAAAGGAAGGAGCGGGAGTTCTTCTGAAACCCGTGTTGTCTAAACTTACCAGGTGTGCTACTGAACTCATAATTGACGTTTTTAAAATGGGGTTTCCGATTTTAGAAACATCTAGGTCTTGTAGATCCTTGAACTCCCCTTCTATACTGTACAGAGATAAAATATCTTTTTCGAGAATAGAAAGGGTAATCATCCATACATCCTTTTTCTTCAGCTTCCCGCTGTATCGGATCAAGTACCTTAAAATGCCATACTTGCAGTGAGGAGGAAGATAAAAGGGAGGTGTATGTTCTTGATTTCTTAGAGTAATAACTATACTGGGAAGATCAGGTGAAGGGCAACTTGCTTGAAAGTAACCCATAGCGGACTTGGATCGCTTGGCCTCTGGAAATTGATGACGCATAGCTTTTTCAAACCGATTATGAAACAATAAGACACCATCATTGTTACATTCAAATAGAAGGGACGAAGAAGGCCGCGTTATAGTATCTTCAAGCCTACCATCAGATGCACTTTTATTGCTCTTTAAGGACACATTATCAGACATTGAAAAATTTTTTGCATGTGCAAAAATGTCGTCAGCTATCTGCTGTTGAGAGTTAGGTTTTGCTTGCAAATACCGATCGGGCTGTAGTATAGACGACACCTTGATGGAGTGATATATCTCCTTCAATACCAAAGACCAGTGGTCAACAAAGGCAGCTTCGATTTCCTTGACTTTTGAATTTTTCTTTTCATGGCTTTTAGTAAGACCGCCTTTTAAATTTGACAAGTTATTCGATAAAGAGCTAATGGCTGCCGAGCCATCATTAGGATTGGACGCAGCAGCATAGGAACGTAGCAAAAATTGATATTTATCTTCTAAAGAATTAAACGAAGCTTCAAGGGCTTGTAATATATCGGAAAGGGTATTAGATACGAATTGTGAGCGAGTCATTTTTTGAGAAGAAGCAATGTTTGCTATATGCAAATCTGTGTTCAATAATAGTATTGAAAAGGCAACAGAATGAACAATATCCTTTGTACAAAAAACTTCTTTCGGATTAGTATGGCACCATCGGCTTGAAAAAATTTCCAAAAGATGGTCCACTTTTTGCGTTTCTCCTTTAATATATAAATTACCACAAAGAATGCGTAAAGACTGTAAAATGTCGGAATTTTCAAAATCGTAAAGAGATATGTACTGCTCAAGAACCCTTCTGTGATAATTATCGTCTTGCATTAGATAGGAGAGGGCATCTTCATTAGAGACAATTTTCTCTGAACCATTCCAAATGTCCATAGCAACTAGTTTTGGATCACAGGTACCATTTTCCAAAGAACTTACATTAATGGAATGAACGGAAGCAGCTTCATCTTTCAGATCTATAGACCTCGTAGATTCATTCAAAGCTATGTTAGTTTTATCATGCAAGCTCCCAAGAAGAGGAGTAGAAAATCTACGAGCATTTTCGTCATCCACTCCCATATATGGGTTACCTAGCCGACGTTTAGTAGTTTTTGGGTTTGTTTGATTATCAGACGGAGCATCGTCAAAAACGAAACTCGAATCGGGAGTTTGAAAGTTTTCTTCACAATGATCATAAAAGTCGCATTGATTTGCCTCTATAGAGGATTCATTTACATATGGTGACGCCGGCGCTGATTTGATAAGAGGGCTATTTAGCGGTGAAGATGGTAAACTAGAAAGTATTAGGTCGGCACTGAATGGAGGGCCAAAGGATACGTCTTCAAAAAAGGAGAGAGAAGTACTAGGACGAGCGGGTTCTTTTTGGGATGTAGGGTGTAAATCTCGAACGTCTGTGGAAAGACCGTAAGGAGGGGACCTTTTTAATTTCGATTTTTTCTTTGTTTTTCGCCCCCTTAACGAGGAATTGAATCCAAGAACAGACTGAGAGCGGAATAGAGTCGATTCAGAATCAGCATCCGTTTTCGACCGGACTACCGAATTATCTTCATCGATAGATTCTAAACTTGATGACGGAATAGAAGATTTTTTATGAAACCAATGAGCGGGAAATAACCGCTTCAATAATGACTTCTTGGATGCAGTGGAAGATACAGATGAATTCGACGAGATTGAAGATTGGTGGCGATGACTCCACCGGTTATATATATTGCGAGAAGAAATGTTATGAGTATGAGAGCTTAAGTCCATACCTCATCTGACTTTACAAGAAGCATCCAAAAATTGGTCAACAAAAAAGAAAGAACAGGAATCACCGTGTGTTTCAGGGTAAAGAACGATAAATTATAAAAAGAATGAATAAAAATACAAGAATAAAAGGAATGACTTTTGGTTTTTAAAACCGGAACGTTAAAAAGTTCATACAAATAATTAGTGTTAAGCGCAAGTGGAGAGTAGTTACTAGAAACTACTACCGTTTTATACTAAGTTAATTAAGGCAATCCCTAAAGTAAGTTTTTAATATCTTAAACGTTTTTTTTCCTAATATCTTAGAATAAGATAAAGAAGGAAAAACAACCGGATGGTCTACATCAATTGTTATTCTATTGAAGTCAGAGGGTTTCGATCTGCTAAGGGCAGAAGGTTTTTATAATAGATATAATTTTTATTTTTGAATCCTTAATTATACGAGTTTGTATAGAATTTTGCTTACCTAAAATCAAAAAGGTTGAATTACCGATACACTTCAACAAACATGAAGCCTACACGCTTTTTCACTCCTGAGAACCTTCAAATTGTAAAGAGGATTATTTCTCGTTACCCATCTGGCCAGGAAAGGGCTTCTTTGGTTCCTCTGCTGGACTTGGCTCAAAGACAAAATGGTACATGGATTCCCCCTTCAGCAATGCAAGAGATAGCCAATTCTACCGGTCTTTCTTTTGAACAAGTTCATTCTTTTATGTATGTTTCTGACTCTTTACTGCTTGTTTGCTAATGAGTTTTCTCCTTTTCCCCTTTCGTCTGTGACTAACCTATTCAAATACAGCTTAGGATATCCCACATCGTTTGAGTGGCGCCCTTGCGCTCCACAATTGCGAATTTGCAATTCTTGGATGTGCTGTCATAAAGCAAAGCAGCAGGATTATGATATTTTTGAAGCAGCTCGATCCGTTGCTCAACCGTATGGAGTCGAGGTAAAAACGACCGTATGTTTTAAGTTCTTAATTAAAATGAAAAATAACCAGTTTTACGTTTAGGGATGTTTGGGAGCTTGTTATGGTGCGCCTGCCTTTTGGTTTAATGATAAAATACACACAGATGCTACGAAAGAGTTTATCAAACAAGTAATTTCAAAAGAATTATCTTAATGAATGGCTTATTTTGAATTGTATTAGCTCTGCTGAAAGTTTATTTATATCAGTGTTTCATAAATGACACTTCATATATGCCCTTTTCTACTATGGTTTATCTTGCCAAACCGTTGAGAGCAATACGATTACTTGAGTGAATACAACTTATAAGACTAAATTATAGCCCTAATGACCCGTCCAAAGGGTGTCATTTGCAAGTTCCACAACTTCAACAATGACCAAGAACTACTTACATGTAAAATAACGCAAGTTACTTACTATCGGTGACATAAAGCCTAAAAGTAAGAAAGGAAAAGATTTAAATATGATTTTATATGAATATGATTATGCCAATGCTTATGAACTATATGCAATAGATGCAAACAGAAATGCAGTTATATGTATGTTGATGCTATACACTGTCAAGGAAGATATCAAAACCCAAGTTACCTTACAAAATGACGAATGTCATCGCTCCAATAAGGAGAGCAGCGATAGAAACACCAGCCATTTGACGGCTAGGGGCAGAAGAAGACTCGCTACCAGAATGAGAGCCAGACTTGGCGGGGCCAGAGACGGTACTAGTATTAAAACCAGATGTACTACCATTAGCGCTCATAGCAGCACCAGAGCCAGAGACAGAGCCAGAGCTTATCACGTTACTGCCGGTGGAAGAGGCAGAACCAGAAGAGCTCGTTGTGCTTTGTATAGCTTGAGTATGGGGGATCGCTTTAACGTCAACACTAGTGGAAGAAGAATGAGGACCAGCACTAACTAGGGCAGTGGCATTGGTGCTTCCTTCTTGGTTAGAAGGAGCATTTAAACCCAAAGGTTGGCCTGCACCATGCTGAATGAATTGTTCAGCTTGAGAAGGAGTATCAGGAAGAGGGAAGCTCGACCAGTTTTCATCATTAGGTGGGCAACTAAGAGGCTTGGGATTCTTGTTGTAGCCACCGTCACCGGCAAATTTGGCAGCTTTGCTATACTTTTCTTTTAATGCTTCGTAATTCTTGCTAGTTTTGACAGAGTTACCATTAAGGGTGACCAAACCATAGTTGCTTCCTTCTTCAGTGTATTCATAAACCAAACCACCAGAGAAGACAGAAGCCATCTTGTCGGAAAAGAGGGCATCCACCTCGTTGAAAGGACGATCAGGGGTACCGTCAGATTCAATACTAACCGTATTGCAACCGTATTCAGAAAGGAATAAGGGAATAGAGTAATTGGCGAAATCTTTCATGCGTTGATCATATCCAGAGAGGCTAAAGCTAGAGCCCGAACCACACCATTCGTACATGTTCATACCATAAAAGTCAGCACGGGCCTCATCGTCATCACCACAAGCAAAGAAGTCAGCACATTGAACGCGGATTTCAGCAACATCTGCAGCGGAGTAACCAACAGGAATTTGACGCTTCGAGTTATTCTTGATATATTTCTTGGCGTCACGGAGAGCAGCCTTGACCCAAGTAGTAGTAGCAGCGTTCTTGGGCTCATTGGCAACCTCGTTACCAGCAAAGAAACCCAAAACGTTGTTATAATCCTTAAAGGCATCGATAGAAGCAAAGATACCTTGCAAGTAAATGGCATTATAACTTGAAGCGGCATCCAAACGAGAGATGGAGTTTTTAGAAGTTGCCAAGTCCAAAAGGACATAAATACCAGCATCTTCAAGTTCCTTCATACATTCATCATGATTGGCAGTGTTGTCTACTTGATAAACACGAATAGTATTGACGTTTAAGTCCTTCAAATAAGGGATATCACGCTTGCAGTTCTCAGTAACGGCCAATGGGTCAGTTGTCGACGAAGAACCCCCCGGTTGGTAATCAACACCACGAAGATAGAAACGCTCATTAGATTCGCTATTAAAGAATGCATTACCACGAACCTCAATATGAGGGGTACTGGCACTAACGATGCGTCCGATCGAAAGTAAAGCGAACGAATGTGCCAAAAACTGCAAAAAGTTCATACTTGGCACCGAAAATAAAAAAAAAAAAAAAGTATGGAAATGAAAAGAAAGAAGATACAAAAATTCTTAAAAAAGAACGATGCAAACTAAATGAACGAAACCTCCAACAACTAAAGAAAGAAATTTGTGGAGAATTTGATAAAAAGAAAAAAGAACGGCCTTTTTTATCAAAGAAATAAGAAAAAGTTAATGATTCTATGAATCAAACAAAAGGCTGTTAATAGAATATTCTTCTATAAACCTTTGTCAAGATGGTAATGGCCAAGTTACCTTAGGGTCAGGAAACCACTTATATACCATTCCACGTGACGCGTTTACTGTTTCCCTCATAATACTACTACAAGGGTTGAGATGCGCCATTGCCATGACAACCGCCGCGTGTGGGCTTTAGCTCTAAACAAACGAAAACAGCAACATTTACTCAGAGTAAACCGAAAGACACGTGAAAGTAATTTTACAATCTACAATGAAAACTGTATAGCCTTTTCCAGTTGGAAAAAAAGTCGCTGAAAATGGGGGGGTTCCTTTTTCGAAAATGAAACGTAATGATGTAAACCAACGCGTAAACAAATAGTAAACAATGTGAATGTCATCGTAAGCAATAACCCCAAGATAAATAAACAAAGAAACAGTAAAGGATAAAGGATAAACTAATAGTATAGATAAAAACGCAGCTGGATGAAATGATATTTGACGATCTTTTCACTTCGATAAGTCAAGGAACACATTGACTTCAAGAGCACGAGTTATGTAAAAGTTGTAGTAATTGTAATTTATAAGATTAATTGAAAGTAATTTTTTTAGAGAACTATTGACTTCGAGAATTTATATCCAACTGGACTTGTAATATGATCTATGAAACTGGAAACCCATAGGTTCGACTATGGATAAATGCCTTCATGTTGAAAAGCTCCCTTTGGATCTTCTTCCTTGAGTTAATGGTATGTTTAGCAAGTTACTTATCTAGGAATCAACCTAATTTGAAGTAACTAAGCTTCCGGCTTCTATAGGTTTCAGCTAAGGGAACCCAGCCCATCTTTTACGAACTGTGAGGATTCTGAACCCTTAATCATCCAAGACTGCTTTTGTGAATTCTCTCATCCATTATGATCTCTATATTGTTCCAACGGTGGAAACCATTCTTTATTATAGTGGCCCTTTTCATTGGAAATTATTCCTCATTTTAAACGGATAAATAGTTTGAGACGTTCATAATACCAAACAGTTATGAAAGATTAAAAAGAAAATGAAGGATGACGAGGAAAAGATCCCAATGTCAAAGTGTTGACTATCAGTATAAACAGAAACCTCGTATTGAAACACCCTCCAATGGACGACTCATACATACTATTAGCCAGCCAGCGATTTTTCATCCTGACCAATATACCTTTTCTACTCCTCTGCTTTAGTAATTGTCGAGACTGCTGCAGCAAGCTTTTAGAGCACAACTCAAATGTCAATCAGAATCATCCAGGCATCCAACTATCCGTTATAGATGAAAAAGAACTAGAATATACCATTTACAGATTTCCTTGAAAAGATATAGAATATTAAACTCGAAACCGTTCCCAGTATTGCTTTCATATGTGTTGAACATGGCCATCTCCAGTAGCTTACCTTCCCTTCTCTTGAATTTTAAATCTAAGTTCCTATATCTATACTGCTGGTATAAAAAATTTTAAAAGAATTCCTTTTTTGTCGAAAACAACTAAATGAGTAATAGTGATTAGTGAATATTGGGATTCATGCAAAGATATTTATTTTTGCTGTATCGGTCGAATTAATGTCAGGCACATACTTTCCTTTGCATACTACATTGGACCAAGATGGACTCAAAAATAGCTTAGCTCAAAATTTACAGCCTCCTTGGAAGCGATATGATTGTGTCGATATACAATACGAGCGTCAAAACCTTCAGTCTACGAAAGGTTTGAATTTTTTTCAAGCGTTGAAATGGTCGCCAAGTGGTGGAAGCATAGTAGTGTTGACAGAGAATCAAAAATTGACGCATTGGCCAATTTCAACAACAAAGACTGATACGAATGAGCCATCATTGACGTTTGATAACAGTGGAAAAAATGCCATTACCCCTTCAGAGTGTATTTACAGTTTTACATGGCATCCCTCTCGAAATAATCAGAAGCTGGATTCTGATTTGATTGCATTCTCCACGAGAGATTATCCTATTCAAATTTATAGTCTTTCAAAACAGCAAAGAGTTTCGTCGTTTTACGTTGTTGACCACTGTGAACGATTCATTGGTTCTCACTGCATGGACTTCAGCCCAGATGGTGAGTATTTAATAGCTGGCGGAACAAATAACTTTTATTTATTCAATGTTCATCTAGGCCAAAAGTCTCCTGTTTCTACAACACCAACAAGTGGACATGAGATCCCTATGTGGGAACCCACACTCGACGGAGTTCAATCTAGCATATGTCTTAATCCTCAAGATCCTCGAACGATGGCTTTGGGAACCTTCAATAATACAGTTGGGATTTATGACATTCATAGGAGCAGGCCATGTCAGCTTAAGTTTTCGTTGGCGAACGGTACCGGGGTTACGCATATGAGATGGTCTTCAGACGGGTACGGGCTGTATGTAGGAAGTCGTAGAAGCACTCAAATTGAAGTTTGGGATATTCGATATGCTCAGGATATGCTATACGAGATAAAAGGTCATAATGGCGATACGAATCAAAGAATTGTTTTTGATACTTTGGGGCACGAAGGACTTGTAAGTGGAGGAACAGATGGCTGTGTTTCAATCTGGAAAGGTTCACAACTTGTTGAAAAGGAAAACGTAACAAATCAAAGAAACATAACAGTAGCAGCTGTTGAAAAGCACCCTTTTGATTCCTCTTTGTTCGCCTTGTGTTATGGACGAAGATGTGATATTATGGATGATGAGGACGGATTTTCTTCGATAGAGTACTGGGAAACTCCATTCTCTTCCCTTCAACTTTTGGGAATGGAGAATGGTTTAGCTTAAACGGGGACCATTTTGTATAACATCGATTTCTTTTATTTTAATTCAATTTAAATAAATATGGAGGGTTGAATAAAGTTTTAAAGCACAATGTAATTTTAAGACTCATCATTGATTCCCAAGGTTAATAAAGGTCTTGTGACCAAGCTAACCAGTTTATGTATATACGTATAAATCTTGCTTCGCTTATTATTTGTCCATGCACATAGGAACCTATAGTTACAACTGAACTTCAATTTATCATGATAATTACGAGTCGAACTCTTATCGAAGCATTCAACCTTGGATTGTAGTAATATTAACTACTTTGAATAAAGAGTTAGCCACGGTAATACTGTTATTGATACCTCTTCTATATACGAGTACCATGCATGCATTACATGAACGCTTGAAACACAATCAAATGTATTCTTTTTTCGATGACCTTCTTACTTTTAAACAACTTTTTGATGAATACTGAATTCATTTGAAAAAATAAAGAAATTTCCTATTTCATTGTTGACGTTACACGTCAGCTGGATCTAAGCTTTAAAACCAAATAACAACAACTCAAAAACTAGTTTCATGGAGTCATTGATGAAATAATCCAAGAATTTTAATCTTTCAACATGAAGTTGTTAATCAATATTCATGTATATGCATTCTTGGTTTCGTTGGATTGATGATTTGCATATAAAAAAGAGTATAGGATAAAAAATTTGACTTTTGTAGTCCTTGAAAGCGTCATAAAAGGCTTGATAATTGATCAGAAAGCGTTTTGAAATTTCAATACTACCTGAAACTGTCACTTATGGAGTAACGGTCGAAAGCATACTACACAGTGTTGGTACCTGAGATATAAGCAGAGTAGTAGAGTATGCTTACAATTTGGATGAAAGTATGAAATCAATGATATTATCCAGAAGGTCAAATGAAATATTTTTTTATCAAAAAGTTAAAATTTGAAAGAAATATGAGACATTTCATGGATCAAGGATAAGTACGTTCTTAAGCCTACCGACGAAGTAGAATACACCAAAAGTCAGAAGCGTATTGAACAGCGCTTTTACCCTCGGTTAACTTCAGTATTAAAGTTTTTTATGAAAGTCTTATTTCGTTTACAATCAAAAGTACACACTGGACAGAGGATCTATAGAATGGACATTAAATCAGATACGGATGGTAAAGAATACGCTCCAAGAAGTAGAATTCTCGGATGATGCAACTAGGTAATTGTGTCGAAAGAAGTATATACTACATGTAGTAAATCTGTCAGAAACATGGGTTTCTATCTTTTCAGCTAGCTGTATTACTCGGTCCCTAAAAGACAAAGAAATATAAGTATTACACAAGGAGCTAAGGTAATTTTTTTTTTTTTTTTTAAAAATTCCAACTCTGCTTTACTCAAATTTCCACTCTCTTTACTTCATAAAAACTAAACATAAAAAGGATTTTTTAACCTTCATGTATCCATCAAGTAAATAAACAATTTTCCACACTTCAAAGTAACAACGTTAAGGTAGCATACTTTCTGAAGTTTAACAACTTTTTGAATTAGCTTCTTATTTTAATAATGATCTGCAGCGAATACAAACACGAAAAATTTTGATTCCACTATGTATGTATGATGCAGTAGAACGAAAGTTAACGCGAAACCATCAAAAATTTATTTCTTTCAGATTTTATAAAGGGAAGTTCTCTATTAAGCTGTTTCTTTATATTCATTAAAAAATCAATATATGATATTGATTTGGTGAGAATTTGCCCCTAGAACGTTGATTAAAACGCATTTCTTTTGACAGTGTTGAAACGAACCCAGAACCAAATAGGTGACCACATAAGAAAAGTTGAAACTTTGGCGATTGAATTGCCAAACGTTTTTCTTATCGATCCGTCTTTCAAACATAAAAAATGGTTACTCCAAGGCAAAGAAAAAAACAGCGTTCCGGACAACCTCGATTGACGAGAAGGAATCACAATAAGAAAGCCAAAGCAAAAATTTATGGTAATGCTATTGTTCGTGAAAATTGGGATATGCATGCTACATTGACTCAAAAGTAAGTATCTTAATTGTTGAAAAAGGACGAAGAAAGCAAGCAATCTAGACAAAAAAAGAGCATTTGAGCCGTCTTCGTTACGGCCAGTTTGTTTATGAAATCTCTTTTTGGAGTTTATGAATGCACCTTAGACGCTTTCCTGGTTTTTAATGAATTCATATGCTAACTACTTGGTTTAGTTATGAGCGAATGGGTCTTGTGGTCACTCCCAATTATGTTACTGGCGGTAAAGAAAAAATCAACCCAGAGCCCAAACTTCAAAAGAACGAGAAAAACGCTGAACCTACTGCAGAGGAATTAGAAGAAGTTCGAAGAAGCTTGGGTCCCGGCCAGGCTATTGTTCGAAGGGACGACGAAGGGAACATCATCGAGATTATCCATGGAAAAGAACGTACTTTTGATGATATTTTGGATGAAAAAGTACAATCTGTCCCTGCTAAGACTGAAGTCACAAAGAAATTAGAAGAAGAAGCCTCTCGGAAAGATAAACCTCGCAAAAAACTTCCCTTAAGCGCCTTTGAGCTTTCTTATGTGTCTAAACTACTTAACAAGTATGGTACTGAAGATTTTGAAAGCATGGCAAAAGACGTGAAATTGAATCCGAAACTTTTAAGCTCTGCTAAACTTAAGCAAATGTACAGTCGCATGCAAACATAAGAAATAACAAATTTTTATAGTATCGTTTCTAAAAATGGATTTAATACAAAGTTTGGGTTAGTTAGGATTTTGGATGAAAATATTAAAATAACATTCTATTTCTCATATACTCATGTAATAATAGATCCTCTATTTGTGCTACCCAAATATATGTATAACGGAAAGTAAATTCTTGAAAACGAGTGTACGCTTTGACAATATTGCGGAAATTAAAAATGCCATAAATTTGTCAAATCACCCATAATTTATGAAATGAAAGAATCAAATTTCTGAGCATCTTTAATAAATAGTCAGCCAAAAGCCATAATGACAACAATAATAAAGTGTGTATGCATATAAATCATAATGCTAATAAATTGTAAAGTAGGTAATCTGCCACTTAATGCAATGTAAACAGTGCTCCAGTAAATATCTTAAGCTAAATGCCAATTCATCCTCTTAAGTCTAAGCTATCACACAATTCAAATGTTTACGAAATTTACCTTTCGTTGTCTTCTTTGTAACTGGTACCTTCTGCACCACAGGCTTTGCCGGCGTAGTCTCAGGGACAGACTTCGTAATGGCTGCATTTGAGGTATCGTCCTGCGATTGAGAAGTAATATAGGGTGTTGAAGGTGCACTGCTATAGTTTGCAGCACCATGTGAGTCATTTGACGTACTAGTAGGAGGAAGACTTTCACCATTTTTCAACAATTCCTTCAAACTCTCCAAACCCTCAGCAGCTTCCACGTGTCCATTATTAGAGGCTTCCGTGTACCAGTAAAGAGCCTGTTCTGAATTGTTTTTACTTTCAAAGATGTATCCCAATAAAAACTGGGCGTTGGCATTTCCTGCCATTGCTGCTCGCTCAGCATGTACAAAGGCTTGATCTTCATCAACTGGAACATCAGTAGCACCATTCAGGTACCACTTAGCAAGCGCAAAATCTGCCTCAGTTTCACCTTGTTTAGAGGCAGCAGAGTAATAGAGCACAGAATACTTTGGACTTATAAAACAGCCGCACTTTCCGAATTCATAGACTGCACCCATACGTAACAAAGCAGAAGATTGTCCCAGGAATGCAGCTCGTGCAAAGCATTCTAACGCACGTCGCTCATTTATGGGAATAGCTAAGCCCTCCGCATCTAAATCGACCAATCCAGGGTGCTCATGTAAATTCAAAAGGGCATAGCTATACAATCCAGAAGGGACATCAGCATCAGCATTGTTAGCACTCAGTTCTAAAAGTTCAATAGCGCGAGAGCGTTGTTGAGCATATGTTCCAATATTATCAAGCATTCCTTCAAGAATCAATAAAGCTAATCTCCAACAACAAGCACTGTCTTTAAAGCTAGCACCTTGTTCAAAGTATTCGATGGACTCTTGCAGGCTTCCTTGGTCCTCTAGAATTACACCAAGTCTATAAAGACTTCGAGTATAACCGAGTTTGGCAGAAGCAGAATACAGTTCCCAAGCTTGTTGAAGGTCAACTTCAACATCAAAGGCACCGGATTCATAAGTATAACCGTCATGATAAAGAGCACGAGCATTTTCAGCTCTTGAATATTCCCGAATTTTATCAAGGGCAGTTTCACATACATTCTCTAAATAGTCAATTTCGTCATAGTTTCCGCTATCATAATTTTGCAAATACGGAAGATAAACCAAAGTAAAACGAAGGACGTATTCTGACCATTCTAAGCAATCGTCAGGGTTCATAGAATGGGCTAAATTTTCATTTTCGCGAATCCAGTCTAGTTGCTCCTCTTCCGAGATGGGCAAAGTAAAAGGCAAATCGATTGTGACCTGCTTCTGTAAAGGTGATGAATGTCTTGGTGTAGTGCTTCGGTGTAAAGAATCAGTTGATTGTGTTGGATAAGCAGTGCGTGATACTTCGTGAGACATACGAGACGGTGTAGGAGTAAAGGTGGTAGATATCGACTTCTTAGGCAGAAATTCTCTATTTATAGGTCCGTCTCTTTGTTGCTTATCCGATGGATAATCTTCAGACGTAGCTCGTTTAATCGTCAATAACATGCTTGAAGAAGAAACATTTGGGCGTGAATAGAGACCGATCTTTTTACTACTAGCACTAGACACATTTGGACTCCGAGAATCGTTCATTTCAGGAGCAATCATATCACCAATACCATAAGCTGGTGTTATTTTATCCGTCTCAAAAGGAATGTTAGACTGAACATTGGAAAGATAGTAAGCACCAATCTTAGAAGCTAAATGAGGATCTGATTGCATTGAAGTACTCAAAGTTGAGCGATTACGGGAGCGTATTTGGTGCAAATTACCAGTACTTGCACTAGCAGAACGTAATGGGCTTGATATTTCTGATACGACCATGGGATTTCTTGCGTATTCAGCACTGTCAGAATACATTCTATAAGATTAAATTAATTATAAATAAAGGAGAGCTGGTAGAAAGAGCGAAAAAAACACGTAAAAAGAGAGAATTTAAAAGTCATATGCAAGGAGCTATAGAAAGCTCCTGTCTAAAATTTGGTAAAGGACAACTTCTTCTTGAGAATTATATTGCTTAGCGTCCGCCTCCTTTCAAAAGCGTTTAAACAACTCTTTTAAGTAAACGTTAAACAATGTATCATCCGTACTGGTGCTGGTTTGAACTTTGCAAGTAGAAATCCAAGGGATAGGATGACCAGCCAAGTTAATGAGTGACAAGAGATGTTACCTAATTCTTGATTGGTATTTATCAAAGATAAATAGATCAGGCAAATATTACTGAGTTCAATTAAGAATAAATTCAATTAAAAGGATGATTTGATGTCGTTGACTGTGATGTATGGTAAAATAGGAGGAAGAAAGTAGTTCAGTTGTCAGCGACTTAGAAATTGAATTTAATATTCATATGTTCATCCTTTAAAATTTACTGCTTACGTGAAGTATTTAAAAGAAAACTATAGAGGTTATTGCTCATGCTAATAATACTTTCATGTGGAAGAAGTTCAATTGACGGGCATTCATATCACTGATCATTTTTCTCACCATTTTCTAGCCAGCTTGCAAACCTCTCTAATCTGTGTTCTTCTTCTTCGTCATCCTCAAAACTCTGCTTGCCCGACTTTCGGTATCGCGTTTTCCCATCATATATAGATGCTTCTACGATTCGTCCATCAAAATATCTGCCTTGCATTAACCGCATACATTCTTCTGCCTCCTCGTTTGTTGAGAATCGGATTGTGACAACACCCTCAGGTTCTTGGTCATACAGTACGACATTGGTAACGCGTCCACATTTTTCGGCCTCAGCTGTAATGTCTTCCTTGAGATCAAGTAATAGCTCAGGTTGAGCATCCAGTTCGTCCAATGTAAAAATGTGCTTCAAAACCAAAATTTTTCCAAAACGCTTCCTCCTTTTTTCATCAATTTCTTCTTCAACCTCTCCCCAGGACGAGATTTTCCTAATCATGAATTAGTAAGCAGCTATTGAAAAGAAAAGCTTACTGTAATTGTTGCTGTCGCTTTCTTTGGACCTTCTTCTTGACTGAATCACTAACATCTCGATTTATTGACTTCTCTTTCTTGTAATCGATGCTTGCTTCTTGAACTTTCATTTTTACTCCTGTACCAAATCGAAATTCTGTATCATCAAACAGCTGTTCTGCCAGTTCGATACTTTCACTACGGAAGAAAACGATCAAGGCGTCTCCCTTTAAAGTTCCATCATCATTTGTATATAACTTAATCCTAGGCGTACCTGTGTCAACGTTTTCGGCGATGATCCCACATTTAGAAAATACTTCGTTCACTTCTGATATAGTCACGTCTTTGGGAAGACCTGAAACATAAATAGCCTTATTTATTGGTGCAGGAATTTCATTCTTGCTTGAAGAAGTTTCTTCTTTTCTTGTCCTTTTCACTGAAGCATTGGGTTGCTGCTCTTCTGAGGACGAATTTTCTGAATGTTCTCTCTTCTTTTCAGTTATCGATTCTGACTTCTCTTCTACACTCCTCTGAGCAGAATCCTCATCTGTGTTAGATTCAACAGGAAAGCTACCTAAAAATTTCTTATTCTCAAAATCCTTGAGTCGTTAGGGGATCTGTCTTGCTTGATGTCTTTGTAATAACAAACTCTTGTTTCATACGTATTCCTTCCACGATTTTTCTTCATCAATATATACTAATTCCTGCTCCTGAGGTCCTAAACATCTCCATCTTCGTAACTGAGCGTCCCAAACTGGCTGCGAAGACATTCTTTTCTTCTTCTGGATGTCAATAAAACGATGTGGTAGTTGGAAACCGATTTCTCAGAGTCGGCAAAAATGAACTCGCTGGAAAGATTCCATCTAAGACTCAGCTAAAAGTTTTTTTCTTCTAAAAAAAGAAAAAGTATCGTTTTTAAAAAACTTGTTTAATCGTTCCTGAGAAACTGAAGAAGCTCGGATTGAACTCCTAGCGCTCTCTTCATAAAAGGAAGGAATAAGTATTGACAAAACAAGAAAGCGCAGTATTATTAGTGATTTATGAGTTGAAAACCAATATTCCATGACTTTGCGTTTGTGAAATGAATCCTTCATCAAGTGCATACATCCGTCTCAGAGACAAAGTGTGTTCAACAAACACGAATTATGAGAACAAAAAAAAAAGAATAAAAAGGAAGTTTAACTTCTTGTGATACACATCTGAAGGTTTAAAAAGTGAAAATTTGTAACCTTGAATGGAAAGAAATAAGAACGCTTCATGCCCTTTACCTAACGATGAAGGCCATCAAAGCGAAAGACTGACCGTGAATTGGATATCAATTGACACTTTGGCGAAACTAAAGTAAGGTCAGCTAAAAATAAGTGCATGAAAGAACGGTTGGACTGAACGATAATGTCAATGACGAGTATCGTAATGCAGCTCTAGCAGCTTATGGAGTCGTTTCATGATGCTCAGATACGCTGGCCTTGCCTTTTACCTTTATTGGGAAGGATTTGTTTGCTCAGATTATTTTCTTATTATAAGTTTTTCTTCAAGCAGCAACGAGGAACAAATTCTAAATGAGTATATGAGAAGGACGTAATCCATATTTCTTTACATTTATTCCAAGAAAAAACTCATATTGAAGGATTTGTAAACAGCATTCAAAAGAAACCTACAATGATTTTTGCTACTCATTTTCCAGATTATCCGAATCCGCTGAGATTCGGTGCTTCTTCTGAAATTAATCGTTCATCAAGACTCGTCCTGCGAAATCCTTGGCCTGAATGAGAATTAATGCATCTTTGTTCTTGAACAAGCCATTCCAATAATCTATATTTAAAGCATATTCAAAACAGCGACCGAAATAATCAAGAGTCAATTTCCAATGAACTCGAAGCAGCGAAAGCAACAAAGTATATCATGACATACTTTGTTTGTTTCGCATTTCATAACGGAATGATAACTCTTAGAAGGAGCAATTGTAACTTCTACTCTCATTAATTTCATTGACCTTTGGGGTAAAAACACTTGAACTTTTATAGCACATACGGTGCAAAATTTTTAAGCGTTCTTATGGATTCGGCCTTACTGTATCGAGGATCCAATATAACCCACCAGAAGAAAAATCGGTTCCATTTATGAAATATACAACGTACTGATTGTTGTTTACTGAGCCTTCCACTTTATTGTTTGACTCAAAATCTTTGTATAGACTAACACTGGCTGCTCATGATTTGAACGGTTTACACGCACAAAAAAGTTCACCAATAAAGAAAAGTCATTCTCACGAATTTAGCGATTTCAGCTAATCGTTTTTGGAAAAGCATCCTATATCAAATTTACTTGATAAGAGACATTTCGTTGAAAACCTTCGCATTCTTACTGTTAGAAAACTCCAAGTTGAAATTAATTTCGTTATTCTCTTAATGTTTTTATTTGTTGATAATTATGTAAAGCATCTGGTTTTGAAACAAAAAGGGACTACAGCCTCGATATCATTAGCGGTGTATTTATACCATTCAACCTGTTCACAGTTTTTTATTTTTCTAAGTATTATAGCGGCATACTACAACAGTTTAATGACTGTATACACTATCTAAACATTTCGTAAGAGTTTTCACCCAAACACTCAAAGAAAACTCTGGCTACGATTAGCAACTCACCATAAACCATTACAGTTCAGTCATATGAACTGAACAACGAATTACTACCCATAACAACCATTTGCAACTGGCACCTACATAGACATACTGCGAAAGCTACATTCTCTAGAAGAAAACATTAAGAGTAAAAAGACCAACATCTAAATTTAACAAACCCCATAATATTTTAATCGAGTAAAAAGTAGTCTGAAATTAATTCTTTTTTCGTATTGAAAAAAAAGGGGTATTTTCAACCGTAACCACAGCTCCCTTGAAAACACGTAGACGGAAATGCGACCCGCTTTCAAATAATAGGAGACCAAGATAATGAGCCAATCTACAAATCAGCATCATCTTCATCAGGAAGAGGCATAGCAGCAGCCTCGTTCATTTCTTGTTGGTATTGAGCCAACAATTGTTGGTCGACTTGAACCTCAGGAGGTGCAAGAGCAGGAGAAGCAACAAATTCCAAGTTGGGGTTACCAACCAACTTACGAGCGAGCCATAAGAAAGGCTTCTCGAAGTTGTAGTTAGACTTGGCGGAGATGTCGTAGTATTGGAGGTTCTTCTTGCGGTGGAAGGTAATAGCCTTAGCCTTTACCTTACGCTCCTTAACATCGACCTTGTTACCGCAGAGGACGATGGGAATGTTTTCACAAACACGGACAAGATCACCTATTGTAGACGTTAGTAAGAGTCTTCTTTTTCTTAGGATGAGATAATGGAAAAGAAGGAATTAAGTGTCCTCAATTTTCGTCAATCATACTTGGAAACACAACCAACCGCTATTGAATCCAAGCAAATGTCATTTTCTGTTGAACACTCAATCCTTTCGTTCCTTCTCATTCCTAAACCAAACATACGCCACCAGTGAGGAACGTTCTTGTAAGTAATACGAGAAGTAACATCGAACATAATAATACCGCATTGACCCTGAATATAATAACCGTCACGAAGACCACCGAGCTTCTCTTGACCGGCAGTGTCCCAAACGTTGAAGCAAAGTTCACCAAAGTTGGTGTGGAAGTGTAAGGGGTGAACTTCGACACCCTATTCATGTTAGCATATCATAAATCCTAATCACCATAAAAGCATTATAGATGCGTATTCTGAACAGTTAAAAAGGCTTTAACCCATAAACTGTCCAATTTTCGGCCAAAAAGCCGAAACACACAAGAAAGGCTACAAAGCGTCTGATTATCTTCTCTAGACGCGTTTTTAAAGCACACAATTCTACAATCCTGCTATTTATGCAAATCTACATACCAAAGTAGCAATGTACTTCTTTTCAAACTCACCAGTCAAATGGCGTTTGACGAAAGTGGTCTTACCAGTACCACCGTCTCCTACGAGAACAAGCTTGAAGGTAGGAATGTTTTGTTGAGCCATGTTTCCTTCTTTTCTTACCGCACCGAAACTACCTGAGTTTGGTTAAGGGGAAAATTTAGTGTAGCGTAATTTTTATATGAAAAGCGAGTCCTGCATAAAATAAACCCTAACCCTAGCGATATGGTTTCTTTAGAATCTGACGGAATAGGAAGGATAAAACACCTTTTCGGATGATTAGGTGAGAGAGTGAAGTGCAGTAAATAAAATACAGCAGTGCAAGGCGGTTAAAAGAGTAGAACTGGCTTATTTACTATATAAAAAAAAGGATAAGAAAAGTGAAAAGGCTTACGGAGAATCTGTAAATAACCACACAATGTTAAAGGAGCTTCATTCATCTTCATAACATGAAATTTCGACGTCTTAAGGAACGGCTAAAACATACTTGATTTTACAAGGTGACATACATAGTAAAGGTAAAGTCATTTTGAAACACCATGAACCGTGGGTTGACAAAATCAACTTGACTATTAATTAAAACACTATAAATATAGCAATAAAACATATAAACAAGAAGTCTCCAGTCAAACCCACAAATGAGAAAGAAGCTCTTACTTTTATAAAAAAGAAAGAACCGACATACCACCACACAATATATTGTAATTGTTGGCTATATAATGAAAGAAATGGCTCTTGTGCCAATTAAACTTTTTTGAAAATAAACTTGGATCCGCAGCATAATGAGGATTCAAACGGAACTTGAGAAGTCAAGGGAGATAGTAAGAAGCGGAATTAAATATGAGGTTGCTATGATCCAAGAAGAAATAAAAAATTTTTAAAACAGTAAGGAAAAACAAAAGATTTATCAACTCTTATAAATAGCAGCATATTGAACCCATCCATATTCCTCATTTGGTTTATTGAACTCGAGCCAAACTTCAACTGATTGCACATTTGGTACAACTAGTAAATCTATACAAATCATTCATTACTTTTACTTCGCAATCTGTCTTATTGGCTCTTTACCCTTTTGCTTAGCATTTTTCCTCAAACCTATAGAGGAGGTCAGGTCCGGCACTGCTTGTTCATCTACCAATAGTGATGGAGGTCGGGTACGAAGTTCCTTAGCTTTATTCAGAGAAATAGTTTGCATTCTGGATGTCGTTAATACAGGGACTGACATATCGCGTTCGACCGTAGCCTTCAAGAATGCAGACGACCATCGATTTATATCGTCCTTATTATCACAAATAAAATAATGTACCTTTGGAGGAGTGAACATCACAGCAGCCTTAGCTGCACCGGGTGCCGGTGGTGCTAATTTAATAGCGGTTTTACCACCACTTAAAACCATATCTTCAACCTTGCAAACACGATGCGAAGTTATGTCAATCAATCCTTTTTCAGAAGTATCATTCAAAGAGTGATAATAGGAAAGTCTAGTACCCTTCAAAACAAAATACCTTGCCTTCCATACACCGTAACGATCACTTCGTTTACGCATCCAACCGTGGCACTCTGCAGTCTTGATTGCTTCATTGACTGGAATATCTGTGAGCCCTTCGCTGATACCAGTAGGTAATATTTTCTGTCTTCCAAAGATATCACGTTTCGATTTTCGTTTTCCAATCGGTTCCTTCCCCAAAGGCGTAGTACTACCACGTGCGTCCGAAACTGAAGAAGGTAATGATGTGGGGGTGGATATTTTCAAGTTAGGTGTCTTTTGGCTGTTTTCGAATGACGACTTGCCGCTAGTAGCAGATAACATTTTTTGTACAAGCGGCTTTTTCGTACTTGAAGGACTCTTTGCGTTGCTAAGAGAAGGCGAATTTTGCGGTGTAGAGGTTGGTAAAGGCCTTGGGGAAGCAACTGAAGTTAGAGGGCTTATTATGGTAGGTCCTCCAGATTTAGTAGACGGTGAGGGAGTTTGGGTTGGCACCGATGAAGAGGATGCTTCTAATGTATCTGTTTGTAACCTTGTCAGACCAGATGGCTTCGTCTTGCCCTTTGGTTGTATAACGTTAGAAGACTGGGTATACGTGGTTGAAGGTTGGGGAGTATACAACGTGGGATTAGTTGATGGATTTAAAGAAGAAGAGTTATTATAACCAGTAGCATGTTCAGCATTTGCTGGTGCCATGCCTTGCATCTGTGCTAAACGAGAAGAACCTTGAGTTGAATGAGAGGAGTTTGAAGGTGAAGGTCGCTTAGTGACAGGTGAAGCCGAATTTGAAGGGGCAGAAGAAGACAAGCGAGATGCGCTACGTGGTTTCACAAGAGGAGGGATTCTATTTTCTCCTCGAGTACGGCTTGTCGACAATGGAGGGATGTATTGCCCATGTTTAGCAACTGGATTATCTTCAAGATCAGGAGAAACTAACATATGAGACAAAGTAGGAAGCACACTCATTCGATTTGAACTAGCGCTGGATTCATTGTTCGAATCAAAATTAGAAGAGGATGGAACAAAAGTTGGGTCGCCAAAGTCTGCTGTGGGTTGATTAACACCTGGAGACATAATGTCAGGACTAGGGGATGCAGAATAGCTATCAGGAAAATCTGGGTAATTTTCAGAGAGAGTTTGTTGGTAGGTGTCTTTAAGCTGTTGAATTTTACGTAAAACTTCGTATCGTTTTCCATAAGAAGCGATATTTAGTTCCTTTAAAACACTAGAATCCGTATTAAGTAAAATCTCACCAGTGATTTCATTCTCCAAAAAATTAGGAGCTACAGAACCAAGACCCGCATTTTTTAGCCAGTCTATAACCTCTCCTGTAGACCAATTAGGAAGATTTTGAATCTTTTCAGAAAGACCAAGAGAGGACGTTGATCCATAATTTAAAATAGGAAGGGGGGAAGTATCACTATGGTCAACTTCAGCAGTCGATAAGTTTTGTAATGCGCTTTCAATGTCATCAATAGTTTTGCGCATAGGATCGTTATTGGGAGATGCGTTGGCTATGTCAGGCGAATTAGAGGGAGACCGATTAGTATTCTGCTTAGAATGTGAGCTAGAATGTGAAGAAATTAAATGACTGTTGAAATAATCTTTTTGCGAATTGGATGACTCTCTTCTATCTAAGGGGAGAGGAAATGGACGATCATTATGAAGGCTAGACGAAACGCTTCCTGGTTTTGTTGCTCCGTTGTGATCAGGGCGAGGCTGGTTAATATGAGATTCTAACTTGGTGATAGGTTCTTCCAAGTCTGTTAAATTTGAGTGGGAGCTAGAAGAATCAGTAAGTTCCGTAGTAGAGATAGACACATCTGCCTTGTCATTACGAGCATTATCGTGATCAGTAACCTCGTCAGTCACTAATTCGACATGTGAGGCGGGAAAAATACCTCGGTTTCCTTTTTGATCTTCTGCCTATATTCAAAATAGTTAATACACAGCTCAGAATGTACCAGATAGACATCAAATATCAACAGATGACTCGTCACTCCTAGAACAAACACTTCACTAGCGAAATCAAGACGCAGTAGGATTGACAATCTTCTGCTTAATAAGACACTTATGAAGTGCGAAATATAATAGAAGCGAAAACCATTCTACTTACCTCCCACCATCCATCACCAAATTCCTCGTCCATTTTCACGAGCAGGTACTTATTCCCTTCAATCAATGGCAGTTCGTCACTGCTTTTCCCAGGGAACGAATGCAAAGCAACCACAAACCGTTGAGACGCCATGTTTGCGGTGAAACAAGAAGGATAGAAGTCAGTAGTTGTTTGAGGAGTATTCTGAATGGCGTTTCGTTCTCAACCAGATGGCTGGTTTTGGCTTTTACAGAGACGACAACGTTGTTATTAGGCATAAGGGAGGCGACTGAAGCTATGCTTATATAAGCATTAGAGGGTGTAAGAGCAACTCAGTAAGTAAATTACCATCTAAATGTTCTACATCGTTATGTGCAATATTCTTTGTTTAGTAAACAATCATTCTGCAAAAATAATTTCAAATTTCGACTCGTATAATATTTTTTGATTAGCTGTCATTGTAAAAGGTTATCCTATACATTAGTAGCGTTTTGAGAATGCTAAAAATAAATCAAAATGGTTATACGCACAAAGAAGCGTTATATTTCACTTCTGTTTTCATTGAAGTTCTTTACCGTAAACGATTCCTCTTTTTAAAAGGAAATTTCTTAGAGGTCAGTAAAATATTGATGGTTCTTCCTTGTCGTAAAGCAGCAGAGGATGATGACGAATGATAGTTAATTCCATTCAAATTATACTTACCTTTTTTCCAACTTTTACACTTTTGCTTTGCTTTTCCAACTAGCCAACATTATTTATTAAAGCAGAGTTGAAACCGTTATCGTTAAATATTACAACATCAGCAAACGAGACTTAACGAGGAAGGACACTAGTCCCTTCCTAAATTACAGTACCTCTGTGCTATGTGGGGAAATATAGCTATGCGGGGGTTACAATGGTTTCTTCGTTTAGCAAGACAAGAAGCTTGAAATAAAAATAAAAATTACAGTGGAAGTGAATATCTGTGGAACAACCGTGAAGGAACAAAGTCATTCTATAATAACTTTCTGGATCTCAATGACTACATAGTACTGGCAAGCGTACGTAGAATTTAGAATTTTTTGAAATCGTATAATATTTGGCAAACAGTGGAATAGCAAAGTCAATCAAATCATACAGAGAAAAACTTTTGGAAGCTATTAGCTTCCACTTTAACTTACTACTTTAACTTTAAAAGGTAAAACCAAGCGGAATCTTTTTCTCATATAAGCGAAGCATTTCGCACCAATTGCTCACTAATCAGCTTAGAAAATCAAGTCATTCCTTTAATTAACAAGTATCTTCTCCTCTTTAAAATTCATACTATTCCAGGAACCAGTGCTCTATTTGATATTATTTTGTTTTTAAAACACTATCCTCCTTTAAAGGCGAGTTAGTTTTCCAAGTAAAGTCTGCAAATTAGAATTATCATCACTTCAAAATAAAATGAGATTTCCATGACTTATTTCTCGTCAATATATTAGGGAAAAGAACGAAATAGATGAACGGCAAAATTATTTGTAGCGAATGTTCACTTTACGTTGCAAGAGATTGCTAAGATGGCTTCAACTACTTTATCAGAGTTCTTGTTTGCATTCTCTTTGATAGTACCAAAGTTTTCCTCCACTTGCTTTTTCGTTTCTTCCTCTGCTTGACTGTACACACCGGAAGCCTATAAAATGTCAGAAAGGCAATTCAAGTCTGTTATCATGAACAATTTCCAACATACTTTACTCTCCAGATCTTTAAATTCTTTCTCCTTGGTAACAGCATACTCTTCAATTTCTCTCTTGGCTTCCTGGCGCGCATCCTTTAATCTTTGGATACGGTCTACGTTTCATGCATTAGCAAAGATCCTGCAAATTTAGCAATTCATACGTTGACGAGCCTTTTCGACAATACTGCGGGCTACTTTCTCAGCCTGTTTCATAACGTTAACATCCGGTCCTCCAAAGTTGAATTTTCTCATTACAAACCTCCAATAATTGTTGGATTCCAGAATTTGTTTGTGTACTCTAATAAATTAGTCCCTATTTCTTTCATTCATCTAAAATCGTCATACCATGATACGTTGGCGTTTGGTTTAGAAATTGGCAACTTGATAACTTTCACCCTTCCAAATGCCAGATGATTACACTGCGCGTCTGTCCCTTCCTTCATATAACGTATCTTAACGAAATGCGTTATTAAAATACCGAATAATTAAGAACCTGAGAAACGTTCGTTATATAGGATGACAGGCTACTGCATTTCACGCTATTCAAGTTTCTCCTATTTGACTGAAATTTGGCGAATTCTTCAAATATTATACTTACAGTAAGTAAACATTAGTATAAACATGAACATAAAAAGATGGACACATTGAGTGTTTTCTCTTCAGTAGAATAGTAAAATATCACCGCTAATGAAGTTTCTCTTTTTTTTTTTTTTTTGGCAGTTTGCTGGCTTGGGCGTTTGATTTATAGCCAAAACAAACCAAGCTAGTATTACAACTCGCCGAGAATAAAAAGATATAACAAATTCTTTCATTTTTACTTCTATCTAAATGAAAGTATTACGTTTAAACAAGAGATATATAGATTTAAATTTCGATTATTACTCACGACATGTCCCAAACAAATGACTTGATTAGTTATTATCAAGATAATTAAATTCAATAAAAGAAGGAGGAATTACTTATTTTTTAGTAGAACAATTTAACAGTTGGAGTTATGCTTGTACTTTATAACAACTTTTCTTCACAACATCGAAATCAAGTACACTCAGCATAATTATTTATCCATTTAAACGTAGGAAACCATAATTTGAGATGGAAAACAACGACGTAATAGATCCAAAAGACAATAAGACAGTATTATATTTCACAGTTTCGTATACGTAAAATCTTCCTCCAAAAGGTGAGCCATAAACTAAACGTCAAAAAAATTAAAAGTACATGGTATTTATGTGTTTACTTCCTTTGCTTCATATTTTCTGTACTGATGAACAAGAAATTCCAAGCAGGCATCCTGGTTTTCACGATTTGGTTGCGAGTTCACACAGTTGGACAGAATTGTAAGCTCTTTTGATGTTACCGGAACGCCCATTTCTGATAAGACAGCTTCTAGTTGACTCCAAGCTTGAGTAATTTGCTCATAACTACTGGGTAAATATGAATAAGTAATCAGCAAAGAGCGATACGTTACATGAGTTGGTTCCAGCTCATAATTCGAAATCAAATCAAGCGCAGTGAAAAGCCATTTTTCATCGCGCAAACGAGAAGCAACAGTAAATAAAATGTTTGCGGTACCAATGCTTGGTTGATAACGCTTTTCCTCAAAAACGCGATTCAATAAGTTGTTGATGAATCTCTCAACCTTCCCACGCTCTCTTTCAAAGTTAGGTTGCTTGAGAGCAAGACTAAGGATACAATTCGTTAACCGAGAGACACTGCCTGGAGAAACATCAAGGTGATAATTCAAAATCGGCATCAATGGGGCAACAGACTGCTGTTCGGAAAACATTTTTTGCAAAAACCATACTGTAGTGAATACTGAGGGGAGATTGGATTCATCCAGTTTCGAGTGTAGTAAATAATCAGAAGCGTCATCGATGCAATCTCTGTTGGCCAAGACAGACAAAATAATTTCAGAGTGATAAGAGGTTAATCCTTTTAAATTAACCAAAGCATGGTGAGCTTTTTTCTGAATTTGAGGATCGGGGAACACTGAGTAAATCAGGTATACAGCCACCAACTCGTCAATGGCTTCTCTTCCTTCAAGATGCTCGTGTATCATTGATCCTATTTGGCTACATTGGTCAAATGTTGCCTCATTTAACAGTCTTGCTTGTAAAATAGCCAAATAAAGACTTGAAAGAACCTTCGTGTTATTGTGCAAATACCCTATATGGCTAAGAGCCATATCGGCAATCAAAGCGGCTTTGTTATATGCATTCAAGTCAATGTAAGACTTAATCATATTGGACCAAAAGTGAGCCGTGGCTACTTCCTGATGCTCGATAGCATACTTCAAAATATCATCCAAATTCTCCAAAGTAGTTTTATCTACAGATCCACGACCACGGATTCCTTTTGAGCGATTTACAATAAAAGCAATATATCTAGTAAGCGTCCATGAATCCAAAATTCCTAATGGCTTAAGGCCGGCGAACGTGGCAACGCTTTCCTTGTACTTTTTGGCTTGTACCTGGGCATTTAATTGATCTAGCTAGTTTCTGTTAGATTTACTTTCATACATCTCAATTCCATATAATAAATCGCATACCAAGAGTGATGAATTGTTTTTTATGTGTCGCTGAGTATCAGGCGAAAAGTTCGCATGAAGGTTATTATGCAAAGGATGGGTGGTTATAAAAGTACGTCTAGTCTGAATCAGAGGATCCGCTAGACGGAACTGATTGCTCCTTAGCAGCTTTCGAAAAAACTGGCTGCAAAATCCCTGCATGGCGGATGGTAGAAGCTTCCTAAAGACGAACAGAGATTTTATACCAGTCCCTGCTTCTAGACGAATCTGATAATTTAGAGCTTCATTAACCGAATTTTAATTATATAAAGGAGGTTTTTATTCGGTAATATCACCGAGAGAAATAATAGAAATTCAAAAATGAATAAATAAGTTTAAGTATTAAACACAGCGAAAAATAGCAAATAGTAGGAAATATCTACAGTTCTTATGGTCTTAAACAAAGTTCTTTTCCTAGCTTATGGTTTGTCGCCGTAGAAATCAATAAATTTCCTCTTACAACTTACCCGTCAGTAAAGACTCAAAGGTTGCTGCCCTCCAGATTCTTTGACTCATACAGCAAAGATACTTTATTTTAATATGCTTACCATTTCTATTCAGACAAGAAACAAACATTATTTCTGATTTCCATTTCTAAAATGGCCATATAACATGATCTAAGAATATTATTATTAAGTTTTTTTGAACCTTTCCTAAAAACCAAACGCAAACCCTCTTCTAAGCCAATTATGAACAACTGTCTACGTGGTCATATTTACCAATTTCCAATGATATTAGAACACGTGCCCAAGTTATCAATAATAAACATTTTTTAAGCAGCTTCTGAGCCCAAACTGTCAAGGCTAGCTTTAACAGCCATACATTTGGACTTCAACACAGCAACACTCTTCAAGAATAAAACATCAGGAGTCATGATTCCGGTACTTTCTACTGAATAAAGAAAATGATCACGAACACGGCCCAACTGAACCTTGCCGGCAAATTCTGGATGTCTCAAACATTCACGGGAAACGGTATCTTTACGAACGTCAGCAACCCGAGCGCGTTGCTTTCCGTCAGGGCCATTTTCTAGTTCGATAACACCGGCAGGAAAGCACTTTTGGAATTTGACGGCATCATCACCTACAATGGGAGATAAAATGTGAATAGTCGGCAACAGACGATAAGAAGCAGTAGCCACAGGAGAAAACTTGGCATGGTCTTGGCCAACACCTAATACAGCATGAGCTTCCAAATCAATTTCTTGACCGGGACGTAGCTTAGCAACCACGATGTTTGGATTTACAACACGAATGGGAGAGTCAGCAAAACGTTCCTCTTGTCGTCCTTGAGGTTTCCAGACCAAATCGCTCGAAAGAACCTCTGAATTAATGTAAAGCTTCTTAGGGTCTTTCTCATCAGCAGCTGCTTCTTTGTTAAATTCGCACTTTTTGCTGAGTGAGAAAACCACCGTATCGTAATCAGTGTGAGTGGCTTCCTGGCCAGGAATAGGCCGCTGAAACCATTTAAACATGTCGGGGTCGGCCTTTATCGGTAAAAGGCCAATTCTATGAGACAATACTTCATCTTGAATAATGCTGGTGTTATTTATAATATAGGTGAATTCGAAGGCTAACGTAGGGATTTCAGCAATTAAAATTCTACGAAATGCATTTGCAATAGAAGCATCAACTCCACTGAGTTCAAAAGTCATTGCTTCTTCGTTTAATGAAGTAACGGAGACTTTCAAGTTTTCGCGAAATTTGTCCAAATTCCAGGAATTGTCCTCATCAAAGTAATAGCCAGGAAAGTCTGTACTGGTGACATCTTTCACACGGTCAGACTGGATAGAAACTTCCGTCCTCGAACGATCAATAGCCATTGTGTTTCTATTCGATGGGAGATTGGTAAAGGACAATATGAATTTTCACAACTTTTTCCTGATTGGTGTTTGGTGCGTTGTTTTTCGTAATTATTGATAGCGAACTACTTAGCCATTTAGTGAAGTACCTTATATAATAAACAAAAGTTTTGAAGAGTAAGCCAGAATGAAGGAATGAATATATGAATGAATTCAATAACTATCCAGTCGAGTGTGTTGCATAATTTAGTGGTCATTTGTTTTTGAGGAATGTAAAAGGTTGATCTGGTAAATTCTCTCGTAAAATTATTTGGCTTATATATTTATCTGCGATCCTATACGGTCTAGTCATATTTCACTTGTTTTTATTTTCAAAAACTTACTTGTATAGACTTTCCTAAGCACATTGAACTGTATGAGTGGCATGCTGCCATTCGCTTTCATGGTTGACAATCAGCGCCAAAATAATTTCGGCGCCATGCTTATTTCTTGCAGCTTTTAATCATTTCTGTTGTAATTCATTGTTCCTTTCTTTATAGATTCATTCTACAAAGGTGAAACTGTTCGTTTGTTTATGTATTACCTACTTATTATACGACACCAAACTAATACCATAGATACCAATATGCATTATCCTAAAAAGGTAATATTAGTATCGCTACTTTGAAAACAAAAGTCTTCCACTACATGAAGAAATGACTTATATTAAACAAATACCAGTAGTATTCATTTAGAAGATTCACTGCGGTACTTATTTTATACTAAAGAATAATTTAACGAAATTACTCCTGAAAGATAGAGGCATAGAAGGAACTCCATTAATTAGATATAAGTGGTATGTTGGAATGTGCATTGGAAAGTTACCGTCCAACTTTTGAAAGAGCAAATCAATTACATCTTTATAATCAGTTAGAGAAATTAAAAATCATATCTCGTGAGAAATTTCAAGCACTTTGGGGTGAAGTTGAGAGTTTGCACTTAGAAGAAATATGGAGCAAATTCAAGGATGCGATTGAACAGAGTCAAAAGCGAAGCAAACTGAATCCATCTGATGTCTCTCCTGTTCCTATTATCTCAAAGATTGATGATTCATGGTACGGTTTGGGTTTAGAAGAAATCTCAAAGGGCCGCGTTGCTGCTTTAGTGCTTGCTGGCGGTCAAGGCACCAGGCTGGGTTCAGAAGATCCAAAAGGATGCTTTGACATTGGGTTACCTGGACATGAAAGCTTATTTGCGCTACAAGCTTTGAAAATTCAAAGAGCTGAGCATCTTGCTCGAGAAGCATATCCTATGCGGAAACAGTCGACTAGAGTTTTATGGTATATTATGGTGTCCGATGCAAATAAAGACGCAACCTTCTCCTTTTTTAAGAAAAGCAACTACTTTGGAATACCAAGTGAACACGTGTTCTTCTTCGAACAGGGAAAATTGCCTTGTTTAGACATGGAAGGGCGGATCCTCCTGGAGTCCGAATGTACTCTTGCCCAGGCACCCAATGGAAATGGTGGAGTTTATGAGGCTCTACGAGAATCAGGCGCGCTACGACATATGAAAGAATCTGGAATTTCCCATATAACTGCTTACAGCGTAGACAATGTTCTTGCTTTGCCAGTAGATCCTTTTTTTATCGGTATGGTACAAGAAAAAGAGTACCAAGTGGCTATGAAAGTTGTAGAAAAGAAGTTAGTAGAAGAAAAAGTTGGCTTAGTTGTGTCTCAAAACGCACATCCATCGGTTGTTGAATATTCTGAAATTTCTGAAGAGGCTTCCCAAGCAACAGAAACAGTGGACGGAAAAACTTGTTTACGACTTCGTGCTGCAAATATTGCCTATCACTATTTTTCTTTGGGATTTTTAGAACATATGTCTCATAATACTAGAAGTCTTCCTGTTCACCTTGCTTTAAAAAAGATACCAAACTTTGACATTACCCATAACCAGTTTTACAAGCCATCTTCTCCAAATGGATACAAACTTGAAATGTTTATTTTTGACTCTTTTGAACAAATCTCCATTGAGAAATTCGGCTGTCTACAAGTTTCACGGGAAACATCATTTAGTCCTTTGAAAAACTCACTGAATGCAACCAACGATAATCAAAATACATGCTTGCAGGACATCTACGCTCTTGGCAAAAAATGGATTTTACAGAATGGCGGAATTTTAGAACAGGGCGATTGCCCTTTTGTTGCTCCATCCTTCAGCCTCCTAGGTGAGTCTCTAGAATGGATCCAAGGAAAGCACATACGTGAGCATCCTTTATATTAATATATTAATTCCCCTACTTCTTTTCAAGACCTTGTTCTATTCATTCTTTTATTGAAAACCAACCCTTTTACCGAGAAATAGTGAGTCGGGTCATTTGTCAATTTCCAACCACCTACACTTCGATACACCACTGTTTTCCGTTTTCCAAGTGGTTTTTCCATATAATTCAAAATAGATTTCTCCTATGAGACGTAGTATTCGGTTAACTAGTACATCCCGTCTTCCTTGCACGTTTCAGCCGAAACGGTTGTATTCGCTTGCATCCGAGTCCTTAAATAAGAATCCGGAAAAGCCCAAAGAGGGACGTTTGGCTCGTGTCTTCAAAGATCCTGCTGAAAAATCGTGGAAAGATCTTACAGCTCCTCAAAAAGCCTATCGTACTTCTGCAAACTTTGGAAATTTGTCAATTATCGTCTTCGGAGGCGGTGTGTTTGGCTTAATCGTCTATGCTTTGGTTACTAGTCTTTGGTCGGGAGAAGCACACTACGGTGATGAGGCATTCGATTTACTAAGAAGTAATGCAGAATGTCAATATGTTTTTGGTGAAGAAATGAAAGCTATAGGCGCAGCTAGTCACCCATTAAGACGCACTCATGGTATTTTAACGAGCAGAGTTTGGGACCATAAAGGTATTGAACACTTGGTCATACAATTTCACTTGATTGGAAATGGACATAAGGGCCATGTTTTTGGAAGACTCGCGAATACTGGAAAGGATTACACCTGGGAATACTTGTACGTTGACGTACACGATTATGGAAATATTATTCTTTTTGACAAAACAAGATCTATAAAGCGCCAGAACAAGAATCTGGGTCTTTGGGGAAGTCTCAAAAACATCAGCTGGGGAAAATAAGCGAAGCTAAAAAACGAGACAAGTCTCCTGTTTTTTTGCTTAAAGGTTTGTACTGAAGCACATTTCCTACTCAATAGATCCTCTTTTATGTTGTTACATTTTGCATTCAAGGATGCGCAAAGCAAATATGGCTTTTTGTGGAAAAATATGATGGCTTTAAATCCTTTTATTTAGCGTTTTGCCGTAGAAGTCGACAAATTAGGACTCTTGAAAAAAGTTAATGAAATAAAAGTTATGTTTATCACTGATCATGCAATATGAATGGTCATGGAAGTAGGCACTTTAGTCTTATCGGGGATTTCCTACTATTGAAGACGAAATTTTCGACGGTCCCATAAGACAATTCAATATAGGATTCATTTAAAAGCAAATGCGCATGAACTTCTTATTTTCTGAATATGTAAAGAATTTGCTTTGTAAAGATTAAACTAAGTCTTTTTCGCAGACAATTTATATCAAATTAACGCCAAATAAACAATCTTCAGTCGGTTCCATTCTGACTCTATATTCTAAGCAAAGCAAGAAAACTTCTCTAAGGAGAATGCTTTAGAAAGGGGTATCTGTTATATTGATAAAGGCACCTTGTTTCGTACCAAAAGGGCCGTGCTCAAGCAACTATACTTTGCAGCAGCCATAAAACCAGATCAATTTAAATTCGACCTCTAGATAATAATTCCTCTCCCATTCACATTTAATGTGGTATTTCCCAAATGAAATATCGTAGAGAAAACTGATGAATGCGGCCGCTTCATTGCCCCTTCAACATACACATCTCATCAGTAAACGATATATTTCATGCAACCTTTCAATGGATGCTTTGGGGCAGATTATTCTGCTAGTGGACCAACGAAGCAAGTTTTTAGCATTTCTTCTTCGTTTACATAATCATGAGCCTTCACTGTAGAATGTGTAAGTACATTAAAGTCAATCAAATGGTAATCTACTCACTATATTGGCCAGTTGCATCAATGGCAGCATGCTTGAGGATCTTTTTTGCGCCGTCCGGGTGATATGGAAGATAGGTGGTAACATTATAGACTTTTCCTCTTACAGCAATCCAGCAATCTTCTTTAGTATTATGCTTTTTCAATTCTTCCTTAGTAACTGGAAAAGGGTGATCCACTCCCTTATATCCTGTTAGCTTTCAATCATCAATGCAACGCGACAACGAAACCACTTACAGACAGATTTTCACCACTTTCTACCAATTCATCCCATTTTTCTTGAGTGCATCCAGGTTCATTCTTTGTTTTTTTCTTGCTTTTCCTCTTCTTTTGCTTTTCTAAGCCAGCACGCTCAGGTTCTTCCTTAGTAGACTCTCGCTTGGAAAATAGGGACTTAAAGAAAGAAGACATTTTTTTATAAGAACCAATGGATTTGCAAACCAAGTTATAATTTCTTATCAACCTCTATAGTTGCCAAAAATATGTAAAGGACGAAAAATTTTGCTGACCAAATGGCATATTTACATTCCATCTGTTTACGTTACCTAGAATCAAGTCGTTACTTTGTTACGTTAATAAAGCAATGTTTACAGGAGAAACAAAAATGGGCAAGTTTAAAGGAAAACTTTGAGCTTTTCTTTGAAGCTGATGTACGTTTGCTGTTGCGAGGCTCGAGAAGGTACTTGGTAGGTGACGGTCGTATCTTTTTTTTCGCAAAAAAACGAGATCTTTAGCATATGTCATAAACATCTAATGTTGCAAATAAAACAAAACTTCCGATCGTACACCGATTGTCACATTGTGATGATGGATGATCTATACTCCAATAACTTTTGGCTGGGTTTTGGTTAAACACCGTTACAATGAATAGGAATGCTCGCCTTTTTTATTTATTCAATATCTCGAGGTAAACTTTTTGGACTCAATTTACTTGCTCATTATTAGTATTCGAAGAACAGATCTGAATAATGCGTAGTGTACATTAAAGGAAAAGAAACAACTAAACAATTTATTGCAAAAAAAAAGGTACATTAAAGATGGGTAGGTGCATCCTTATATAACATAATGTTATGGTTTTCCATCGAAGAGAGAATAAAGAAATTCCATACGACGATGAACATAAAATAAAAATCATTGACTGAACGTTCATACCCAGCATTTTTGGTAACATATATAGGGACATGTTGAACAAAAATAAACCATTAAAACGACGAAAACAAAAAAAAAGTATATATAGACGAGTAGAAAAAAATATAAACAAAAATAGGTTATATCACAAGTGCTAACTGGTCGTTTGATCCGCATTGTCCGGCATATTGAATAACCCGAATCCAATGTCATCTGTCGTGCTTGTATCTTTAAGAAACTTATCAAAATCAAAATCATTCAACAAAGCTGCATCAAGGTCAGTAGATCCAGGAGCATCCAATACAGGAACATTTGGAGGGTTTTCCATATTATTTCCAGAACCTGGTATAGAAGATTTATTTTGTCCGGCTTCCTTCGTGCTAGAAATATTTCCCTGAAATTGTTGGTCATTTTGCATACTCACACCGTTATCTTGAAAATTAATGTTTTTCATCGAGGGATCAACTGAAGGAACAGCAGGGACCGACTGTAATTCTGATCGATCATCCTTTTGAACCGCATTTACAATAGGAGAATCTGTGGTAGGCGTATTAGACTGACGCCGTCTTTTCGTTTTTATTCCTGTTGGCGATTCCTATGTACATGTATATTAGTATTTTTCTTTCATGAAAGAATTTTTTATCGAATTTACTTACCCGGTACGGAGTTGGTCTACCAGAGCGACTCAATGCGCTATTAATATCTGGAGAATGCATTGCGGAATCTGCAGGACTTGCGACAAGCCCCGTATAATTTATAGACATATTTTTTTCAGAACAATATGGGGACGCTCGTTGTTCTGACGCAATAGGACGATTTATTGCTCCCATCGATGCCGCATCAGAGCTAGTCATAACGTTTTCAGAAGCCGTATTTTCAAGTTGTTTTTCATTTGTTTTTGGTATAACATTGAAGGCAGCTCCGGAATTTATATCTGGATGGGCAGGAAAGCTTCTGTTTTCTGGTGATGTAGATTGATACATGCGGTGCTCTTTCTCTTGACGAACCATAAGTAAACGTTTTTTATTCTGTTGTTCAAGCAACTTCAGTTCTTCCATATAGTTTTTTAATGCTGGATTTACATTATTAGGTGCTGAAGGAGCATTCATTCCGTAGAGCATTGGCTGTCCATAAGGAGGTGGTGGTTGGAATCCATACTGATTTGGTTGGGATACCGGTACTCTAGGACGTTGTGGAAGTACCTGGGATTTATCAGGAGCATTCTGTGGCAAAGGAGGATTTGAATAAGACGGCATAAATTGTCTTTGATGGTATGTTCCATTGTTTTGAAAATTCACTTCATGGAGCAGCGGTTGTGCAGAATTTCCAGGAACCATAAAGTTTCCTGGATTTGCTAAAGTAGAATCAAATGCAGCTGGGGGGTGAGGAATAGAATTAGGCGTCAGCGGCTGGCTTAATCTCTGACCAGGTATGGAAGCACCGACTGCAGCTGCCGCATTAGGATTAGCGTCACTTATTCCATGCGTTTGATAATTTCTAAATTCAGGAGCAGGCGTTTTTTGTTTAGATGGGAAAGAATCTTGAGGAACAGGTCCCATAACTGGCGGCGTTTTCGATTGCGGATTAGATGCTGGAGTAGGAAAAACAGGAGGAATATGGGTTGTGTTTGGATTCTCAGGTTGCTGCTTTTGTGATTGTAATTGGCGATAATGTAGCTGCTTTAGCTGTTGAAGCTGGGCAGCAGTAGGAGGGAAAGTTTCTCTACCTTGATTATTCATTACAGCCTGACGCATCAGCTGCTGACGATTTCTATCCATAAGCATTCCGTTTCCATGGGGCGTCCTGGATGAATCAAAATGGTGAACAGGATCTCCATTGTACATCTGGGGAGCCGTGGGAACCTGATACATGTTGCTCGGGGGTCCCGATTGCATTAAATTCTTTTGTAACAATTGCATATTCATGTAAGACTTCTTCCTCAAATTGTTAATATGAGACATGTAAGCCATGGCAGGCTCTGAACCATTTCCTCTGCGAGCACTGTAAATGTCCCAAAAAACGTTCCACCATTCAATCAAAAAACCACCTGCGGAGTCAATTGGCAAAACTGGAGGTGGAGGAGGATCTCTTCCTATATCTGTATGACTAGGAACTTGTTTAGTAGATTCAGAGTTTTGTGGCTCGTTCAAATTTGGGCTCTCTCGCTTAACGTTTGCCGGGGAAGAAGCTGTTTGCTTACCAGAAGTCGCCGAATTTTTACTAAAAGGTCTCACAAGCGTTTGAACTTGCGCTTCCTGTCCAAACGCTTGTGCTGCTTCCCAATAGTTTTTCTTTACGAGATAATCATAGATATACGAGTTCAGCAGGGATTGAGTTGTCCTATCGGATAAATTCGTATGTTCATGGTTATTAGAATCATTTGATTTGCCCTGCTGACTCGAGCTAGATTTTTCAGCCGGTTCTGCCATGAACTGGGGTGGTGTTGCAGAGAGTTGAAGCACCACACCAGCTGCCTCTGGAGGACACAGCAAAGTAGTTACATTGCTAAGAAAGCTAAAGATGAAATAAACAATATTCGAATAGAAATACTTTTATTATATTTATTTCCTACTGTCTAAACGCTACCCTCATATAAAAGAGGGCCTTTACGGTTTCATATACATCAAGCAACGGCCTTTTCAACAGAGATTGCTCTCTTGTAATTCATTGTCATTGTTTTTGACTTTTATTTTCACGTAATAGAATTCTGTTCTCATAAAGGTGGTATAATTCCAATGTTCTGACTTTCACAACGAATGCTAATCGTTTCGTTCACACATAAACTATATGACAAACACTAAAGTTATACACTTTTAAATGAAATGAAGTTTAACTACTCTTTTTCATATGTTTCCAACGGTGAATAGCAAAATAATCAAGGAATTCAACTTTGTACACATTCGTTCTATCACATTGGTGATCACGCACATGTTAGCTGCGATATAGAAAAGAGCTCATTCTATGTATCATTTTCCTATTTCATTTCCTCTTCTCACATGTCCTTGCACTCTGAATCTAAATTCATTTCTATTTATTTACTTACGAACTCTCTTTAGAAGGCACTAAATGCTTTTCCAAGCTCTTACATATCCGTAAAACATACTTCAAGCCACTTTTGCAGGTACGCTACAGAGTCCTAATCAGCTATACGGAATTCGAAGAGAGTATGATAATTTTAATACAATATTAGTATGATAAAACAATAAATATGGTTATTTCAGACTGTAGGCAAGTTTTTTAAGATTTCTAAGCCAATTTTACAAAAAAAACTTTCTATATTCTGAAACAGTCAATCTCTCAGATGGTTTTTGACCGAACAGTGTTACTGTCAATGTTTGTTGAAGGTGTGCATACAACTAACAGATTTTGAATAGAATACCACCTTTGCTTGTAAAATAAATTTTAAAAGAATTTTGTAAAAACATACTTAAATGAATGCCAATACTCTAGAAAATATGCTCTGGGTTTTCGTACTAGCTGTTTACGGTTATATCCTTTTAGCTATTACTGTATAGAAGGGCTTATTACCGTGAAACAAAATCGACTGGAATCTATTCAAAAAATCTACTTTGCAATATATTAAATTGATAATTTATCTGTCTTTAAAATACTTTTAGCATCTTTGGCTGTTTTCTAGTTTTATACGTTCGTGTCATTTCTAAATAGTAATGGATAAACGAAAAGAACCCGAAGTTCCTCAGAATGGACATGTCGTACGTATCAAAAGTGAAAATGAATGTTTTCTGACAAAAAATACAGGTGAAACGACCTCGTGTGGAAGATGTAATTTTAGCCTCAGATGAAGATGTTGTATCTAGGACCTCTGACTTAATGGCCCCTAATTTACAAATGATAGGACACACTTCAGAAGTCTTAGTTTCCAGATTTGATCTCTCTGGTTCGAAATTTGCGTCTGGAGGGATGGATCGTCAGATACGTATGTTTGATGCCTTTCGTTTACCTAAACTGCTGTTGGCTAACATATTATTTTCAAAATTTAGTCTTATGGAATGTATTTGGAGAGGTCAGTAATTTTGGTATCTTGTCTGGTTCAAAAGGTGCCATTACTGATTTACAATGGAGCAGAGATGGTGAAGTTTTATACAATGCTTGCTCTGATGCCAATTTATATTCCTGGAATACTAATTCTGGAAAAAAAATAAGAAAATACAAAGGCCATGCTGGCGTGGTTAATGCTCTAGATGTATTACGGGTCGGTTCTGAACTGCTAACTTCAGTAAGCGATGATTCTACAATGAAGGTAAGTTTGCTTTCCTTTTCGGTCAACATGTATACTAATAACCATAATTTAAGATTTGGGATTCCCGCTCTAAGGGCTGTATACAAAGCATAGAAGAAAAATATCCCCTTACAGCTGTTGCCATTTCTCAGCAGGGTACTACTGTATACACAGGAGGAATAGAAGGTGTCATTAAAGCTTGGGATTTAAGGACAAACGAAGTCATCTATACTTTGAAAGAACATAATGATATCATAACGAGTTTGTCTTTGTCTAAAGATGGTTCCACTTTATTATCCAATTCCATGGACAATACAGGTAAATCTTTCCCCAAGTCAATAGCCAGCTTAAAATACTAACCATCTCTTAGTACAAACCTTTGACGTTAAACCATTTGCTCCTTCCAAAAGGCATTTGAATGTTTTTAATGGGGCCGTACATGGATTAGAGCATAACCTTTTAGGAGCGGCATGGAGTGGTGATTCCCGTTTAGTTGCTGCAGGTAGCTCTAATCGAAATACCTATGTCTGGTCATCCTCTTCCGGTGAACTAAAATACCAATTACCTGGTCATGAAGGTTGTGTTAATCACGTTGATTTTCATCCAACTCAAAACATCATCCTTTCATGTTCTTCTGACAAAACAATGTTTCTTGGAGAACTTAGTTAGAACTAATAAAATTGTCTTTGATGCATCTCAATCTGCCTATAGTTTGGACCTCATCCTTACCATACTCACTAGTCTAACACTGCATCTTACGCTGCAGCAGAGAGGACTTGAGGTTTAGCAGCCAGCATGAGTAATAGTTTATGGTAATAATTTTTTATATTCTCAAAATTTTAACAAAAGCATTTAGGCTGAATAATCTCGAAGATTGGATGGATGAAGAGCAAGTAAAGTTGCTCTTCAATAATACGCCGATCTCCGTTACTTACTACCAAGACAGTGAATCTCGTGCTTTACTTAGAACATGTAAAGTTGAGTTTCCTTCAGCGGAAGCAGCTGCTAATGCATTAATCACTTTATCCGGACAAAAGACCATTTCTGGTAGCCCTATTCTATTAGACGTATTGGCAGATTGGGAAAAACCGAATTATTATATGCTTTTTATTACAAACATTGATCCTGATGTTACTGAAAATGAAATAAAACAGCTATTTCAGTCGTACGGTTGCGTCTCTGCGCGAGTCTTACGCTGCATGGATTCATCATCAACGAGTTTAGCATTCGTATGGCTTGGTTCTTTAGAAGAAGCTGAAAGGGCACATGTTGAAATGCAAGGAGCGTTGTGTATCAAGCGTCCTATTCTTGTACACTCTATTCGATCTGATCAAAATACCTATCTTAATTCCCCTGGTTTTTATGGCTCCCCACAACCTGTAAACCAGTTTACGGACCAGAATAATACTGCCATTTTTATTTCAGGTCTTTCTCCTCAAATAAAATCCGAAACCCTTCGATCTTATTTTGAACATCTTGGAGAAGTGCTACATACTCAAGTATTTAGTGGTTTTGCTAAAATCATATTTGTGCAGAGACATAGCGCCGAACGTGCAATCAATGAAATGAATAACTTTCCAATCCTCGGTCAAAGAATTCAAATTTCCTGGTCTCGGCCTCCCTCTATGAGTCTTCTTCCTGCCGCGCAAAGTACATATTGGCCTGCATTGCATGCTCCCATTTATCCTTCTTGGGGTACTATCCCTACTCATAACTTTTCTCCCTTTACTTCTGTAAATCGATACGCAGCAAAAAGTTTAAATCAACTCACCCATCCACCTTTACTTCCACCAGGCCTTAAAAATGGAACGGATTATCCTTATCTTCCAATCCCACCTACTTTATTGAATGACAAATATCTTGCAGAGAAGGAAGCTGTGGACAGTCGACTTGAAGCCGACTCCTCTCCGTTAATTCCAGTGCATTTTTCTTAAAAATACAGAGTAATATACGATGTGTGAAACGATATGAGCAGCGCCTAATAAATTAGTATTTATGCACTGTGACATTGAACCACAAATGGTGGATGACTAAAAGTTTTCTTTTCAAGTTTACGAATAAGCGGTAGCCTCATCTTTCTAATGTTTTCTTTGTTTTGTAAACAATCTATCTTTCTTCATTATGTTCTTTGGGAATATGATCTTCGGGTTCTTTGCACATTGAAGAATTGCATTGGGTAATTCTGAAAATGTTGAGATGATGGCCTAGATCGAGTTTTTATTCACTTGCTAACTACTCGGCTTTAGTCTAATTAAGCCGACTCACCTATATGAAAATTAGTTGTGAATTAAATTATATCACGGTTTTTTTTTATTGCTAATATTTGTTGTTATTAGACTTTCATTACTGATAAAAATCATGCAGCCTTTGCTTGCGAAGTATTCGATTTATTGATACAGATTCTAAGACTATATCATTAGCAGCTAGACCTTTTGTTATAGCGCTCGGCATATATGCATGTATATAAAAGGAAATCTAAAAAATATCCGTCCTAATCACTAAAAACATGAAATAACAAAGTACGTGTAGCACTATTTCTGAAACAGGCAAGATTGCATAAATAGACGGTACCCGCTCATAAAAACCGTTATCATTATTTTCAAAAATTCTTTGAAAATATTAAACTCATTTTAATCATTCAATCACCAAAGAAAGCAAGTATATTCTCTTTCTTCACCAAAGACTGATTGAAACGTCGATTATTAACCATCGCCGGAAAAAGGGCCAAACAATTTTTAGTTTATGAATCAAACCTACCACAGCCTTAACAAACTCTAGATAGTAAAGGTGACATAGATGTTATAAAAGTATAAGGTTTTTTCACACTAGAGGATGTGAGACGTATTAGAAGACGTTAAAGCACTTTGTCAAGGCTCCTTTGGGATAAACTCATCAACTGTCTTGACTTCATTAAGAATTTACCTTAATTAACAGAGCTATTATTTGCGAATTCCATACCACTGAGTCTGAAATTCACATCTATACTGAATAAATCACCAGAAGCCAAATAGGACAGTTAAGGAAATAAATTTTCAATAAGTATTTTTAAATTATTATCCATATAATATGATTGTAATAAAAAAAAATAGCACCTTATACGACAGTATTGCGATCCTGTACTAGGTTCTTTTATCGGTAGCTTACTACCATCGTACATTCAGCCTTGTTTCTTTGAAAAGTACCGCTTCAAGTTTATGGAGATACATATCATTTGCATACGGTTGTCTGTGATAGCCTGTGGGGATGTGAATACCATTAGAATGACGTTGATTCGCTTTAGGTTGGCCCTTTGAAGCCAGCGAAATCCTTTAGCCATAAATTTATGTGGTTATCAATGTCAAACTCCTCTAAAGTCATGGCATCATCTATCATATGTACCTCATAATCCGTCTTTCCACTTATCCAATTTCGAAGATTTTCTAAGACGGCTATAACTCCAGAAATACCTTTCCAATTTTTATCTTCGACTGACCTAAGGGATCTCCAGGCACAATCAACGTCAGATACTACAGCCGACTGTGAAAAAATAAAGAGTCCCTTCTCTTTACAAGTAAAATAAGCCCAAACTAAAGTGAAGGCCGTTATTATAATACCTTTAATGATGGGCTTCAATAATGGGATACCGCGCTGATGGATAATCCCGGCATTTTTAATCCAGGAAGATGCGGAACTCAAGCAAATAACACATGCTGAAACTTCTGACTGGGTTGACGCTATGGTAGGACGGTATATAAGCATAAGATTTTCTAGGTATTCCAATTCTAAATATGTCCTCATACTTCCATGAGAAGCATCAGCATACTGCTTTAACTCGCATTTCCATTCATCTAATTTCGTATGTAGCTGTTGTTGAATACCCTTTTTAGGAGTAACATTTGCTTGATATAGTTCATTAAGGATATCAGAGGTAAGTCGTCGTAAATGAATAACATGCACGCTTAATTCGAGATTCCAGCCATTTGCATTTAATTCAGCGAAAGACGTATTCTCCTCAACATCGGAAATCGAAGAAAACATCTGTACATCTATGCTTGAGTCACTGAGACCAACAGGTCTTCCTGTAGTGGAAGCTAATAATCTATCTAAAGCGTAAAAGGACCAAAAACATCGCCTCATTAATTCCGTAAGACTACTTGGAATATCAGAATTCCTATATGTAACTTCGCGATGAAGACCAAGAGCAATAGCAATCGTCCCAACCTTCCTAATGATGCCATAAGATTCCAATCCCGGAATAGACTCAAGCAATGAATATATTCCCATGTAAAGCAGCTCACGCATATATTCAAAACTATAAGGGCTTTGTGATTTTGAAAAGAATTGAATTGCCTTCCAAAAATATTCGAAGGAATCCTTACCTAAAAGTGAAGATCCAATCGCTAAACACATATTTGCTTCGTATAATTGGTATGCAGAGTTTGCAGATCCATTCTCATAAACTTTATTAAATAAATCAGCTAATGTTTTCAGGTTTATGATTGGGAATGATACGAAGTGGTGAATCACTGCTATTAATATAAGATGTATTGAATCACGGTCAGGGAACAAGTATAAAGTTTCGCTGAAGGATATATCTGTCAAAATAGGGTTAAACAGCCTTTCTTTGTTAAAAAAAGAAGATGTTACCGTGAAGCCGCTCCTTTTCGCTTCACGCGAGAGGCAATCAGCAATCACACTTCCTGAACTCGGTCCAATGTAGTGATTTTGAGGCAAACAGTTTTCAGGAAAGCTTTGATTCTGTAAATCAATAGAAAGCGGCAAAGGAAAGTCTAAAATCAATGCATGCAAGTAGCTCGTGAGGTCTTTTTCACGTAAGTAAGATGATATCAGTTCAGATTCGTCGCACTCAGAGTTAGAAGGTGACGAAGGCAGGGTAGGAATAGTAACAGAGGCACCTGTTGGTAAAGCAGAAGCATTAATTCCCGCTTCTGATAAAATATTTTCTAACCATTGGACTCTGCAGGCTAAATTATAGGAATCTTGTTCGGTCATTAAAAATCCATCAGGCATGATGCACTCACTACCAGCTTTTAGACAGCTACTGCATCTTGGTCGCTTAGCATCACATTTCGTTCTTCTTACATGACACCGCGTGCATGCTCGAAGTGCTCTTCTGCTTACTGGTCTTTGACGTTGAGTGGGCTTCAATTGAAAAGCAAAATCAGACTTTGGGCTGAAGCTTACGCGACTTGACGCGTTATTTTCAAATTCTTCAGTGCTTTGGGATGTTGAAGGCAATTGTCCTTGGTTGCTATGAGTTTCTTGCATGGGCTATGCAGGCGTTCAACAAACACAAACACAACTCCAAAAAGGGTTTGTAAGCTTATAAAAAAATGATTAGAAAGCGAACTATTTTTTCAAACGTCAAAGTTCGATTAAGAACATTCGACGTTATTTGTGATTAGTTATAGTAATATGAAATGTGAGTGCTGAAAAGAGAATCAGGTTATAAATCACAGAAATTATTCTTTACTTACAGTTGTTAAACAAAATGAAATAAATTCATTGCGTTCCAAATGAGATATCCAAGAAAATACGCCTGTTGTGTTTCACATAAAATGAATGACAATCCTTTCACCTGTCCCCTTTCATTTATGTGTTTATTGAATTGTATAAACGGATAGAAAATATTCAGCTTTGTTTAATACATCTGAGAGCATGTGTTCATTTCAGACTAAAGAGAAGGACATGGAATGATTGCAAAAGGAGGTTGTCAACTTCAATTTCGCATAAAAAGGTTGAAGTTATGAATTTTCTTGACTCCAATTTCAATGTTTAGTACGCGAAATTTCTTCGCGTACAGTTGTAATCAATGCGACAGCACATAGCAAGACGATGGTACCTTAGCATTGATCTGTTAGAGAAAGTAAAATGTTATCGAGTATTACCAATTTTTGAATAATATAACGAGTATATATTGTATTATGATGTTACCTGAATTAAGACAAAATAAACAGTGAAATCCCAATTTATCAATATAATTAACCATTACTTATTCCATTTTCAATTCTATTGATACTTTCTTACGATATAACCAGGTGCTTAAGTAATGGGATCTCTTGTTTCAAGAACGCGTTATTTAATAACATATAACGAAAGTGCTACCACCATCGGCTAAGCCGAATGTATGAGGCAGAGCAGTATTTTTTTTGCAGAGGAATGAGGAGTACCTAATTTACAATTTACGGAGATTATATGGAATGAAATCTCAAGTTCTATATAACTGCGTTACTCAAATCATCTTATGAAAAAGAGTAAATTTCACTTCAATAACACATGCGAGTATTATTAGATTTTAAGATTTTATAAAATGAAATATTAGAAAATTAGGGCTTTATGGGACAAAATTTCACATAAAAAAATCATTTCGGATTATCCGGTGAACGGATTAGGGGGACCAAACCCAACGTAAAGTTATTTCGGGCACACTATTTTGTTCCTAGTTTCGTTAGTGGATATACGAAAGGGCCTAATCGACAATTTTGATTTGTGATCGGATCATCCGAATAAAGTCAATTCCAACTTTATCAATATCCTATGAAGGATGCAAAATAAAAAATTATATTGTGTTTTTTGTTTACTTTTATAATATTGTATATCAATGATTAGTTTTATCCATTCCTTGTATCATTCACTACCGAAAGTACAAACATCCTCATTGCCTTTTTATGTTTTCCTTAAATACTCGTACAGTCATAGGTGGGCACATCGAAGAAAGATATTGCATGTTCAGCTCTTTGCTCTTAAGACTATGACCAAGAAGATACGTTCTATCCTGAGAATAAATAATGCAACCTCGAAATTCACGACATTCACCGTTCACTCATAGTTACTGACAAAGAAAAAAATGGGCTGTTCTGGGAATCGAACCCAGGACCACCATCACCCTAAGATGGTATCATACCACTAGACCAAACGGCCGCGCTCTGATCACATCGTAAACTTTATACTAATTTTATCAAGGCATGTTGCTCCTCTATCCTTAAATGAATAATACGTGCGATTTGGATGCAATCTAGCGACATGTGCTTTTGAGTGATTTTCTTTTTGGTTAACAAAAAATTATATTATAGGTTAATGCATTAAACATTCAAAAAAGGTCGGATAGCACAGTTGGTTAGTGCGCATGACTGTTAATCATGAGGTCGAGGGTTCGAGTCCCTCTCTGACCGTTTCTTTTTCTTTAATTCCAAAACATGTAGGCGGTAATACAAAAATGTTACTGTTTTTAGAATATGTGTACAAGGGATCGAAAATGTATATAGACGGATGAAACACACAGCACAAAGACAGTTGAAAGTGGTTAATATATGTATACTAAGCTGCTTCAATAGACGAAGGTCTTTTTTCCTTTTTTTTCTATCAATACTCGTGACGTTTTCTGAAAAACTTGCAAAGTCTTCCTACGTAAAAACACATTGAATAAAAGAACAATTACCTTATTGAAACTAGGATTCAGCGTCTCCTCATTGGTATCGGTTGGAACGAGAGCTCACCTATAGGAGGCAACAAGCATTTGCTATCATCATCGGAGAAGCCGATAATGGATAGTGATAAATGTAAAATCAATTAAGGCCGAATATTTAAGCAAATTTCTATGTTGGGTCAAGAGAGCTCATCTGGATAAGACAGTTCCGAAGCGACAACATGGATGCTTAGTTATTGTTGGCCAAAACATGAGAGTGCTGTTTCCAGACGAAAAATAAGAAATCATAAGACAAAAGTCGAAAGTAACCTAAGCGATAGAGCAATCTCAGATATCAGTAACTGTTGATTCCTATACTTTCAACTCTCTTCGTTTCTTTCAGATCGTGGACTTCATTTATATCCTTGAGTTCTCAATATCTCTTTCTTCCTTTCGGCCACATTATCTTTATGGCTTTTCGTGATTAGAGTACCAGATAGGTAAAAATGATTGACAGTTTTCCTTTGTCTTATAAGCATTCGCTTAAAGGATAATTCCTTTTGAAATTATGGAGAATACCAACACATCCGATAATATAACCTCGGTTCGTTTAGGGCACAGCAAAGGTAAGTTTCGATACCAAACTCGAAGTAAACAAAGCTATTTTACATTTTCTTCGTACTTTTTCTATCTATATTCGGTCAAGCGTTTTTTCCTATAATTTGTTTTTCTTTTATTTTTTTTTGATGCATCGTATCCTGTTTGCTGAAAGTTTGAATTGGTTTATCGCTTTCTCCTGAGTATCTTGAGTATTACCTCAAAAACAACCGTAAGCTCTGTGTTGATTAAGTCCAACTATCTTTGCGCTGAAAAACTTGATAATACTATCAAGAATGAAAGTGAATTATGAGATTACAGAGACGACAAAGAAACATTTAAAAATGATGAAACCCCAACTAGTTGAAAGCATATAATTCCTTCATTCTCATCATTTAATTGATTTTAGGGGTAACTTTGAGATCTTTGTTATTCTATTGTTCTTGATTGAAGCATTTACTGTTATGAACTCATTGTCTTCACCTCCTCAATACATACCTGAAACACAGGTGCATTCCTATTCAAAATCTAATCTGTCTCACGAAAATGTAGCCGTTGACGAAAAGAAAACTGCTGCTTTCGTTGATGAAGATTCTTTACCTTCTGTCGGTGAAATCGACATAGTCCAGCCAAAAGGTAGGTTTGCTCGTTTTATCGACGGTTTTCGTCTCGCTGATGCAGATGAAGATACTTCCGAACATGGCCTTCAGCGCAAACTCAAATCTCGTCATATCCAAATGATCGCTATAGGGGGTGCCATTGGCACTGGTCTTTGGGTTGGAAGCGGAAGTTCTTTAGTTACAGGAGGTGCTGCTTCTGTTTTAATTAACTACATCTTAATCGGCTCAATGGTTTTTTTTACCGTCTATAACCTCGGCGAGTTATGCGTCTCCTTCCCTACTCGCGGTGGTTACATTACATATGCTACTCGTTTCATTGATGAATCTTGGGGGTTTGCATTGAGTTGGAATTATGTCTTAGGTTTCTTAGCATCCATTCCACTAGAACTTACCACAGGCACAATGTTGATTCGTTACTGGACAAACCTCAATGCGGGTATATGGATCACTATCTTCATTGCGTTCCTCATTTTTTCCAACATTTTTAGTGTTCATATCTATGGAGAACTTGAATTTCTCATGTCTAGCATAAAAATTGCGGCCATGTGTGGCTTCATCATTCTTGGTATAATCATCGATTGCGGTGGTGTTCCTACGGATTATAGAGGCTACCTTGGAACTCACGTATTTCGAGAAAACGCGTTTCGGAATGGGTTCAAGGGTTTCTGTTCTGTGTTTACTTCAGCTGCATTTTCTTTTTCGGGTACTGAATATGTAGGAGTTGCTGCTGCTGAAACTGATGACCCAGCCAAGGCTTTCCCTAAGGCTGTGCGTCAAACTTTTTTCCGCATCACCATTTTTTATATCCTTTCTCTTTTCATTGTAGGCCTGCTAATCAGTGGTGCTGACCCTCGCCTAACTTCTTACAGTGGAGTGGATGCCAGTCCTTTCGTTTTAGCCATTAAAGATGCAAACATTAAAGCTTTACCTTCTATCTTAAACTCTGTTATTTTAATTTCTGTTATTTCTTCTGCGAATGCCCAAATCTATGCAGGAAGCCGTGCTATTCACTCTTTAGGTTGCAATGGTTTTGCCCCTAAATGTTTCTCCTGGGTAGACCTTTCTGGTCGTCCTATAATTGCTCTTCTTATTCTCTTTGTTTTTATGTTTTTATCGTTTTTGGTAGAAACAGGTAAAAGTACCACTGTTTTCAATTGGTTTATGTCTATTTCTGGTCTTGGCACCTTATTTACCTGGGGAAGTATCAACCTCGCCTATATTCGCTACCGTTCTGCTATGAAATACCAACAGCGAAGCTTAAAGGAAATTGGGTTTCGCTCTCCTTTTGGTATTTATGCCGCTTGGTATGCCTTCGGCTTTATTTGCTTGATACTAATAGCCGAATTCTATGTCTCGGTAAGCCCAGTTGGTGGAAAATCTACCGCTAGTGCATTTTTTATGAACTATTTATCAGCTATTATTATTTTGGTTTTCTTTATTGCGCATAAACTTATTTACAGGACTCCAATCATTACCTCCTTTAATATGTGCATTGAAACCGACTTTGCCCGTATAATGCCATCAGAGAAAGAACAAGAAAAACCAGCGACAACTAGTCCTTTCCGCAATATAGCAAAGAAGATGTTAACCTTTTTTTAATAATATCTTTCCCTTGATGATTCTGTCTACGTCTTTTTGTTTCTCTTGTCATGCCTCCAATGCTTCTCTCTTTTTTTTTGTGGCGCATTTAACCGAATGCATTTATGCTTTTGTGTTTCGCTTGTTTGATTTCTTTTAATATAGCGTCACGTTTACCGTTTAGTTAAGTTATAGTAAAGAGTTTAACGTGGTAATAGATTATTTATAAGTTTACAGATAATTCAGCTGAATTATAATAAGAAGTAAACAACTTCACTATGAGGACTATTAATGAAAAACAAAAGATAATAAAACTAACGAAGCACTTGCTTTGAGTCTTGCTCCAACCTGAATGTCTGTCTGTATCTTCCAATTGCTACTTGCTGCTTTGTTTACAAAACAAAGGGATAGTTAACTCCTGATCATCCGTAATTCGATTTAACCAAAACAATTGACAATTCTCATTAATAGATACCCTTTCATAATATTCTTGTGTGTTTTCAAATGAGTTCTAACAGCCGTAGTTCATCTGAAGCACCGTCTGAGCAAACACGATTACTGGAAAGTCCCGAGCAAAATCCTAGCCAAAGTGATGCCAAATTTAATCATTTTTTTGTAACTATTGCCGTAGGATATGTTTATGCTATAATCAATTTACTTTCATTTTACTATTCTAATCAGGGTCCTTTCTTCGTTACTACTGAATCACAGATAGTTTTCTGGGGAATCTATAGCATATCACTAATATCTTCTACTGTACTTCGAATCCGTAAGTAATATTTAGAGGAGCTTTTCAAAGAAAGCGGCTCTCTTGTGCTAACTTAAACTTACAATATCAGGACTGACGAAGAATGCCGTTTTATTCGTAAAACACTGGATATTAGGATGCTTTATGACAATTATTTATTTTCTTATATTTATAACCTATCTTCAAGAACATATGCGATCTTTAAACCCTCCCAAACGCCCAGTGGACCTTTCAAGATGGATGTGGATTATCATCGGTTTAGTTTTGTGTGGATCCATTGAATCACACGCATGTAAGAAACACAAAATCCACTAAAATAATTAAAGACTAATAAACTAGATTGCATAAAAAACTCCAATGATATTTTGGTTGCTGTCTTGATGACAATAACCTATGTGGTTATTCTATGTCCCATTCCGTTGTTTCTCTCGCATATGGGATTTTTGTTTCCTTTAAAATGGCTGATCTCTTCTCCGAATTTCTTTGTCATATCCTTAATGACCTTCAGTGCTATCACTTTGTATCAAACCTGTAAGAATTCGACTTGTTTACACTTACTGATATTTAGCTTCTTTCGAAATGGCTCTATATTGGAAGAAAAGATTTATTGTAGCTTCTTTAAAGTCATTTTGTTTTACTTCTTGCGTAGGGGCTCCTGCCTTCCTCTCAGCATTTACGAAACATATCAAGGGAAGCGATAACTTACCAAAAGGATTCTGGTATGCCATCGCTGCCACTGCAGATGCTTTAGCAATCTTAGAAACGAGTAAGAACGAACATTCGTTATTTATTTATTTACTTTTTTTGAATCTAACATTCGTAGTGTACCCGGGAGCTCTATACCGAATATATCGTGGCATTAAAGATCCCCTTTGGAATTCTAAACCCACGGATGAGGAACAGATGGAAGAAGTTTAGCCTTCTTTCACACCTTCCCTGAGATGTCCAAATAGGTCATCGAATAATGATCACAAGAGCTTTTGATAACTGCTGATTCATTTGATCATGCTTATACGAATGATTATTCACTATGATAGACCTTGACGACCTTCAGCCGTTCTGATATATATTTAATAGGAAAAATAAAGAAAAAGAAAAAAAAAAAAAGGATGAAGCCATTTTATCTGCTGTTTGATGAAAATTCTAGTCAATTAATTTTGGCGTTGTCTAATTCACACACTCAAATTCTTAAAATCCGTTTTCAAAGCAATCACAGTTCTTCCATATTTCTCATATAAAATATTATTAGGTGCATAGAATCTGTATTTCAGAGAATATGTCCCCTACAAGATACTCAAATAACTAACATCTTTTTCGTTGGTTTTTTTTTTTTGATTTATATCATCACCGTTGTGTAGTTTTTCATCAGGTGAATCGTTGATGTCCCTCGTTTGGGAAGGAAGCCCTTCGAAAATGTAGTAAACAAATACATCACTTCTTCATGACGTGAACTCATCTGATATATAAGTATAAATGAAATATAAACAGACCTGAAGGAAATTAAAAGAATCCAAAAGCAATGCCATGTCTGGAGCTTCGGAAATATTTACCTCAAAAAATCTACCATCAAAGGTAGAGAGATCAGAAAAAAATCCCGAGTTAGCTGAATGGATGTCACGCAACGGTCCTGTTTTAGGCACGCATGATGAAACAGTTGCAACTCAAAGGCGAAACCACGACGTTTTTATAACTAAAAATCCGTATAAGATTGGGAAAATTGAGCATCTAGCGCTTAACGGACCTTACGGTACGATTCCTGTAAGAGTATACCATGCTTCCAAGCCTGGTCCTGCTCATGGAGCAGCTTTGATATATTTGCATGGAGGAGGCTTTCAAGTAGGATCAATTGATCAATTCGATAATGCTATGAGAATTTTTTCTGAAGTTAGTGGTTGCCAAGTGTACATTGTCGATTACCGTCTTTCACCAGAATACCAATGGCCTACTCAAATAACTGAAGGTGAATTTGTTGTTAGATGGATTTTTGAAAACGCCAAAAAAATAGGAGTAGACGAAAATCGTATTGCATTAGGTGGCGATTCAGCCGGAGGAAACATGACTTGTACGATCACCCAGAAGCTTCGTGATGAAGGTGGACCGAAACTGGCATTACAGATACCTATTTATCCAGAGACCAAGATGGCGTTCGATACTAAGGCAGCAGTGGAAAATAGAGTAGGCAACTATGTCGAGACAGCAGGTTTATTCCAATTTCTATGGAACTTACTCCCCCCATCGGTTGATTATAGTCAACCGTATGTGACGCCTTTGAACGCGAAGGACTTTAGTAATTTACCTCGAGCCCTGTTTGTGAATGATGGTTTTGACATGTTGCGTGATGTTGGCCATGAGTATGCTCGCAAATTGGCGGCTGCTGGAAACGATCTTGTTTACATTTACAACGCTGATCTTACTCATGGGTTCATTCAAATGGCCCCATTCTCTAAGCGATGTCTAGAAGCTACAGAGGAAATTGCCTATTACATAGGAGAGCTCCTCAAAGCATCATGAGAGTATTTTTATAATGTAATAATGATTTTTTTTTTAATCTCCAATGTATTTATTCTGTAAACAATTGTTACTATCACGGAATTATATGAAGTAGGAATAGAATTGAGAATATACTGAGGAACGAAATATTTGTCCTGCTATGTTTGCGTTAAATTGGAATTTTAGTTAGTAGCAATGATCCAATATACCTACCTGATGATCTCTCGACTAGCAGCATATTTATTTAAAAACCAAAGATTTCATTTGGAAACAATTTTTGTTAACATTTTATTTTGCCCTAGTCGGTCTTCAGTCTATGAGTTTATATCTCCACTGTTTGTTGTATCCTAATTCAAATAATGTCATTATGCTATACATCCACCAAAATTATGTTTTCTAGTGAGTTATATATATTTTTTTTATATTACTTCGTCTGACAAATATGTATAGACAATGATTTCTGATTGAAGCTATAAAATAAATAACAAAAAATAAACTTTTTCAATTTAGGATACTAAAAAGAAGGTAGGCCAGGAGTGAGCCTTTTTTCTCATAATTCGTCATAAATCGTTTGTCGGAACATGCGAAAAGCAAATAAAAGGAAAATGCACAAGTACCACAAGGGACTTTAGTGTTGCTTCATGAAGTCTACATATTTTTGGATTTCTCCTCTACTGCCGAGCCAAATAGAGCTTTGTTCATGAATCTGTTTGGGAGTCAAATCAAGAATTCTTTCACCTTTGTCATTGACAGCCATTCCATTGGCTTGTTCGCATAACATTGCCATTGGGAAACATTCATATAACAAACGAAGCTTGCCTTTTCCTCGAGAACAAGGGTAAGCAAAAATACCACCGTAAAGCATAGTACGATGGACATCAGCAACCATTGATCCAATGTACCTAGCAGCATAGGGCTTACCACCTTCTGGAGCTACTTTTAGACCATGAATGAAGTCTGCAATTTTAGGAGGCCAGTTCAAAGTGTTTCCTTCATTGATTGAGTAGATGTTTTTGTATATGGGCATTGACAAGTTTCGATGGGTTAAAATGAATTCACCGAGATTTGTGTCTAAGGTGAAACCATTAACTTTATGTCCTGTAGTCAACATTAAGTGGGCCGATGCGCCGTACATAGTATAACCGGCAGCCACCATTTCATTTCCTGAGCGTAACACATCTTCAAGCGAGCCGGTACTACCAGGACGAATTTTGTAGATGCCAAAGATTGTACCAACACTAACACCAGCATCGATATTCGAAGAACCATCAATAGGATCACAAGTAATAGCATAGGAACCGCTGCTGTCAACAAGAATAGCCTCTTCTTCCTCTTCACTAACAATGACTCTAATGCAGCCATTGGATTTCATGGCCTCGATAAATATGTCGTTGCAGATACTATCTAATTGCTTTTGTTCGTCACCAGTAGAATTAATAACACCAGAAAGACCGATTAAATTGACCAATTCGGCTTTACGAATGTTATTTGCAATGAATTTGAAAGCAAATTGAAGACTATTGAGTAAGAGAGACAACTCACCGCTAGCTTCTTGAATGATACTAGTTCCCTTGTCATGGTATTTGCTGTTATATTTTCTTTGCTCTTGAAGAATGAAACTAGAGAGTGTGATAATATCAGTGCGCGTGCCGTCAACTTCTTCTCTCATTTTGATAATTTTTCTGCTTCAGCAAGAGTATATATATCGATTTCGACTATGGAATTGCAACAATATGCAAAGCTGTTTTTGTTAAATAAGAGAATGAAAAGATATTCGTAAAGTAGACCATAAAACGTTGGGGAATTGGTCCAATTTATAAGCTAAAATTCTGCATTTCATGCAAATAAACAATCATCGAAAGATAAACCTCACCTCCCGAACATCAACCTCTTCCAGTCCCTCTAATTGGTGCAAATCCTTTTAGCTCAGCATAAGTGAGCTAAGGATGATGATTTTTTGATGGGATACGATGTTTTTATTGGTAGGCCAAGCCTAGATTGGGGGCGCTATAATTTTTATGCTCAATGATTAGACTCAACACATTAAACCTAAACCTTTTTCAACCCTTAAAAAGGACACGTTGATCTTTCATCAACTTACGTATCGCCGATTGTAAAAGAAATATCTTCTTTATTTACAGAAAAAGTAATGATTCTGTCTCAATTATCATAAAACCTTCCTCTGTGTTTTTCTTTTTTCTATAATTGTCAATTTCTAGTTATTCTCTCCAAATTCATAATTTGCCATTCAACTATGAACTCATGTAAATAAACTGAAGAATTTAGGTTGCATCATATATGCAGTGTGCAGATTAAAGTGGCGCTTATTTAATTAAGGTTTCCGCTAACCGTAATTGAAATTCGTAAGTATTTTGTCATGGCAGATATCCTACACGTATAATTATGTATTTCAAGTGGAATTAATAACTACAGTTGAATAATTGCGTACGTTAATTGGACTATGTTGTACTAAGTATATAGAAGATACCACCGAGTTCGAGAGTAGGCAGCAGCAGAACGTATTACCATACTGCCAACACCGGTAGAATCAATGAAGGCAATCTTGTGAATATCCATCTGGCAAGCCATGGAATTACCGCAACGACGACCATCACCGCTAAGGATGTTAATGACACTAGGAAGGAAGCCAGAGAGCTCGATAAATTGAGTAAGAACAAGTGTGCAGACAAAGGAGTTAAACCGACACTGTCTTCAAGATAAATGTGTTACCACAGACAATAGCTGAAGCAATTCCTAAGAAAACATAAGGAAGGGGAAGTTCCAAGGGATAATTTGACCACAGAAACCAATAGCTTCATGACGAGTATAAGCAAAGCGAGAAATATCAAACTCAATAGTTTGACCTTAATCATTATCGGTCCAACCACCATAGTAACGGAAGCAATCAGAAGTTGTTTGAACATAACCTCGTGCCAAAGTAATACTCTTACCATTGTCAAGAGTTTCAATAGAAGCAAGATATTCCAAGTTCTATCCAATATAGTCAGCCAAATTGCTCAAACAGCGACCACGTTCAGCACTAGAGAGCTTGCGTCAGGGAGTATTAGGTTAAAACGTAGCACGAGCGGCCTTAACGGCAACATCGACATCTTCTTTTTCAGCAAAAACTTCGCGAACGAGCTTTTCGGTAGAAGGAGAGAAAACCTTCACGCGACCTCCATCTGAAGGCATCAACTTGTAAATTGACAAACCGATAGGTTGTTCATACGTCTTACCAGGAAAATTAAAACTTTGGACGTTTGCAATTTCAAGAACAGAAGACATAATGACAGTATGATAGTATTGCAAAAACGAAATAGATAAAAAAGGAAATATAGAAAGGATGTCTATGTAGCTAATTCAAAGAAACGGAAACGAAAAGATAGTAAGTGTTTAAAAATAATCAATTGGAAACGTAAGCAAGTTAAAGAGAATCAAAAATAGTTGTTCTCTTTTATCCTTCTCTTAAGAAGAGACAACTCAATTGCATATCAAGATATAAGAAATTAACAAGAGTCAACGAAAACGGATACCCAAAACTCGCTGCTAAAAGTAAAGAGAAACGAAACTCTTAATACAAGTAAATCAAATAATTAAACAGGTACGAAGATTGCTAAGTATTTAAAATTGTGTGTTACTTACGTACTTTCTTAGTGTAACACTCCTTTAGCCCGTCAGCTGCCAGAGCCGTACACATGCACTTCATACTACTTACCTTTTGAGTATTTCTTATTACACCAAGCGTAATTAAAAAAGTGCCTTAACTATGTCCTCAAATATGATCAATAGGATTCCCACGTGTCCGCTTGTGAAGTCTGTCTGTCTGACTTCTCTTGGTTATATGCTTCGATTGCACGGTCCAGGTGTTCCTCCTTGAGTCGATTATACATCTGTACATCCTTCAGGTCTGGATCAGCTTTAGCAGCAGCAATAGCTTCATCAAGTTTCCAGCCCTTATTCGTCCCATATCTGTCTACAAACTAGCAGCTTATTAACTCGCCTTCCTCAGTACCACATATAGTTCCAAAGCCATCTATGAAGTATAAAATGCCTCCCAGTGGATATATGATACTAGCTACGGACCCATAGGATGCTTGGTCAAGAGTTAGTTTAGAGTCCTTATAGTAGTACCTCTGGTGACGTATTCTGCCAACTCAGGGTCTACTTCAGCCAAAGTTAAATTTGCGAAGTCTGTGGACTGGGCAGGACGGATACAACATATTAATAAAGAAAGTAAAAGTAGAGAAATTGTCACCTTAGGAATCTTCACGGCTTATGAGAATAAATATCGAGTGGAATTAATAACTACGATTGTACAGTTGTTTACTTGAATTGGACTTTGTTGTACTACGTGTATAGATGCTAGTAATGTCTAGCAATCTGGGTAGCTAAATGAAATGCTCAAAGAACGTGACTAGTCGAATCTTCCAATCTGAAGATTTCGATTGTAGGTAAGTGGCTTATATATCTTTGCTGAGACAGCTAACGTAATCTATTTCTTTGTAAAACGAAGTTTCTTTTTCTATAAGACTTCCGTTCCGAAATGAGTCGATTTTGTTAAAATCGTATTTTTATGTTTTGTTGTTTACGATTTGTAATATTTCATCCTTTAGTCTTATGGCATCATATGCTCTTGTGATACTGTGAATAAAGAAGACACCTATCGTGACAAAAATACATAAAGTTGATTTCTATTTAGAGATTAAAAATAACGAGCTCATAGTCTTAGGATAAAGAGGTCTGTCGCTTAACTTGGTGAATTGTTTGCTTGAGAAACGTATGAAAAAATGAAGTAATAAGGTCGCCGTATGTCGTTGCTACAAAAACAAGAAAACCCATCTGGTCGCTGTACAGTGGATAAAAGTTTGCAAATCGGAAAAAAAAATAAAAAACAATAAGAATAATCATGATGGACGAAAAGTACTTAAAGAAGTTCAAGTTATGCTAAATAGTTGGACAATATATCTTTGTAAAATCTCCAAATTAAACGGGATAATCGCACATTTCTTCAAGCTTGAAATTATTTACTTTTCTATTTTTCTATTTTAAAAAGCCTCGAGTTGGGATAGAATCTAAAAGATCGATGTTTACCTTCGAATCCATCGTACCTACTGAGGCTTTTACATACAGATTTCGTCGACTCCACTAGTTAACATTTTCGGGTCAGGCACCAAACTAATGCATCTGAGTATATTACAATTCAACAATACAGAAGCCAATTGACTGATTGTGTACTAACAAGCCATATTTTTCTATTGATATTGCTTTCATGGGCTTTCTTTGCTGCATCTCAGTATACAACAGCTGTTGAATGATCATGTGGGGGCTGTCGCAAATATTTGTTATATAGGCTTACGGTTAGGTAGAATCTCAATCCGTTTTAACGCGCTAGCCCTTTGTACCTTAATAAACAGTTTGTAAATTGAGAGTTTGGTCTTTTTGTAAAAAAATGTTGAGATGTAGAAGCAAGTAGAATCCACTGCTCAACTAGAAAAACAATTGGAAGGAGTATTCTATATTCCCTCCTTAGACTAGAGTGATTGTAAAGCATTTAAATACGTCTCAGTCATGTCTACTGATGTGAAATAGCAACAGCATCCTAAACAAGAATTTTTGATTTCCAATAATTATAATTGTTATTTTAATACATAAAACATATTATCATATTAACATTGTTTATAGCAGCTTCATTAATCATGCAAACCTTTGGCTGAGATTGTAGGAATTGTACTAAATATTGACAGATCCTTCGATGCATGTTGAAGCGGATCCACCTACCTTGACCTTTAATGAACCATTAGTATTTAATGAAGTTACTACATTCAAATTTGCTGCGCGGCCAACTTTGCATCCTTGAGAAATGCTTAGATTTCCATCAAAATCTCTTCCCAATTTATTGTTAGAAAGATAAACATAAATTCCACAGGCAGCGGCACCACTGCCGCAAGCAGGATCTTCAACGACATTGATTGCTGGAGCAAAAGCTCTCGATTCTATATGCATATCATCATGCTTTCCAAAGACATAAACTCCGGTGAACCCATATTGCTCAGAAAGATTAGCCATCATGCCATAGTCAGGATATAAATTTAAAACCTGATGTGCAGAATCGAGTTGAATGGTAAGCCATATAGGACCAACATTGATGAAAATGGGGTTCCATTTCCTTTCTTGGATTTGACCGTTAGCATTGAAAAGACAGTTTAATATGGCGATAGCTACTTCGTCTGAAACTTCCGAAGACGTAAACTCTGTTAATTCGAAAGCGTACCAAACATCGCCACTATCTTCTCGATGAAGAGTAATGTTAATTAAACCAGCCTCACATTCCTGTATAACTTTTCCATTTTTTGGCAGACAAACACCGCTTTCTATGACAGCATAACATGAACCTATCGTAGGATGTCCTGCGAAAGGTAACTCTTTTTTTGGTGTGAAAATACGAAGTTTGTAATGAGCTTCAGGAATAGTTGGTTTGAGTACAAATGTAGTCTCTGAGAGATTTGTCCAAACAGCAAACTTTTGCATCTGATCTGTTGATAAGTCGTCAGCGTTGAAAACGACTGCTACCGGATTTCCATTGAACCCGCCTTTAGAAAATACATCGACCTGTTTGAAGGGATGAGCTGACATATCCAAAATTCTTTCACAATGTTAGAGGAAGTGATTGAAGTTGTTCTTATAAATTGATGCCTTGATATCTTCGGATATATAGCTAATAAATATTTACGATCAGATGTATGATAGCACAAAAAATTTAATATTACTCAATCAATCATTGGAAGCTTACTGTACCATAACGATAGAAAGTCGTTTTCCAATTACTTAAAAAATAAGTTGAAATTCGGCTCTTGTACTTTATAGAAAGCCATACTGATATAAGCTGTCCAGTGTCACAGCAGTATTGTCCGTATCGGTAATTTGATATAAGTAGGATACAATTGTTAATTGCTGTGATGTCGAATTTGATTGACAATTAATATCTGGAGACACATATCTTATCTGTAATAACATATCTTTGGTAATCCCAAATGTAAGATGTTGTGAAACAAGTTTATTAATTCAGCCAGCAAGATCTTGCTGGGAACAGTTGGAATATATACGAGCTATTCTCATTTAACTATGAATGTTCAACGTAAATTCATTAACCAATTGTACTTTTCTCGATCACCAGAATTCACATTATCATTAGGAGGAATTCTTGCTGTGGTTATTTTTTTTTTTTTTTTTTTTTTTGTAGGAGTCATTATACAGTAGAATCGGATTAATGCCGTTAATTCAGGTGGATGTAAGTAAATAGGTAGTTTGTTAGCACTAGTTAATAAATGATTCATCGCTGACTTTTTATCTGGTATAACCATACCATCAGTCAACTAGCTACGTATCTTATATAGATATACTTATGCGTGATTGATTTAGTAAACCAAAAGAATACGATGAATCAATATTTTTCATGTAGATCTTTCAGCACTCCTAGCAAAATTTTCAATACCCATTTTATTTAAAACTCATTCGTAATTAATATCTCTCACAGAAATATTCCTTCACTGATTATTACAGAGGTACAACCATTTTTTTAGTCAGGACCTTCGTAGTAGTTCTCCTATAGTAAGCAGCAAGAGCAAGTATAAAAAGAGTAATATGTTATATATATACCATTCTTTTGGGTATATATTTTAGTAATAAGCAACAATAGAGTTTTTCTTTGAACTGTTAACCAGAGTCCTTCCAGCCATATAATACATTTCGTTACTTTTTCAAAACTGTATGAAAGTGATGATTCTCGTTAACTGGGATACATGGTAAAACATTGGTCCAAAACAAATCGCTTCAAGTTCTTGATGAAGGAACTTCTCAGATCGACTACCTAGTATGTCTGTAATCGAGTTGGTATATAGTTTTTTTTTTTTGGTTCACCAAAACTAATCGGCGGAATCTAATGTTTGGTAAGCGATTTTCGCAAGAATACCCATTCGCTCCTCTAAATCGTAACCCTGAAACGACTCTGCCTTTTTTACTAGGTGCCTGACTTCCCCCTCTGCTTTCATTCCATACATGAACCAATTGGAAGCAGCAAGCTCATAATATGCGTATGGGATGACCCAAAAATCCTTATCTTCCTGGAATAAAACATTTTGATTCAACTGCAGTATTCCAGTCAAACGGGCTTTCGATGACTCATGTTCATTTTGCATCCTGTCTATAACTGCAAGCAATAAATCTCGTAAAGCTAGATCCGCTTCATCATGACATTCGCTTTCCAGTAGATCTTGCTTATAGCTTGCAGCATATCCCTTGAATCCCAAAGTACAAACTACAAAGGAATACAAAAATTGTATATAAGGAGGAACGCTTATAACCTGAAGTAGTGTTTTTTTTTCTGCTTTAGCTTTTCCCTTCCATTTCAGAACTTTACGAATTGAGAATTTCTCCATTGGTAGTAAACTCTTTTTTTCTTTTTCTTGCAGACAAGACAGTGCGTTAACTAAAAGATTCTCACCGTCTTCTACAAACGCAATGTACTCATCACGATCTGCATTTTTTATTTTTTCCAATTCTTTTGCGTGTTGGAGCATGCAGCAACCAGCAAAAAACCGATTCATTCCCCGAAACCAAGAGTTCTTCTCCTCTAATATCAGAAACTGTTTCGAGGCGTTTTTAAAGTCACGGACACAAACATAAGCCATTGCCATATCAAAGCTTTTTAAATTTATTAGCTGGTCAGCTGAAGTAGTTATCGTTTGGTTTCCAATATTGATAGCCTTTTCAGGGTTTCCAGTCAGCAATGAGATCTTTAGTTCCATTGCTTGCCATAACACACTTTTATTGTATCGTGCTTTAAACCTCTGGATAAAATTTTCAAGTTGATTCAGCTCAGCCCCGAGATTGAAAAGTGATATACTCGCAATGGATTGTATCATTCCATAGAAAGTGAAAAGTGTAACCAGAGAAATCGCTCCTAGTACATTATTATACATTGAGGATTTCCACAGTCCCTCTAGAGCCTCCTTCCTACTAGGGTTAAAGCATATAAAAGATATTATTCGAGAATAAGAAGGCGGAAACATTGATACTAGAAAGTTGAGAATGCCGTATCCTGCCATAGAACCAGACTCCACAATCTCGTCTACAAAAGCGGCATTACCCGCGTTAACAGTTATCATGCCGGAATCTTTTTCTTGTTGTACTTTTCTTACATTTTCCAGCAACTTCATGAATGAATTGTACGTTGTGCGTAATCGATAGGTCGCTTTCATAGAATCTAAGAGCGATCCACCCAGAAATCCTAAAATGGTATCCATCAAGGAAAGTGTAGAAGAAAAGACCTGGAGTTCCATCCCTGGAGGATAATTTCCAATGTTGTCATTTGAATTTTCAACTGTACCTCGTAAATCTTCATACACATGTTCAGAACGTTCAATGGTATCTCGAGCTTGATGAATTACATGGGGCTGGAGTTCCAAAAGAGCAATGTAAAAATATTGTGAGGCATCTAGAGCATGCATTTCTACAGAGTTTTCCTCTAGTGTTGCCTTATAAGCATTGTAGTCGTCATTAATGACACTATCCAAACAGGCCATCAACCTCTCGAGCAGGGCAGGATACTCGTCCTTTTCGTATTCATAGTTAGATTGCTCTTTCTTTGAAAACTCGGGAATCGGGGCGAACTTTTTTAAATTGACCATCAGAGTAACCTCTGTGTTTTGTTTCCTTTTTTAATTAATGTATGCAAGTAAAAGTGTATTAAAAGCAATTTCGAATTTGTTAATTCTTGTAAATTGTTAATAACTCATTTAAACAAAGCTCATTTAGTTACTTTTCTACAACAAAAATAAACGAACCTACCAAATGTATTTCGCTAGTTATATTCCAACTATTCAAAAGATTCCATGCGTCCTTTTACGCCTAGTTTCTTTTCAACGTTTCTGCAAAAATTAGCATTGACGTCCTTTTTATAAAAGTGCTTTTTTCCCAACCTACGTATGAAATAATCATCAGTGATAAGAATGCATTGCGGTTCTCTACGTAATAACACTGAGGAAGGAACTTTCGTAGTTTTGTACAGTTTAAGTGTTTCTCTTGCATATCGCCACTATTTCCACCAAAGCCGGAATTAAATTTTAGCTGCTTTGTGTAGTTATATACACCATATTACAGTGACGATCTCCATCTCATTGAAGCCAAACGAGCGCCGAAGTTGGAGTAAAATAAGAGATTTATAAGTGACCATCAACTATCTTAAAAAAATTCATACATAATTTTCATAGTCTTCTAGAAAAGCAAACGTTCCTTAGAAGTATATAACTAGAAATTTTAGTTTCCATCTACTTGAATAGGCTTTACTGTATCATTGGTAGGTATTCTGTTGTACAGACTTTTGAGAAGACCATAACAATGATCCATTAAGGCTATTACTATCTACCAATTCGCATTTGGGCTCATAAGAGTAAAGAAGTACTGCGAATAATGAATCGCGATTTGTTCAACAGAATTGAATAAATTATTGAATAAAACTAGAACAAAAAGGTCAATTTTTATTAATAGAATAGATAGAATAGAACTAGAATAGTTAATAAATAATATAGATGGAAACCAATCCAAAAAAGTCAGCAGCAGAGCTGACTTTTTCCAATTTTGGCTTCAAGATCATATGTTTGTAATATATAAATATATAGTAACCATATACGTAAAATCTGTATGTTCGTATGTATATAAATAAGCATCCCTTGTAATTAGAAACACAGATGATTAGTTCAAGGAATGCAAAAATTTAATCCAATTTCTGTTTGAATTCTTCCCAAAGTGTCGTACATTTATTTTCAACCCAACATCCAGCAAAATGCACCAACAGGTCACCGGGTTGATATTCCATTTCTGGTGGAGCGTGAGGATAGGCATTTAAATACCTTTGCGGTAAAATACCAAACTTAGCAGCAAGCTGTGGATGTCGATGAATCATTAATCCTATAAGATCTTGCTCATGACGCACAATTTTGTGCTCGACTAGGGTAGGTTCAGTTAGTAAATCCATGAACAGAGCCATCGTTTCAGTATTTTTCACAAGAAAACTTCCAGCATTTACTCCATTGTGATCCTCAGAGATCAGGAATTCGACATTATCGATCATTTCATCGTTATACGAGGAAGGAGTACGTCTCTTGTCCTCTTTTATAATTTGACTCCACAACGGTTGATCTGTCATCAAAGAGGATTTGAGATTCTCAGGAGACAAGAATAAATTTTGCAAAGATTGATCTTTATTCATAATTAAAGCATCCTGATCCAACCACCATATCCACTTCGCATTTGGATATTTCTCCATCATCTGAATCACGCTTGGCATCTTGCCCCAAACAGTAGGCACATTGATTCCCGTAAGGTTGACAAATTCAAAATTGTAGTTATGTTTTTTGACATACTCAAGCCGATTGGCCAAAACATCATCCATGATGGAAGGATCAAACGAGCCCATATTTCCATTGCTTCCGAGAAGCAAAATTATTTCATGCGACTTTGGCTCTTGTGTATCACTTTCATTAATGAACGCTTTATGAAGTGTTGTAGCTTGTCCATACGACTTCTCATCTGCTGGGGCAATCCTTGGTCGAGGTGGAGTACAGCTAAATGGGACACAACTTGAATCATTTGGGGTGAAGGAAGGAAAATTTAATAAAGAAAGATTAACCTTGTGTAAATTATTGACAAACAATAAAACGCCAGTAAAGACAGCGGCAATGACAATACAAAGCAGCTTTTTTGATAACCAAACACCGGAAACCATTGTTAATAAACAAATAGATCTCTTTTAAATACAATAAATATCTGATCAATGAAATGCTGCTTATTTGCCCAGTCAAAGAATAAAATTTCTCCTTTTTCCCTGAACGTAAGGGATAGAAGAGAGTAGTGCTTAAAACATGTGGTTGCGGCCTTTACTCCATGGTCGCCCCGTTACTTGAAGTAACACCCCGGGGACTGCCAAAATAATACGCAATAATGAACAAAAACGGTCAATTTTATTGCATAAAGTATTTATCTATTTTCTTTCTGTAGGTCTTATATATTATTGTATTGATTCATATTGCTCACACATAAAGTCGCAAATATTTTGTTTATATTCTATTGATGTCGTTCACTAGAAACCGTATTTCCTATCAACGAGTCGACCTTTCTAGCTGTTCTCTTGAATGAGAAATTTAAAGTATTTGTCGGTATTTATTTTTAGCTTTTTGGTTAGGGGAGTACACAATCCCACTAACTCTAAAAAGTTATGCTATGCGAGATAGCTAGCTATTAACAGTTCTTTACATTGATTTCTGTCGTCTATCAAGTTTACATTCTGACCAAGAAAAAAATACAGTAAATTTAAGAAAAGACCAATTACTATTGACTTTCACATAATTCTTATTCCAAGCGTTTCACACACCATTCAGAACCATTCGCTTAGAAACCCTTTAATTATTAAAGCATACAATGCTCACTCACTACCGTGACTAGTGACTACATACAATTCATAGGAAAGTAAATGAACGTTAAAAAATAAAAATAAAATAAAATAAACAAAAAGATGGCTAAGAATTTGCTTTTTAGCAAGCATTAGAGAATCACATTTGTTTTCATAATTTTGTACCTTGAAAATGAAGTCGTAACAAGGATCAAAACCGGTTTTATAGACTGAAATGAATGAAATAATATCCCATGAAGACTTGCTACCTTTGTCCATTTTCGTCTTTACAGTCAAAAACGTTTCTTTCATGGACCTGTCTTAGCAAGAATTAGCAAGCAAGCAAAGTAGAGAAATATATACTGCACCAAACTTATGTCATCTTTTACGAAATTTACCATAAAACTTACGTCTTTTCAATGCTTTTTTTCTTAAAAAATGAAACCTGTATTTTAAAAAGTTCTATATAATGCTATTCTAGTAGAAAAACTCGATCTCAAAAAAAAAAACATTTAAACCGAACTAAACCATGATTAAGTGAAATTATGCATCAGTTATAATTTAGTTATCGGGAGCGGGAGCTCTGGCATTGGTAGCACCAACAGTAGATCCCCATTCAACCAATTCCTTGGTGCAGTCATCAGTGTGATTGTAGCATTCAATCAAGGTAGGACCCTCTTTGTTGGCAAGAGCAATTTGGATAGCTTGCTCAAGCTCTTCACCAGTGTTGGCCTTGAGACCCTTGGCCTTACCGTCTTCAGCGTTGAAGGATTCCATGAAGGCAGCATAGTCCCAGTTCTTGATACGGTTGTAAGGACCATCGTGGATTTGAATCTCAATGGTGTAACCACGGTTGTTGATTAAGAAGATGATGACAGGGAGCTTGTGAAGAACCATTTGAGCAAGTTCTTGACCAGTCAATTGGAAGGAGCCGTCACCAACCATAATAACGGTTCTTCTGTTAGGGGCAGCAACAGCATAACCCAAAGCGGAAGGAACGGACCAACCGATGTGACCCCATTGCATTTCAATTTCAAACTTGGCACCTTCGGGCAAGTTCATTTGCATACCGTTGAACCAAGAGTCACCAGTTTCGGCATACAAGGTGGTGTTACCGTCAATGACGCCTTGGATTTGGCGCATGAGCTCTTCACGAGTAAGAAGCTCCTTAGGGTTGGCAGGAGCATAGTTGAGCAAGGCAGGCTTAATGCGAGCGTACTCGACCATAGTAGCGTTCTTCTTGGAAACCTTGTCAGCCAAGCGGCCCAAGAATTCGTCCATCTTCACACGGGTGAATTCGTAACCGGGCAAGGTAACGTGCATGTAATCAGAGTCAATGAATTGCTCAGCACTGGGACCGACCTTGTAACCGTTGGAGGTGTAGTCGTTGAAAACGGTACCAGCACCAATGAAGAAGTCAGCGAAGTCGCCAATCTTGTCAGCAGCACGAGTGCTAGCCAAACCCCAGTAAACACCAGCGTAGTTCTTGAATTCTTCAGAGATGAAACCCTTAGCGCTGGGTTGGACAACGACGGCAGCATCGAGGGCTTCAGCCAACTTGAGGAAAGCCTTTTCGGCACCAGCAGCACGGAGCTTAGGACCGGCCAACATGATGGGCTTCTCGGACTTGGCAATCAAGTCAGCAGCAACATCAGTGGCTTGTTCAAGAGAGGGCTTGTCAGAGGTCTCAGGCTCAATGACAGCACTGATGGGGCCAGGCTTGGCACAAGGTTGAGTAGCCATGTTAGTGGGGACTTCGATGTAGACAGGCTTGTGTTGCAAGATAGCTTGACGAAGAGCATGGTCAATCAAGCGGGGAGCCTCAGCGGCACGACGGAGGGCAACAGCAGCGACAGTGAGGTTCTTAGCGATGTCCATTTGGTAATCAAAGTTGTGAGTACCAATGGTATGGTGCAAAATGTGAGAGGAGTTGAGGTCATTAGTGTTAGGGGCACCACTGATCAAAATAACGGGGAGGTTCTCGGCGTAAGCACCACCAATACCATCGAAGGCAGTCAAGGCACCGACGCTGTAGGTGACAACAGCAGCAGCGATACCGTGAGCACGAGCATAACCCTCAGCAGCGAAAGCACAGTTCAATTCGTTGCAGCAGCCAATCTCAGACAACTTGGGGTGGTACTCGAGGTAGTCCAAAAGCTTAAGGTTGTAGTCACCAGGGACAACGAAGTGGTTGATGATACCAATTTGGCTCAATCTTTCGGCAAGATAGTCACCAACAGTGAATTGAGTATCCTTAGTCATGTTGAATTAGATGTGATTGATGGCATTCAATGGAGGACTTCACCAGGTATTTATAGGACAGAAGCCTTTCCCGGAATTTTCCGGCGTGAAGTGAAAATCTCACGGCATTGCTACTCTTTTGCACTCTTTTACAAACCTTTGTTACTTGTTAGGGGTATTTCTGGGAAATATCCAGGTCCAGCCAATCGGCGGCCAGGACAGCTATCCGGGGCACGGCTGCTCAACTTTTCGCGAAGTTTGTCACCTGGGAAAAAAATAGAAAAAAAGCTCCAATAAGTCTGGTAAAGAGCAGCTAATTAAAAAATTTGTCTTTAATTTTCATTTTATTAGAGTATATGAGTCTATGTTCGATAGTATGTCTGATTATACGGCTTTGCTTAGTTAGTTAATGGAGGCAAATGCGACGGTCGGGAACCCTGACTTCCTATTGGTCGGCAGGAGCGAATAAAACGGGAAGGTGGGCACCATTTAGTGTCCTCGTAGGTTTATACGGATTTCCGATTGGTTGAAATTATCTAGAGTTTGATCTAGACCGTACCAGATTTTGTAAATTGAGCTTCTTGAACCCACGCGAAACAGGATGGAAACATTATCGAGCCAGTGTTCTTTGAAGCTTCCTCGTGTTTCCACACTTTTTACGTTGATTTGTCTTGGCAAATATCCCTTTGCTGTGTAGAACGTTAATTATGGGATACTTTTTTTTTTTTTACGAGAATGAGTTAAGCTTTAGGTGGGCTTTTCAGTAAGTCAGCGTCGTATCTCGCGAAATAGATGAAGAAACGTGAAGATTGTTGTGCAATTAAAATAAAACATTTTATTTCTGTTAGAGAGGAGACACTTAATATCTGTAGACTACTCAATATTATAATGTGTTTTAAGTATTGCGAAACAGATGTCTCATATAGCTAAACGCACTAAAGAAAAAACATGTATATGGGTTTAAAAATGAATTTTGAATTGTCTGTATATAAATTCTTCCTCGAATTGCATTTCTTATCTCGAGGTTTATATTCTACTTTTTTTTTTGGTATTGGGGGGGGGAGGAAGAGACATACTTGTAGGTGTGTTCATAAATACATAATTAACATTTGCAGATTAAAAATCATTCGTAACGCAAATTAGTTACCGTTTCTTTTGTTCTTGATGCATACTGTGTTGCTGCATCTGCTAAAAAGGTTCACTTTTTGGTTATTGTTATAGTGGATTTATTTACTAACTGTTTTTTACGGTGCTCTACGGTAGCTATGAAACCATTTCTTATAATGCGATAATTTTGAATAGCGACCTTGGTTGCAAATAACAAATCTCACCGAAGAAATGTTTATTATTTGCAATTCTCGACTCCAACTGAATTATGATACAAAGAGAAGGAAACAATGCCTTCGAGACTCATTTGCATAAGATAAGCGCATTCAGATACTACTAAGTATTGTAATGTTTCTGTTACAGAATGCTATTGCTGCTAGTAATTATTGAAGCAAAATTGACTTGGCATTTTGACATCTTTCGCTGCTTTTAATCGTTTAAAAGTTATTTATAGTGGCATCCCATCTTGTAGTGTTTATTAGGCAATAACGATACTCTATGCAAAAGGTAACTTCTGATAAGCAACTAATCAACTTTAAACAAATTTAACTTTATATTACTACGTGACTGATAACGGCCTACTGTAACTGATTGATACAGTACGGTCACATGCTTTCAAACTAGAGAGATAGTGTTAACAAACTTAAAACAATTGTTACCTGTATTCGTTTCTTCATCCGTTAATGTTCCTTTTTGTATTTTTTTATTACATTTACACATTTCATGCGTTATACCGAGATATTTTTGATCTTTCTTCTTTTTTTTTTTTTTTTTTTTTTTTTTTTTTTTCTGTTCTTTTTCTTTTTTTCTTTTTCCTCAAGTTGTTGGCTATTTTGATCAGTTTTTCTTGTCATTGGCTTAGAAGAGTAGCAAGTTTTTGCAATGCGCTTCGTTACAGGTAAACTTTAATCTTATTCTCGTTCTTGACAAAGCGAAAAGCGATAGCGATTGCAATTGCGATTGCGATAAAGTCACACAAGATTGCAAAATTGTAGCAAATAATGATACAATATCAAATATAAGATTTTCTCTTATAAAATACGATAGCACTGCATACTTTACCCTCATCCTTACTTTCTCCCTTTAGAGAAAAACTACGACTTTTGAAAGCTTTTATTTGCTTAATTTTTTAATTCATTTCTCTTTCTTTGTTTTATTCGTTTATTTATTTATATTTATTTATTTATTCGCAAATTGAGGAAAAGAGGTTTGTCATTAGTTAACATATTGCGTTCTTTTGGAGTATCGTACTTGAAGGGCCAAGTTCTTGTGTGCATGGTCATTTTTTGAATTGGATTAGATAAAGGATTATCTACTTTAATTTACAGTACATATAAAATGCCGAAAGGAATTAACCGGCATCCATCTACTTCATCGGAAGACTCTAACACGTATTCGGAAGGTCCGGGTCAGTCAATCTCTTATACCAACACCCCGTACGTTGCTTCTTCCACAATAGAGCAAGTAGGTCATGCGTCTAAAAACGGTGATAGTGAAGATGATGATGCTTATTTGAATTTCGACAATGACGAAAATCCAAAAAAAAATGTACATGAACAAGTGAAAGGTTCAGAATCCATTCAATCAATTACTGATCCCACCAGGCGGATATCCGATGAAGTAGATACCAGCAATCTTGATAAGAAATCAAAGTCCAACTTTTTCCTCCGGTTGATATCATCATCTTCCTCGCTTGTCTCAAAACAGGCTAACTGCTATTACGATGACAAAGGTGAACTTGAAGATTCTATCTATTCTGAAGTTAGAGCGTCTGTGCCGCCTACCGATGATCCCACCAAGCCTGTGAATACATGGAGAACCTGGGTGCTTACAGCCATTTTTGTTATTGTTTTTGCTGCTGTGAATCAGTTCTTCAGTTTACGTTATCCTTCTCTTACAATCAATTTCATCGTCGCCCAAATTTTATTGTTTCCTCTAGGTAAGCTGTTAAACCTACTCCCGAATTGGAAAGTCGGCTACCGTCGTTTTTCGTTCTTTTTAAACCCTGGTCCTTTCAATACCAAGGAACACGCTACAATTACTATTGCAGTTTCTTTAACATCTTCTACAGCTTATGCCACGAACATTTTATCAGCACAAACAAGCTTTTATAACCAAGAGCTCTCTTGGGGATACAAGATTCTTGTTGTACTGACTTCCCAAATGCTTGGATATGGCTTTGCTGGACTCACTAGGCGCTGGATTGTCTACCCCGCCAGTATGATTTGGCCGCAGACTTTGGTCAGTGCTGTCCTTTTCAGAACCCTTCATGGCGATGGTGGTAATGAGATTGGAGAAGTGAAAGATGGAAAGGTTACTGCGAATGGCTGGAGTATATCTCGCTATCGGTTTTTCACATATATTTTCATTGCTGCTTTTGTTGTTTATTGGTTTCCTGGCTTCATATTCACTGCTTTGTCTTACTTTACCTTTTTGTGTTGGATCTGGCCCAAAAATCGTGTTGTAAACCAGCTATTCGGCTACAACTCGGGTCTTGGTATTCTTCCTGTTACATTTGACTGGCAGCAAGTTGTATATAATAACAATCCTTTAGCTTCCCCTTGGTGGGTTATTAGTAATACTATCGGCTCTGTGATATTAATCTTTTGGATTGTCGTACCCATTTTGTACTACAAGGGTGTCTGGTTTTCAAATTACCTGCCCATGCTATCTTCCTCTACATATGACAACACAGGTAAATCATTCAATTCTTCACGTGTTTTGAACCCTGATTTATCTTTTGACCAAACAAAGTATGAGTCATATTCTCCTTTGTATATGCCCATGTCTTATAGTATGTCTACAGCATTAAACTTTGCTGCTGTCACTTCTATATTCGTTCATTGTGCTTTATACAACGGTAAGGACATATGGCAGCGTCTTCGTGATGAACGTGGATCATTTGAGTGTGTCCATCGAAAGTTAATGCGTAATTATCGGGAGGCTCCTCAATGGTGGTATCTGGCTTTGTTCATTGTTATGTTCGGTCTATCCATTTTCACTATTCGTTATTACGATACACAGTGTCCAGTATGGGCTTTTATTGTTGCAATGCTCATATTTATTATTAACTTTATTCCTCAAGGCATTCTTGAAGGTATTACTAATCAACATGTTGGTCTAAACATTATCACTGAATTAATCGGTGGTTATATGTTACCGGGTAAACCTGTTGCAAACCTTATGATTAAGCTGTATGGTTTTATTCCCATGAGACAAGGTTTAGAGTTTTCAAGGGATTTGAAACTAGCTCAATATATGAAGGTACCTCCTCGTATTTTGTTTTCAGTTCAGATTTTCGCTACTGTCCTTGGTGGTATAACACAAGTTGCTGTTCAAGAATGGATGCGCTTTCATATAACTGATATTTGCACTCATAAGCAAAGTGATGGATTTACATGCCCTAATGGACGTTCAGTCTATAATGCTTCATTAATTTGGGGAGCTATTGGACCAGCTAAACTATTTTCAAAGGGAAGGCCTTATTACCCTTTATTATACTTTTTCCTAATTGGTGCAATTGCTCCATTTTTTACTTATGCTTTATATAAAAAATTCCCGAAAGCCTGGTATGGGAAGCTCAATGCTCCCGTTTTTTTCACTGGTCCAGGAAACATTCCTCCTGCTACGGGTATTAACTACTCCTCTTGGGCTATTGTAGGTTTCATTTTTAATTATGCGATCCGAAAAAAGGCCGTACATTGGTGGACCAAGTACAATTACGTGTTGGCAGCTGCGATGGATTCTGGCGTAGCTGTTGCTGGCGTTGTTATTTTCCTTTGTGTATCCTATCCCGGAGGCAGGTTAGACTGGTGGGGAAATTCCGTTTACAAAAATACATATGACTGGAAGAGTATGCCTTATCATTCTGTCGGTCCAAATGAAACATTTGGTTATGACACTTGGAGTTAAGCGTATTATACTTAACCGAACAATGATTAATGCCACATAACGGGTGTGTGTGTGTGTGTTTTAATATTATAGTGAATGTGAACATTCATCTTTGTATAATACAAGCTTTGAATTGCAACTTATTCCATAGTAATTAGAATTTTATAATAAGAAATTTGTAAATTGATAATGTAACTTTGTTCTCTTGTAGCTGTTATGTGAAGGAGTTTCGTATAGTACAAATTCTGTTTACAGACGTTTTCGGAAAATCCACTAGGAGATCTAGTGAAATAATGAAGTGAATAGTATTAATCATGTATATATATATATATATATATATATATAATAAAGAGTCATGTTGGATTATTAATGAGTTTACTTTAGTGTAAAGAATTATCTGAAGGGTCTGTCCATGTTCAGGTATTTCTGAAGGATCTTAGAAGTCGACTGAAGTGTTTACAAAGCAATGAAAGTAAT